TAAGAGATTTTGTCGCTGAATATTTTGATATTGTGAGCAAATGTTTTGCTTTGTCACATGAAATAGTCAGAATCAATAGGCAAAGGACGGGAAATTATTGCCGAATGGTTTGACATGCATGCCCAAAGTCACAAGATCATTGTCAAATATTTCACCTAATTTTGACACACATCACCCGCCATAAATATGAACTGTATTGTTTATGTTGAGAAGCTCTATATTAAAGACTGGCACGTGCGCCGGAGTTAACGCCAGAACTGGCGTCTTGTTTTATTATTTTTGGTCGTCGCAAGTCTGAAATGGCGCGAAATATACTAGTATTTAAAATGAGTATGTGTGTTACATGATACATAATATCATGTAATTAGATCGTATAATAATATAGCGTCATATACTTAGCTAGTATAAATATATATACCTTTTAGTTAATTAACCTTATTCTCGTAAGACTTACATGCATGAGTAAGCAAAATAGGTATAAGCATGAGCAGGCAATAGCTATGTCCACGCCTAACCGCAAGTGCGTAACTTGGGGTCAACCACAAAGCCATGGTAGCATGCGCTACAACGCTCTGAATTGCGTAGGGGAAATTACTTGTTGTTTTGCAGTTTCTCTTAGCAAGCGTATATAAGTCCGAGCGCAAATAGATATAAAAAAGCGATTACAGCCATTACAAGATGCCATAACTAACGATGCTAATTTAAGCTGACGGCTGACCAAATGAACATTATAACAGATGGATTTATGATGGATTTTCAACTATGGAGCTATTCACTGTTACTCTTACCAGATAAGTTAATGTTAAGAAATAGGATATTGTTAATGTGCTTTGTAAAGTTTAAATTGCTTATTGCTCACTATAATTCACTAAATGTTTTAAAATGCTCAACACTGCTCTCATTTTTTGTTCGTTCTCACCGGCGAACGTAACAATATGATTGGATTTATCTATGTCCCAGTCTTGTCTCCCAAGAGTTGTGGTGCACAGCTTTGGCTAATTTTCCGATGCGCGATTCGATTTCGCTCGCATGATACGGCAATTCCTCCAAGAGGAACAAATAAACCGTTCTTTTCATGCTTCTCGATTAAGTTTAGATTGAATTGGGGTAAGAATATATTTAATACATGTAGATCGCTACTCTGAGTTTCATGCCACAGAGGCAATCATCAGGCGACTAAATTTCAGTTCGTTACAAGTTTGATGACGTGCGACTTTCTTGTTTGCGCGTGCGTTTAAAATTTCCTGCCCAGAATTTTTCTCGGTGGCGGCACTTGGCGAAGATCTCTGATCTTTTGTTCAGGAGTTTGTTTGCGTCACCCTGCAAAAGACACAGTTTCTCTGCAATACAGAGGTTGCATCGTTTAGCACCCGAAGATAAGAAGTTGATAAGAAGTTAACACTTTCCTGGTCCATCACAAAACGCGCGCCAGCATACTCGCCGGGTGCTAAACGATGCAACCTCTGTATTGCAGAGAAACTGTGTCTTTTGCAGGGTGACGCAAACAAACTCCAGAACAAAAGATCAGAGATCTTCGCCAAGTGCCGCCTCCGAGAAAAATTCTTGGCAGGAAATTTTAAACGCACGCGCAAACAAGAAAGTCGCACGTCATCAAACTTGCAACGAACTGAAATTTAGTCGCCTGATGATTGCCTCTGTACATGTGGCATGAAACTCTGAGTAGCGATGCCAATTTTTTAAGAATTATGTAAATGAATAAATAAATATATATATATATATATATAATATTATATATATATATTTATATATATACATATATATATATATATATATATATATATATATATATATATATATATATATATATATATATATATATATATATATATATATATATATATATATAGCTATATACCTAATTTCTGCTTTTATATCAGTTGTAATTCTAAATGTAAAACAAGTACGTATCGAGTCGATGCTTGGCGTTTTTGTATCGGATCATCATATAACAGTGAGTTTAAAACCGCGTTTACACTACTGTTACGCAAGGCTTTATTGAGTTTAGAGATACGCATGATAAAAATAGCTGTAAAAATAGGAATAGCAATTGCATGACAGAGATTAGTGTTTAAGTTTTGCCACAAGACGCCTGAGTAAATATAATTTCGGGCCATTCGCAATCATTAATCACATTTCCTTTCAGGCACGACATTTCGTGGGATTGAATAAAGTAGTAAGGTGAGAATATCAATCATCCTATCAGAACGTGCGCATCTGGATCAACAGTCGTATGTCGTTGCCGGGGTTCAGTCTGAAGTTCTTGTGCCCACTGAAGGTTCGGGTGTTGTGCACGCCCTTTTATAGTAACGGTTGAGGTACATCTGCACACGTCATCAACCAGAGTGGGTGGATCCTTATCCAACCAATCAGCGTTGTAAGTTAGAAATGTGGGTTGGCGTTAGAAGCTCGTTCCAGCTCTCATATCTTGTTTGTATAAGGCGTTGACGCACTAGTCGAGTTGGTCTTTAGCTTAATCGATCAATTAAAAATGATCACAACTTAAAATATTTATCATCAACAACTATTAAAATTATCAAACATTGTTTCTGTAAACCTTATTTTATAACTTAACTACTTGTTCTTCTATTTTAAACGAATTAAGCTTTCTCTGAGGTAATCCTTAAAATGCTCGACCGCGCATTATAAAAAACACAGTTGATTGACATAAGAGCTTCGCAGCTGTCTAAAGCGAAACGAAGTAGACCAATAGAGTGGACTAGCGGAGTAAAAAGCATGTGAAACGCTAAGAAGCTCAACATTTGCAGAACCAACGACCAAAAACAAGAACAGAAAACGACGAGGTTCCGAAAGGACGAAGAATCCGAAGAGAAGAACGATGCCAGAAACTAACATTAATGAACATTAGTTAACCATTGTAAAAGATCTCCTACCTCGCATATAAAATAAAAACGTCTATATAACACTACACTCGATTTTTTGGTACGTCACTAAAATTTGTAATGCATGCCATTTCATCTGTGCTCGGCCTTTGTTTTGGTAGCCTGAACACTAATAGAAATTGGGTACGGGTACCAATTTTAGCCGTGCCGTGCCAAAAAATTGAGTTTAGTGTAAACGGTGCTTAAGATTCACCAAATCCACGACCCGAAGTCAGAGCCGTATGTAAAATAAATTAATACTGGTTTTCTAACGCTACTAGCAGCTTTCATGTGACGTCCGCGTCGTAGATTTGGTGCATTTTAAACTCGTTAGCATGAAGATAGAAAACTCGCAGGGCTTGGAAAAAATGAAATAAACAAGTTCTTAAAAACTGCGTAAATACAAAAGAGAATACTAAACGGTTGTGGTTACCACAAAGGTATGACTTTTTATACCTGTGCCCGGTCTTATTTTCAAGTGTAAAATCTTCCGACTTCATTATTCACGGTGAATTCGGTCGAAATTTTTTTTGGTTAAACTGTAAAAAGTCCTGACCACATTCAAGTTTCCCTTTAATGTGATTAAAAATATATATGTTTCATATTTTTGAAAATATATATATGTTATTTACCAGATTGGAGGTCCGTATACCGAAATATTTTCCAAGGTCTTAAAAACAGTCCAAGGCCAAAGGCCGAGGGACATTTTTGAGACCAAGGGAAATATTTCCCTATACGGACCGACTAAACTGGTAAATAATAGATTTGTTTTTTCTTCCGGTCAGAATTCATATTTTAGCGTTGTTTCTGTGCTTTTAAATCTCGCGCGGTCCGTAAGGCCTCATACGGACCGCTCGTGTAGCCAATCAGACTGCAGGAAACGGTTCGAATTCATATTTTAACGTTTCCAGCAATCTGATTGGCTACGCGAGCGGTCCATAAGAGGCCGTACGTACCGCGCGAGATTTAAAAGCACAGAGCCAACGCTAAATTATGAATTCGGACCGCAAGAAAAAAATAAATCTATTATTTATCAGTTTAGTCGGTCCGTATGGGAAAATACTTCCCTCGGTTTAAAAACCGTTTCGGAGACCTTGGGAAAAATTTCCCAAAACGGACCTCCAATCTGGTAAATAAAATATATCTATTCTTTTTCGTGCGGTCCGAATTCATATTTCAGCGTTTCCTGTAATCTGATTAGCTATACGCAATCGAGCGGTCCGTATGAGGCCGTACGGACCGCGCGAGATTTATAAGCACAGAGCCAACGCTACAATATGAATTCGGACCGAAATAAAAAAAATAAATCTATTATTTACTAGTTAAGTCGGTGCGTATAGGGAAATATTCCCCTCGTTCTCAAAAACGTCCCTCGGCCTTCGGCCTCGGGCTGTTTTTCAGACCTTGGAAAATATTTCACTATGCGGACCTCCAATCTGGTAAATAACATATATATATAACTTTCTTCAAAATTTTGCGAAATGACAGTTATGCAGGTTTGAAAATACAAATATTTGTCTCGACCAATCAAGAGCTAAGTAGTTCACACTGGCGCATGCGCGTAACGTAGAAGACCGTCCATGGCGTGAGGCTCCATTGCATAATGGCGGTCGACTTTGATTTCGCATTTGCACATATTGGGTTTAAATATCCGAGCGGAATTAGTACCCTCACACAGTGCTCCGCACCGGCTCGGGGATAAGCAAGCGTGAGGTTTTGATATCATAATAGATCAGGCTCTTCGCTGTCGAATGACATCTTTTTGTACCATATAAAGAAAAATAAGCAAATATGACCTCGAGAATCCATATTTCTAGCTCTGCGGATTCGTAAGAAATTCAACACTTATTATTGTGGCATTATTTGTGGCCGCACCATTTTTTCTCCATTTGTTATAAAAAACATATCATTCAACAGCGAAAAGCCTGATCTATCTTAATATCACAAAATTGTGCTTGCTAATCAAGAAATTTCTGCACGTAGCACGCTTAAATTTGGTTACCACCCCAAAGGATATGGCGGCCATATTGGAAACAAAGATCCAAGATTTAACAAAGATATTTCTGAGATCTATTACAAAATAGCTTATGAAGACCATTATATTTGAAAATCCAAATTTAATTAATTTTAAAGCTCTTATAATATCAAATTACATTAAGACTCTTTAATTTCAGTAAATGGTGTAGCCAGCTTGTCATTTTAATCCGGCTATGTAAATGCTATGCAAATTTAATGTTATTATTGACTGTTTTCACAGTGAATGACACTGAAATATTGGTAAAGCCTGACAACATTGACAGGCTGCCTACGCTACTGATTCATTGGTATCATTCGAAAGACTAGAAGAACGCAACATTCCTACATACACTATATTTTATAAATTGCACAGTGCAAGTGACAAAGAATTTGCAATTATTCATAATGGAGGATATGTATACCTATGCAAAATGTACTTAGGCATAAATTATACGTTAAAACCGAAATGTTGCTAACCCAATTTAAATGTAATTAAAATATCCGTGTGCGCGTTACTGTTCCAATCTTAAATGATAGTCCTCACTTTTTCGACATGCAATTTTCCAAGCTTCTACAGCATGTTCTACCGTGATGTCTTCTGGTATATATTCTTCTAGCGCATCGATAACTTCACGATTCAATTCGTCAAGTTTGGCATTCATGTACTGAGATAAGCTAAAATAACGAGACATTCGTCAGTCATTAGAATTAGCCCTGTTTAACAAAGGAATATGTCACCAAATAAGTCATAAAAGTTTCAGATTAAAGATTGGGTATTATTACGTTTTGACTTTCAAATTTGCTTTCCAGAGGACGTAAATCTCATCAATTCAAGTTGTAACTGACTTGCAATCATCATAAAATTAACAGCGTTAATTAACTGTTGCAATTCCCAAAGTGCGAGGATTTTAAATGTTAGCTCATAAACAGAGGCGCCGCAAGAACGATGATTGGTGTGGGGATCGAGGGGATTCAAATATTTGAGGACAATTGGTTTCGAACGAAAAAAATAATGCAGAACATGAATATATGAATATTGCTCTCCCCCCAATTACCGTTCTTGCAGCGCCCCAGGTCATAAACAAAATTATCGTTAGTTTGAATTTTCAGACAGATCCATGTTTCCCTATTTACAGGAATTTTCCTATTTACAGATTTTATTTATATGGACAGAATTTATAAATTGGTATACCGTATATACTGGGTGAACTTACGGAAAGTGTAACTGATCATCAGGAACATTTTTTAGGTAGAGCAAAATGAACTCCAACAGCACAAGAACAAATCGATCAACGTTCAGCTTTTGTAATCCGCCGTTCAATGCAAATTTCTGCTTCGTTTCGAGCGATACCTTTACCGTATCCGTTACGTCATCAAATGGATCCTAAACGAGAAACAAACATTGTTAAAATGATCGCTAGTGGTAATTGATCATGATCAACATTGAGACCGTTTTCCACTAGCGATAATTTTTCCCAAGGCGACATTTTGCTTTCGTTTAAGAGGAATCAACTGCAACCAGGACCGGAAATAGATGCGATAATTGGCGAAGGTGCATATTAATATATTCGACGGATCTCTTCTGTACGTGCAAAACAGAATAAATATGCACCCCACCCCCATTTGTCGCGCTAGTTTCGGCCCTGTCTGCAAATTTCTGCATAAAATTGCTCATGGCTTAATGGCAGTTTTCCACTAGGCTGAATTTTTCGATCGAACTTAAGGAAAGCTTGACAAGTAAAACTTGCTCGTCTGTATGGGGATTTAATTTAATCCGAAGTTGGATAATAATTGTAGTCCCCATTTTCGAAACAAAGACAGCGGTATGTCAAAGTTAGATTGCTATCGCTAATAGCGGTACCCGGCTCTAATCTGCGTCACGTCTACGTCTACATCTAATTGGTTGGCCTATTTAAGATCATTAAAGAGCGCTAAAATCTTTTAGGCAAGCGTAAATAAATATAGATTTTGACGTGAATATTGCACTTTTGCTAATAATATACTATGAGATACTTCAAAACATCGACTGAGTATCTTCAATTGTATGTAGTTTGTAGTAACACATACATTTGCGATCAAAATTTTCATAAAAAAAATTAGGTTTCCACGTAGAAACAAACAAGTTAATGTATATAGCTTAGTGGTTCCAACCTGTTTATGTTTTGTCAATATCCTTGCCCTTTCTAGAGACAATAACAGCCAAAGAGAAACGATGTGCTGCAGTTCACAAAACTGCTCAGCCTGCGAGAAAATCCAGTCATGAATAAAAGAGGTTATTAAAAGTTCGCAAAGTAAGCAAACGTTTTGTTTACAATTTACAACTGCCTAAATTAATATTAAACACTGGTTTTGCTTCTCCATGCTTCTAAATAATTATGAACTAATATGAACTAAACTTATTAAGATATCTTTTTTAAACATAACGTGGCTGTATAAATAATCACCTTTCTACTTTTCAGACCGTTTTTCACTTCCATCTTTAGTCCTGAATGAAGGTAATCAAAAACAGACATTGATGGATCCCCCCCAGCAGAGGATAGAAATCCAATAGCAATATGGAGTGATTTAAGAACATCGCAAACATCGGTCAGCTGATTAAGTTCATTGAGTATTTGATCTTGAACAGGACGAGTCAACTCCACCTAAATAGGCAAATATGTTACTTTCAAGGTCGCATAGGAATTTATATTTTTTTCAATATAAAAATAGCATATATATGTAAATATAGCAAATTGATTGCCTGAGAACAGTTTAAATATAAATATAGCAACATTTTTGACCGATCTGTAATGGGAAGTGAAATTATGGACACCTTCGACTTGCTTGTTCTCACGACTTATTTACTTTACTCTAAAATTATCAATAATGCTGGCATGGACGACCAGTACACTAAGCAAATTGAGTAATTTTGTCTTTCATCTACCTGGTGCCTCCAAGAATAAAAAAACAATCAAAAGTACCAATTATTAGAATATATGAATGCCCCACGATTCCGCCTATATCCCGCGAAGTGGACACTGTCATGTCTGATTTATAACTTAAACCTACCTGAGGTATTTTCTGTTGTAAAGCTTTAAATACTTCTCCATCACAAATGTCTTTACTGAACACAAACAATTCAACCTAGGGAAAAATTATGCATTAGAGGAGGTCAAATTAATATAATTTGTCAAATGACAAAATCATCAATGCTTAATGGTGAATAATTAATTTTGTCTCACACAGAAAAAAAACTAGCAACGCCAGCCCACACATTTAAAATATCATCGTGATTTGTTGGTTGTGATTCTCACGACGTAATTATAATTGTAATAAAATGACGACCAAAAGTACGCAAAACCAGGGAAAAAACATGCATGCCAAGCTGTATGAAGTTAGAAACGACGCGACAAAAACTACAAAAACTGTGGCATTGCATGATATCGAGGGAAAGAAACTATAATATTAATTAGTTGTTAAAGTAAACAACTCGGAGGTGACAATCAGCTTCCTCTACTGTCGTAAGTAATAGAAAAAATGAAATATGACAGCTGTTGCTGGCATTTTATGTATCAATCAAGTTTAATCAAGATACCAGAAGTTTTAATCTGTGACATATGTGTCAAAATTTTGGATCGCACACCATCAATCTCTTCGGTTTGACCCCCATTATATCGATATTCTTGTAATGACGTCACAAAACGAGAAAATGGGAAACATACTACCAATAAAATATTGTAAAACCCCATGATAAATTACTCACATAAGAAAATATGTGAGTAAAGTCACGTATCATCGAAATACTGAACTGAAGATAAGTACACTGTTGATATGCAGCAAAAACAAGATTATTATCCAATGATATACATCGAATCTGAACTTAAATATCACCCGCGATTCCAAAGATATTCTTTTCACCTTGGAGAATGAACATAACAACATCACTTTATCGGACACTCAATCAAGGCTTGTGATAGAAGATATGTATAATAAAGAAGATATTAAAAACTACTATTTACCAAGGACGTTAGTCTGGGCCTGCCTCTGATGAATCTGTCCACTATTTGTCTCTCCAATGATTTCCAGTTGAATTCAAGCACTGTTTCTTCGCCAAGATTTAAAGAATAATCACAGTGTGCAAGGATGATTGGTATGAAATCCTTTTCAGGATCATACGCCACAAGATGAGCTTTAGTAACACTCTTCAGAGACATGTCAGGTAACCTAAAGTATATAGAGTAAACCGTTAAGGTGTTATTTACCACACATCTGGATTATTGTGGATAGTAGAAATGTTTCTATATATGAACAAAAAAAATGACTGACATCATGCACAACTGCAACATGAAATTAGCTACGAATTTATCTATGTATCTATTATTGCTACTGTATAAAGTTCATTGCGATTTTTTAAACAGACGTTATCCGCTTTAGGTGGTACACCACAAAAAGATCATTTGCATATTATAAAATTAGAAATATTGAAATATGTTGAAGTAGAAATGTATGATTGTTCTAATTCTAATTCACAGAACAGACATTCACGTGCTAAGTTCGCTTCAGCAGTCGTTTCGGAGTTTAGATACACGTCCGAAAAGAAAGAAGTTTTTGCGCAATCGTACCGAAGTTAATTGGAGTATATTGCGGCAAAAACTCTCCCTCTGTTCTACCATAAAACTAAGCTCTAAAACGACTAAAGCATACTTGGCACACTGATGTCTCTGTTGTGAACTAGACTCTAAAAACAGATATTAAGTATATTTCAAGATATGTCAAGATATTTCGATATTTTCAATTTTATAAACATGCAAATTTTAAAAACATATGTTGCGAGAAGGTATATTAATCGATATCCGAATCTTTCTACATTATCACACCCACCTACTCTCATCCTTCAGCAAGCTCTTACAACGGCCAATGAAATCATTGTGCAAAGTCACTAGAAAATTATTCAGGGCTAACGCGCATCTTCCCACGCCTGAACGGGCAGGTAAAAACATGGAAATTACTGTTGAGTTTGTCACTTCAAAAGAACACATTTCTTGTGAAATTGAAAATGGTCCTAAAAATAAAGAATAGAACAAACAAATAATTACTCGTGTTTTGTGAGGAAACATAGCGGAAATTCAGTGGCGTAGCCAGAACGATAATTGGGGAGGCCAATATTCATATATTCGTGATACGCAGGATTAATTTCTTTTCAAATCAATTGTCTTTACAGTCTGTTAACATGAATATATGAATATGGGCCCCCCCAATGTCCAGTTTACATGTACAAATGTATGTCGTTCTACATAAGACATAACCGACAATTAAAGACTATTACACAATGGCTTTAACTTTAAAGGTATTTTTATGTAAAAAATTAAAAATAAAAACGTTATTTACTGGGGAGCTCAGGAAATTATTTTTTTAGTACGGAACTCTCAGTCGGTAAATAAGATATAGCTATGTATTTTAATTGGAAATGTATACTTGCCATCTTGCACAAGAGCTGTTCGGACAATCTTCCATGCCTTTCTAAAGCTGTCGATCAATGAAATAAACTGTTCTTTTACTTGAGAAACTAAAGAGAAAACACAAGAGATGAAAACAGGTAAAACTTATACTTTACGAACGTTTCAAATCAAGAAAAAAAAATTGATTTGTCATGTATTTATTTATTTATTTTAGTTTAATCAATTTAATCTTTCGTACTATTCAAGGTAAACTACTTTGATTAATTTTTTATCTATCCCATAGAGCACTTGGTAAAATATCTCAAAGTCTATTTTGTGACCAGGTTGACATGTAGATACGGATAATATATTTATTTTACCTTGCAGCATATAGGAGATATGCTACAAGGTAAAATAATTATATTATCTGTATCTACATATAGGAGATATGCTGCAAGGTAAAATAATTATATTATCCGTATCTGCATATCAACCTGGTCACAAAATAGACTTTGTTTTTCTACGATTTTATGGACGGACTAAAGAAATTTAATAAAAAAACCTAAACACTCTTTTTTTAAATTATTTAGCTAATTGTATGCATGTATTTTACGTCATTCAACAAACAAGAACTCAACAAATGAGGATTCAACGAATTATTTTACATTCATTAAGCTCTGAACAAACAAATGCGACTGATAATTTAAGTAACAATTTCAGGATGTTTAATACCACGAATACGTGGTTCAATCTTTGTACGTTGTTACATAGCTATACTCTAATTAATCAATTAACTAATTTCTATGCATAGACTGTTATTGTTCAATTAAAAGACAAAGGGTTTCTTGTTCGATAAACAATTTGAGGAACAATTTTAATTAGATCTACATGCAGTTACGATTGTGTAACAGGTATTACTATATACACAAGCGCAGGATATGAGCTAATGTGCAACCTGATTGGTTTTCTACTACTGAGTACTAGACAGATATTAGCTCATATCTGTCTAGTAACAAAATGGCGGCACGATTTGGGGAGTTAAGCGACGATGAAATTCAACCTTAAGGTGGTACACCGCAAAAAGATCATTTGCATATTTATAATATTAGAAATTCATGAAATATGTTAAAGTGGAAATGTATAATTGTTCTAATTTTAGTTCAAAGCACAGATATTCACGTGCTAAGTTCGCTTCAGCAGTCGTTTCAGAGTTTAGATACACGTCCGAAAAGAAAGAAATTTTTTGCGCAACCGTACCGAAGTTAATTTGAGTATATTGCGGCAAAAACTCTCCCTCTGTTCTACCGTAAAACTAAGCTCTCAAACGTCTAAAGCATACTTGGCACACTGATGTCTGTGTTGTGAACTAGACCCTAAAAAACAGATATTATAAGTGTGTTAAGATATTTCGATATTTTCAATTTTATAAATATAATATTTTAAAAAATAAACATATTTATTACCGCTTTTTAGGAACTTTCCAATAATATATGTTTCCGCTTCAATTCGATCTAAGCGACGATGAAATTTCTCAAAAAGAAGCCGTTGTAACTTTACAATATCTGGGAGGTACTGCAACGCTCGAAGATGCTGCTCCTGCATAAGAGATGTGAAAATATTCAAAATTAATGGCAAATTCTGTGATTTTAATTCTTTGGTGGAAAAATACCACAGGAATATTCTTCATAAGTATGATGTTATTTTGATTTCAGGTAGGCCCTACAATGCATACTTTTTTCAAGAATTCCGCCAAAACTTCACATCTTTCTAGTTTATTGCCATCTTGAGAATACTCTTGAAACTTGAACGATAAATATTCTATGGTGATCTTCTTACGATGCCGCCATAGCGCTGGACACATCGGAGTGAGCTCTGTAGCGACGGTTTCTTTTGGATCATCGTGTTCATATATCAATTTCATCAGACGATTGTTGCCTATAAATATTATACACTTAATGTATGCTCCCGATGGAAATGGCGAGTTTTATTTTCCCAAGATTCTGGATGTTCGTCGAGGGAGACATTGAGACTCGAGGGAAAACAAAACTCACTATTTCCCGAGGCAGTGTACATTAAGTGCTTTGTTGTATAGGGTTTCATTCAAAAAAAATACTTTACTTTGTTATGACAATATACGGGCAACAATTTTTTAATTGTTACCCTGGCGGGAAACATTGTATTTATTTAAAGTCATGTGATTACGAATGAACCAATCACATTTAAAATACACAGCACCTATATAACAATGAGAATTATAAGCGTGCATGTTCATATAATTCCTAGAAAATCTTCGAGGTAATTAACATAAAGTCAAATTTGCATTTCGAAATATTTATAAAAGGGCTAAATTACACTTGGGCACAGGTCAGTATACGATATTGAACATTTTTTATTCAAATCGAACTATTTCAAGGCAAGGGGCCTGAAACATGACCATTAAACTAAAAACAACTGGAACGTCACCTATACTGATTAAAATGACCAAAATTGTTGAAGCCAAATCTTATCTCTAGGGTTAAGGTATATATTCATATACTCGTCTTATGCCTGACTGTTTTTTTCCCACGATATTGTTCTATGATATGTAAACATGAATATACACCCCCTAATTAAGCGGTAGACATTTTTTATATACTGTATGTTCATGTTTTCTAGCTGCAATGGATTTTAAAATGAATAATGTATAACCAAGTATATAACTTTATTTCACCCCTTTAGCTCCATGCACTTATTGAGATAGCGACGGCACTGAATAGTTTCTGGGCAATGAATTAATGGCAATCATGCAATAAACATGCAATCTATGAAGTGACTGTATCTTGTAGTATGCCCAGTGAATCCTTATTTATCAAATTTTTAATTTGACTTCATTATTTAAGTAACGTAGCTAATTATTTATTTAACACTATATTATCATTAAGCGAATCAAAAGACAAAACATAAAATATTAACATCGGATCCAACATAATATCAAACTATCGAATAACTTGTCCTATTTAATTCTTACCAAGCCTTTCATCTCGGACCATACGACCAAGGCTTTCTTGCAGTAAGTTGGAAATATTCTGCAAAAAAATCAGCATTTGAAATATGATTTATTTACTATGCAGATATTGATGACAAGATCACTGTCGCATGCCACTAATTACATTTCAGCCAACTTACAGACAGAACCGGATTCAAATAAGTGTTCAAAAATGCATCTTCCCAAGCTGCTCTTGACTCCTTAGTAGCTAGTCTGATGTCAAAATTTAACCCTATACATGAAACGAATGTATGACTTGAAGATGTAATGGACACGCAAAACAAAGGTACAGCGCAACAAGACAATACCTACATATACATCAAACCTACCTCTCTGCTGGTCTGTGTTGTTCATAATACCAACAAGAACTAGGTGGATTATTTGTTCCGCCTCAACATCGTTATGGCCAGTATTTCGTGCAATACATCTTATGTCATTCTTGATATGTTCCTTCAAGAACTGGACAACATCGCCAACTGCTGGTTTTACTGTTGCAGCAATTCTCTGCACAGAATATGAAATTTATTGCTTAGTAGGCATAGACTTAAAAGTTTGCAGAAAATATAGGGTCTTAATTTTTATCTCAGAAAGAGGAGAATATTTTAGGAAATATTCCGTGTTTTTAATAAACATACCTGAATATCCTGATCTGTTCCCAACAACATGGCTAAATGTGTCAGGCAACGTAATACACCGCAAGACAAAGGATTCATATTTCGCTCTGATTCTACTGTTCCCCGTTGTGGTTGAGCACGGCCAAGAATATGCCCTGTGCTAGTTCGATCTTCCCTAATTTTAAAAAAAGTGCATAAAAATGAAGTATATTTTTGACACTGGGGAAATAAGAGCAATTGGCGAAGTCTGACGTTCTTCAATCATCACGAACGCATAGCTTTACACGACATGCAACGAACTCTAATTTCTCTGCAAATACAGCCATACAATCAGCAATTCTTTCCAATTGGAACTTTTCATGCAGGTGATCGTACGTTCTACAGATGCCCCAAAACGACTTCTTGTGTCGTTAAATTGTTTGAAAAGTTAAAATGTTTCAAATGTTACACCTCTATAATTAACTGCACAGTGACCTCTGAAACAGGTTACTATGGAGTTAGATACCTTGAATTTTTAATTTATTCAATTCTATTTATCGATCTCACTTTTCCCTGGAGAGATATCAAATCCCTACCCTTACTTTTAATTCCTACTCAAATAAACCCTATGCGATGCCGGGGCAATGCTAGTGGCAACGGCAAATCAACCATATTGAGAGGCTAAAATCTCAAAGGGAATGGGAGGTGTAAAGAGCGATACTTGGAAAGCCCGAAAGATATCGGATTAATTGTCAGATCTTGTGATCATTGAGGTTCTCACAATCAAGCACTCAGTCAGACAGAAATATCGACGTGGTGTGTAGTTAGGTCGGTTTTTCACTAGTGATAATTTTTTTTATGTAGATTTGTCAACTGGAACAAATTGCGCAAATGCAACAGAATAAACTCGCTTTGCGCAAAAAATATCGTTAGTGGAAAACCAGCTTTACGAGATAAATGAGATTTCCTATGGACAATCGTCCATCGTCGCGTTCCCCATTGGTAAAAATTATAATTTCATGCATATTTTATACACCAAGCATGCAGTTAAAACACATATCAATCATTATATTTTTAGCAAGACAAACTTACCTGGATGCATCTCTATTGTTTGCTGCTAGACCGTAATTCATGCCTCCAATAGGGCTATGGCATGTTGGACAATTATAGTTTTGGTTTGGCCTCCCACACTATAATAAATTAAAGATAATTCGAGTATATATCTCTGTATGGTTTACAATTGATGCATAGAACCGTAAAACATGAACATATACAGCACTATTCTTTCCTGTCATCAGTCTACGTCACTACGGAGTAACATGAGAAGCACGCGCGCATTTCGATAGTCATTGTACGTTAGCCTTTCATAGCTGTAGCATCGAAGACCTATATAGTTGGTATTATCTACATTAGTTGCTGAATACGACTTTGCTGGTTGGTGAGTACTGCAGTTGCTTTTGCCAACGTTGCTTTGTGATAACCTTTTTGTTTTAGATTAACTTTAACTTTACCATTCCCAGTAATATAATGGATCACGATCGGGAAACCACTGAACCTACTCAAACGACTAGCCTCAGCCAAACTGGCGATCACGCAGGCCGACCCGGCCAGACTGATGAGACACTCACCGCAGATACGGCTCGGAATCTAGCCGAGATCAATGAGAACATGAGTAAAATGGCGGCCTTGTTTCAAAAAATGTTCGAACGTAACATAGCACTGCCCATTGCGCCGCCACCACTCCTTAAAGAGCGCGACGACCGTCACTCAGATGCCTCAGAATGGTCAGACCCTGATCATCGCGACGATATAAGCGTGTCGGCGTCAGATGCAGACGTAAGAGCGTTTTTAGAAAAAGACTGCGCTCCTGATCAACAGATCGACGTGTCTACATCGGACAATAGCACGAGCCACGAGGTTGACCTTCTTAAAGAGCTCGAACTAGATCTCTCAGAGGCTGACCCAGCCGGGCCAAAAATCCATGAAAACTTGGCTAATATCGCGAATAAACGATGGGGTGTAGTTCTATCAAACGATAAACTCAAGACAATCATGTCTAAACATCACCAGCCTGCCAACAGCAGCAGTATGTCTGTGCCTAAAGTAAACCCAGAAGTCTGGGAACAAATGCTACACGCACGTAAACGCAGTGACCTCAAACTGAGCAACCTACAATCAGTGCTCCAAAAGGCATCTTTCGCTTTATTGCAGACTTGTGATCATATAGTCACTCAAAACGCTGACGCAAATAAGCCGCTAATCGCCAATATCATTGATGCCATCGCCCTAATCGGGCACGCCGTTGGAGAATTATCGCACACACGTAGAGAGCACATCCGCCCAGCTCTGCGAGCTGAATTCCATAGTTTGTGCAAAAAATCCGATGATTCCTCGCATTCCCCGTTGCTCTTTGGGGAAGACCTAGCTAAAAGAGTAAGAGACACTAAGGAAACCTACACGCTTAGTCGTTCCCTAGGTTCCAACAAAACCAGAAGTGGTAATCCCAGAATTTACCGCCCGTCATACGGCCGGAATGAAAGATCGCCGTACGAGAGGCCAAATAGAGATAATGGCAACCACAACCGATATGAGGGAGGCAGCCGTCAGTTTTTTCAGAAAGGCCAAAAGAAAACCCCATTCAAACACAAACAGAACAAGTCATAAAAACCTTGGCGGAAATTCAATTATCGGTGAGTAATTTTCCTGCACGAATAAATTCTATTCAACAATATCTCTCAAATAGAGTTAAAGAGTTTAAAGCAGGCAACATTCAATATTGTGCCACAAAATGGTCCAAAATTACTTCAGACCCTGAAATATTGCGAATTGTTCATGGCGCGAAAATAGAATTTGCGGAAACACCTTTGCGAACCTTTTGCCCTAAGCAAAGCTTTTCGGGTGCAGAGTTCACGATAATTGATCAGGAAATAGCCCTTATGCTATCTCGAGGGATTGTTGAAACAACTGCGCATTGTCCAGGCGAATTTCTCTCGACTATTTTCACACGACCAAAGAAAGATGGGCGCCATAGGCTTATCCTAAACTTAAAAGAGCTTAATGAGTTTGTGACGTATCGCCATTTCAAAATGGAAACGTTACGGTCTATCACTAACCTGATCGAACGAAACTGTTACATGGCCTCACTAGACCTTAAGGACGCATACTATTCCGTGTCGGTTAACCCGTCAGACCGCAAATTCCTTCGTTTCCGTTGGAAGGGCGTTCTGTACCAATTTACTTGTTTGCCTAATGGACTGTCTAGCTGCCCACGAATGTTTACTAAGTTACTCAAACCACCCTTAGCCCGACTGCGTCAACTTGGGCATATAATTGCAAGTTACATAGACGATCTGTTCCTCCAGGGTAACACTTATGAGGAATGCGCTACCTGTGTAATTGCCGCGTTGAAACAATTTGACGAATTAGGTTTCGTCGTTCATCCGGAAAAATCTGCGTTTAATCCGTCTCAGATTATTATGGTGTTAGGCTTTATCATCAACTCAGTCGACATGACAGTTACGTTAACTGATGAAAAACGTACGGATATTACAAATTAGTGTGACACCGTATTGAACTCACGCAAGATAAAAATTCGTGATTTAGCCCAGTTAATAGGTAAATTAATAGCCTCTTTTCCTGGGGTGATGCATGGCCCTCTATATTACCGTTCACTCGAAGCAGACAAAACCAAAGCACTTCGAATATCAAAAGGAAATTTCGATGATACCATGGGGTTGTCTGAAAACTCCCGCCTAGAGCTAAGGTGGTGGCTCGCAAATATCTCTCATGTTCACAACGTCATTTCACACAAATTACCATCTTGTACGTTGACGACTGATGCTTCCCTTAGCGGATGGGGAGCGGTTTTTCAAACAAGCAAAACGGGGGGAACCTGGGGTGAAGGGGAGAAACACCACCACATTAACTACCTAGAATTATTAGCATTATATCTTGGGTTACAAACCTACTGTTCTTCACTGAATGATACCCATGTTAGGGTAAGACTAGATAATACTACAGCCGTTGCCGTAATTAATCATATGGGTACAAGCCACTCCGCCCAGTGTAATGCTTTAGGCAAGGAAATATGGGAGTGGTGTATCATGCGAAATATCTGGCTTAGTGCGGCCATGTACCGGGTATAGAAAATACAGAGGCTGATTTCGAATCCCGCCAGAAACAATCTAACACCGAATGGATGTTGAACCATAAACGACTACACGAAGCGCTACTAAAACTAGACTTCGTTGCCAACGTAGATGTGTTTGCTTCCCGCTTAAACACACAGTTCCCGTCATACATTTCGTACCGTCCCGACCCGGGAGCTAAGGCTGTGGACGTTTTTTCTGTTGACCTATCCGAAGTAAAGTTCTATGCTTTTCCGCCATTTAGTGTAATAAGCCGATTCTTGCAAAAGATACAAGAGGAGACGGCGACAGGGATTTGTGTCCTTCCAGATTGGCCGACGCAGTCGTGGTACTCCAAAGCAATGAAAATGTGCATTCGCGACCCAGTTCTCCTGAAACCGGAACGCTGTCTCCTCAGCCTAGCAGATCAACCCCAGACAATCCACCCTATGCACAAAACACTCAGTCCTCTAGTCTGTCTTGTGTCGGGGGCAAGTTAGCAGGTATGGGCCTCCAACAAGATACAGTTGACATAATCTTAGCGTCTTGGCGAAACAGCACGAGTAAACAATATAACTCTTATCTTTTAAAATGGCAAAAGTTCTGCCATGAGCAACATATTGCTAATGATGACGCTGGTGTGATCGAAGGATTGGCTTTTCTAACGCACCTACACAAGCAAAACCTTGGGTACAGCGCTATAAACACAGCACGATCTGCCCTTTCATCTATCTTGACGCTGCACGACCACCGCACATTTGGGGAGCACCCATTGGTAACACGGTTTCTCAAAGGCATATTTGAATTGAAACCCTCACTGCCTCGATATACACACGTCTGGGACGTCGGCGTTGTTCTGAGACACTTTCAATCAACAGCCAACCCTCAAGCCATGAGCCTTGAAAAGCTTACGAAAAAGCTCACAACTTTACTCGCCCTAATTACAGCACAAAGGTGTCAAACTCTCGTAAAGCTTGATATCAATCACATGCAAAATTTGCCTGACAAAATCGTGTTTCATATACGAGAAAAAATCAAGACAACTAGACCAGGAAAGCACATTGAGCCTATCGAGATCCTACCATACCCGTCTGAGGGGAAATTATGTCCAGTCGCACACATCCGAGAGTACATCTCCCGCACCCAAAATCTACGCCAAGACCAACAGCTACTTGTAAGCTACCACAAACCACATAAGGCGGTTAGTAATGCCACCATCGGACGCTGGGTAAAGAACACGCTAGCTACCGCGGGGATAGACACGGGAACATTCTCCGCTCATAGTAGCCGCTCGGCATCGACGTCTTGTGGGCTGAAGTCCGGCATTCCGTTGAAGGACATCCTTAAAGCTGGAGGGTGGACGAACGCCACTACCTTTGGCCGACATTATAACAAAACAATTGATACCAACTTTGGCCAAGCTTTACTAGATCAGTTTGTAAATAATTAACTATCTCGCTAGTTCTGCACTTACTGCCTACGGATATTTCAATTACACAATGCACGATACACTCGTGTCTCTCCAGATAATGTTGTTGAATTTTGCTAGGTGCTCACAACTTTGAAATCTCATGTTACTCCGTAGTGACGTAGACTGATGACAGGAAAGAATTTAAAAATTAAACGAGACTTACCTTAAGTCGATGTTTGATTGTAATTCTTTCTTGTCATCAGTCAGGAACGAAGGAGTAACATGCCCACCCAAATTATATTGCATACCCAACCCGTTCTCCTTCGTTCCATGTGAGCACCAGCAAGGTCTTTGAAAAATGGCTATCGAAATGCGCGCGTGCTTCTCATGTTACTCCTTCGTTCCTGACTGATGACAAGAAAGAATTACAATCAAACATCGACTTAAGGTAAGTCTCGTTTAATTTTTAAATTATCCACCAACACTTATTTTTTCTATTTTTTTAGTATTATTTAAAGAATTGAGGCTGTTTTCCTCGCGACAGCACAAGATGGAAGTATATTCCACATCACAAGAAGATAGTACTTTCGACGCCTCGCGGCTAACGCAGACAGGGCCGTAGCTACAAGCTTAATTGGGGGGGGGTGTATTTTCATATATTTATGTTTATATACCATAGGAACAATAGCGTACAAAAGAAATCAGTCGGGCATAAGACGAATATATGAATATACACCCCTCCAATTAAGCTTCTAGCTACGGCCCTGAACGCAGGTCTGAAACTTGAAAATATCGGTTAAGTTGTGCTGAAGTCACCTTTCACCTCCGTTGGCATGGAAACAGGCTAAATTGTTGTAAATAAATCTTTCTCCTAATTCTCCCTTTTGAGTAAACTAGCCAATCGCTTTATAGATAACGCGCGAGAACCAGGGAAAATGAATAAAATTACCGGGTCAGGATATACTTTTATAAGAACAGAGATTAGCTATATCAATTCTTTTCAACATAGAAAATTAATACCAGATTCATCAGAGAGCAAGAATATACTCCAAACATTAAATTAGTTTTCCTCCTCGCCTACACTTGACCTCAAACGTTTAGTGCTTCACAGCATTAACTAAAAAGTTGCAGTGCCATAATATATATGCATGTGTATAGCACGTGCATAGATAGCTTGGTACTCACTTCAGTAATAACATAGCGATGTCCTTGTGGGCACTCTAATAATGTAAAATTAGTGTTTTTAATGATTCTTTTCTTTATTATGCACTGCTTTAAGCATATGCTTTAATTATTATGCATTGACAGACGAGATGTTAAAGATTCGTCAAGCTTACCAGTGATGAATACCAAGAACATATTATAATTGAAAAATAACTGTAGTCTTACCGTACCACTTGCCAGTGGTTGCCTGCATGACCTCAGGGCCATCATCATGAGGCATTGTGGGAATAAAAGCGTTCTATATGACAAACAGAAACATACACCTTATTTCAAAGTGTCTATACACTGTTTCTACTAGCCTAGATTGCCGGGATAGCTATATACGGGCACGGGTATCCAGTTTAGCCGTGCTCGGCCTTTGTATTGGTAGCCTGCATGAACACTAATAAAATTAGGTACGGTACCAATTTTAGCCGTGCCGTGCCAATAAAATTGACTGTAGTGTAGTTTACACTACTGTAGTTTACACTACAGTCAATTTATTGGCACGGCACGGCTAAAATGGGTACGCGTACCCAATTTTATTAGTGTTCAGGCTATCAATACAAAGGCCGGGCACGAATAAAAAGGGCGCGGGTACCCATTTTAGCCGTGCCGATAAATTGACTTTAGTGTAAACAGGGCTTAAAACTGGACACAGTTACCAATTTTAGCCGTGTCGATAAATTGAGTGTAGTGTAAACGGGACTTTTTTATACATTCATTTTCATAAAGCTCACATCCTTCAGAAGGAAATTCCCTACCAGAAAATTCCTACGCCCCTGTAGTAATCCCAACAATAGCATGAGGCAATTTAGTTTCATAAAGGCTAATTTTAATACCACAGCATCACCTCACGATTCGCTGAATCTCAGGTAACCGGGCTCGTATATAAAAACAACCCCTTAAACGTTAGCCTATATATACAACATTATAAATTGGAAAAATGTTTATTCTTACCACCATCATAGCTGGATTTAATGCCAAATTCGAAAAAGGTTGAAGCAATTGATTTTGAGGCGAGCATTTAATGACAACAAGGAAATGAGTTAATAAATCAATAAGTCGTCTATCAGTCGCAGATTGATGAGGACGTGACTGCAGAATTTGGGTGTTTGCGTTTCCAAAATTTTCCAAAAAACCTTCAGCCAGAGATTTCACCTGAAAAAGAAAATGTTATAAATTCATTGGTTAATTTAAGAAATTCAGTTCAACGATGAATACTTTATTATATATATACTATACAGTCTTATAATGATAGAAATTGCTCTTTAATTCTTGGTAATTCAGGTAATCTGATTGAGAACAAGCGAGTAATTGTCGTTCACGGATTTCATTTGGACGGACGATTTTTTGCACCAATCTTGGTTATATCTTGGTTATATCAGGGCGCTGTTCTATGCACGTGTGCATGTTCGGGTCGATCAAATATCGATGAACGCGTTATTCCGCAGCTATTTCTATCGGAACGAAGCGAAAGCGAGCGGTGCGGATTTTCGAAAAAACCCCATTCCGCATTGGCCATATTTAGGAGCGTTATCAAAACATCGACAATTGTTAAATAATTCGTTTTCAGCAAGTCGTACTTATATGTAGAGTAAATAATGCCTCCCTTGCTACTTATCTTCATACGGTACGTGTTTATTTCGCGAAAGTGAATATTAAAATTCGAACGGTAATTATTTTGCAACTTTTTCATCAATCAATTCTCACATCGCGTCGCATGACGTCACTACAGTGACACCCCCTCACTCCCAGTGACCTTATCTCAAACATCTCCCATCCCTTAGAGCATCACGTATCAGTGTTTGGGAACAGTTTTTCAAATGAGTTCATAAAGTCCTTACTTCGTTTGGTAAGTCCTTGATCCCGGTAATGTATTTTTTCAGCGTTTTCAAGACCTGGGAATGATATAAAGGTCTATTAGGTTTACAGCACTTAATATTTCCAGTGCGAAGTTCACATCATTTATACTGTACACTAAACGAATACAAATGAATTTATTAGTAAATATATTCAGGTTTATCCATTACAAAATAACCTACACCTTGGCCCTTGAAGGAAATTTTTTGATGCAAAAAATGTGTTAACCTCTGTAAAAACCTACCTTGGAGGGAATTCTATCATCTTTGTTTGAATGTCCAAAACTTGTTGTTACTTCACGGAAAAGGGCAAGCAAAATATAACACCAACGCGCTGGTGGCTGAATCTGTAAATTCTGTAAAATACAATCGTGATCTAGTACAACAAGTCGTAAAAATGCATTCCCGAAGAAAAGCCTTTCGCAATTGACCACAAACAAAATACACAAGAAAGAACTCGCCTGTAGGACGTCGCGTAAGTTGTCGAGACTAGATGTGAGGAAAGCTTTGCCAAGAGCTTCTCGCACAGTATGATACTCATCACGATGAACAATAAATGGGTCTGGAGTCTTATCTTGTTCCTAAACAATTGAAATGAAAAGAATTTCTGTTGATTTCTCGGGTAGCATATACTGCAACGCCTGAAAAGTGTTCTTAGATAATTAAGCTTTGTATTTTTATGTTTAAAAGCAAAATACGATTCTCCTATAGTTCATTTCCAAGACAAATGTGTTTGAACTATATCTTGCACGAAAGTAAGGGGAACGAGATAAAGGGATCAAATTATACAAAACAATACAAACGAACAATGAAACAATAGAATACGCCAATCGACAACCTTTGTTTGCCTCGAGTAAAAGCCTAATAAATATTTTTTTGTTTAATTTTTGAGTTCTTTATACTGTGTCGCAGAGAAAGGTATCCAGGATCAATCAGAGAAAACCCTAATGATTGCATCCCTTAACGTTTTCGAGACAGGATAAATTGTAATTTACAAAACCTATTGTGACCGCGGAAGCAATATAAGTGCGCAGACGCCATACACATATGTGACAAACAAGAACATATAACGTCAGGTAATGATTATCATATGCATTATACCTCCGACTGCGGGGGCATGATCCAATTTAGTTCCTCTTTTCTACATCTTTCTTTTACCGCATCAATTCCATTCGGATCATGGCGAACTAACTGTTTCAAAAGGAACAACTTAACCACAAATCTACTACAAAGTTGTTTCGCTGATGCAAGGCAGTTCGAAAGCTTTGGGAACCGTTTAACATTATCAGCAAAGTCATCGCTCAAATAGCTAGAAACGACCTCCAATGCGGATCTTATTCCAGCGATATCTTCAAGGCAAGAAACAGTAAGAGTGTTTGATGAAGATGAAATATTTCGTAGCGATCTATCCAGTATTCGGCTGGCAATATTGAGTTGCACATTTTCTCCCCCTTCTCTTGCCTTTAATAACGTCACAGTTTCCACGTCCTGATAAAAAATACACATCAATTACATAGGAGTATAGCAATAAGAATATTTTATCTTTCCGAACACAAACATTCAACATTCGCAATCTTGGATGTGTATGTCTTTAAAATACCCCCAAAATGGCGGTATAGCTAATTGTCATCGCAAGAAAGGTTAACACATCAAAATTATCCCAGCTATAAGTTCTTTCCAGCCAACGGGAATATAAAATATAATTATAATAATACATTTTATTAATCTTACATCGCGTCTAAAAATTCTCATACCTCCATACACTGAACACACAATACACAAACTTCGATTAAATGTTCTCTTTCACCTAATCCCTTGGCACGGCGTAGGTATTCTTCCAAATATTCCAGGACCTCATTTCGTCTAGAAAGGATCGATTACTTGAAAAACCTTGTAGAAAATGTTAACGTTTAAAAAACTTTACTGTTTTTACAAATTGAACAAATATTAACAATTAATGTTCAAAGATTTTTGTCCTAACTGCAGTATTTACAATGAAATACGCAGCTACATTCAACGAAAAAACGCGGTGAATGATATATACACAATAACAAGAGGCTAATAACATGCTTTCAGTACATGCTTTGAAACAGTAATTTCTTACATAAAAAGCATGCATAAAAGCAAATGTTTTTGGGGGGGAAATGAATTTAGTGGGTGAGTTTCCTAACAGCTATATATAGTTGCAGTGACATATATATATATATAGCCGTACCTCTCCTTTATTGCCAGAAGTTGCTGCAAAATATACGATCTGATAACAGGTGTGACATCAATTCCTTGTCCACCAAAAGGTGTAAAAGCTTCAGTTTTATTCTCATCATTAATCACGTAATTGATGAATTTTCGTACTAAATCTGGTTCTGGCAGCTGTTTTCGAAAGCAATACAACGAAACAAGCTCCACGAAGAATGACTTGCAGCGATTACGGAAATTGTTGTACATCTCCAGGGCATCTCTTTAAAGGAGTATTATAAAAATTTTATTGTAGTTTATTATATTAATATGCAGTGGCTAACCGCCATTGTGAAAAGCGATAATAACACATGTGTGATTATTCATGTTATTAACACATGTGCGATTATCGTTTTTGGTCAACCAATCAGGCGAGGAAGCAGTTATACGCGCCCTGGAAGTTAAAAACTAAAAAAACAGATTTAAATTATATATAAGAACAAAAATATATGCAGATGTTGGCCCAGAATTTGTTTACGTTTGTAAAAAATGTGTTTTAGGTATACCAGATTTGTTTCCAAAAAACAACCTTTGTAATCAAGTGTAAAACAACTATTCGTTAATTTCAAAGTATATAGGTAAATATCACTAGAGTAAAAATCTTGTTTCGGTTTATTTAGCCATACAAGCCCTCCATACGAATAATTTCAAAATTCTCTAGCTCCTCGTAATATTAAAAACGTTTAATTGTTTCGCTATATGCGTTGAAACATCATATTGCTACCACGACAATTGCAATTCGAGATAATTTTTGACCATACCTGCATTTTTTATTGGCAACAACTTTGAAGTCATTACCAACTTCTTTCCTGCACATAGGACAAGCGTTATGATCTTTAAACCACCCTCTTGCACAAGGCATACAACATGTATGATCACATGGCATCAAAATAGGATCTCGCAGTGGACGTTTACAAATCTCACATTGAGTGATATCATATCTAAAAAAAATGATATAACTTTTATCTGTAACTGAAAATAAGATGAGATGGAATTTAAGAAATGGTGCCCGGGATTCAAGATCTTGACCTACTATGGCAGCCAGAAAGAACGGAGAGTTAAAAGAACGGGTTGGACCAAGCCAAATGCGTTTTTTTATTTATATATATATTATATATATAATATATATATATATATATATATATATAATATATATTATATATATATATATATATATATATATATATGAAATATATGATGTAGACATGTCCGGTATTATATGACAATACTATTACAAAAGAGATTTCAGCTTCTGCGGACATAAAAATTTTTTTATATTAAAATAATTAAAAACGTTTCGTTATTTACAGCTTCATCAGTTTATTAAAAGTTCAAGCCATACACCGTTCTCTTTTATAATGCAGTCCATCTAATTACAAATGCTATATATCAATAAACCTGCCAATACAACCATTCATTAAACTATGTTTACTATTTTTAATTTCAAAAGCTTCTAAAATTTTGCGTTCATTATAATATTGGATATTGTAATGTAGTATTCCCTAGGTGATGGGTGAACCCTCCCTGGAATCATTACTATGTGTTTGTAAATGCGTATATACCGTTTGCTTTTTTATGGCATTTTTCATGCACGAATGATTTCATGCATGAGTGATTGCTCGGGTGATTAAACTAACAATGGTGTTGTGAAAAAAGTTACTCAAGCTGCGAGTTAAACGGAAAAAAGCCCACTTTTACGCTGTTGCGCAGCTGACTTAATTTTCATCAAAATTTCTGAAATTTCGATTCTTTGTAAACAAATACCCAAACGTTCAGCCTTTGAATTCAAATTGGATTTTAAACCTCTCATTCATGTTTGCACAAGCCATTCAAAATGATGCTTCCACAAACCGCTCTTCCATTTTTCGAGGTTAATTTTTCTGTTTGTTTTTAGTGTTAGAATGACCTGAAGATGGTAAAGTACACATACTAGCACAAATCTATGAGATATTTTAATAAATTTATAGTTTTCTAAACAATTCAAAATTGTCTACTTTTTTTTGATACACCCTGTATAGATAAATTCATCAGAAAGAGATTAAGGTTCAGGTGAATCCTGCGGCAAGCATTTCATTAATCTTTCTTCGTTATTGGTGAACTGAGGTAATATCTTCAAAATATAGTTATTAAACATGGTTATTTACTGTAAGACTAGCTAAGCTACTCGGAGTTTCACGCTATGAAGCGATCATCAGGCTAATGACAGGTTAGGTTGTAATTCTCTATAATTTACATCGGGACGAGTTACGTGTCTAAATTGTGTAAAAAGTTCGGGCTTTTGTTCAGCAGTGATTTAGTTTTGTGTTTCATAATGTGTAACGTCGGACAGTACCGCGATGACGGCCTCGCCGCTATACGTACTACGAAACTTTCAAAAATTTCGGGCTGAAAATCACCGCCACGGCTAACTTGAAGCGGGTAAATTTCCTTGACGTTGAACTTGACTTGACTGACGGAACATGCCAACCCTATACAAAAAACCAAACAACGACCCACTGAATATATACCTCAACCGTGTTTCCAATCACCCACCTGCCATCACACGACAATTTCCAGTATCCATCAACAAACGAATCAACAAACTATCACGCGACAAAACAACTTTTGACGCTGCATCTCAACTGTACAACAACGGATTGAGACAAAGCAACTACGACGCAACACTTACGTATACGAGCAACCAACTAACAATGACAACATCAACAAAAGCAAAACAACGCAAAGACGTAAACGGCAACGCAACACAATCTGGTACAATCCCCCTTAAGGCTGCTTTCCACTTACGCGTTTTTTATACGCACGTACACGTACGGATAATTTTAAATGCTTTTAAATTTTTATTATTTAACTTCTAAGTCAACTAATGCATGCCAAAATATTCAGAAAGTTAAATCCCTTCGATTCATTCACTTAGTTTTTTCAAAGGTAACATGTATAAGGATTTAGACTTTTACGTGCGTGTACGTGCGTATGAAAAACGCGTAAGTGGAAAACAGCCTTTACTGGAAAAGCGTAAAAACGAACATCAGACAACAATTTCTACAACTGTTAGACAAGCACTTCCCATCTTCCAAAAAAAACTCCAAAAAATCTTCAACTGACATAACGTACGAATTAGCTATGGCTGCCTTGACAACATGTACTCATTCATAAACAAACATAAAAAAAATACTAAGTAAACACACAAAACCATGCAGACAAACGCAAACACAGACGACGCAAACAACTCACGACAATGCAACTGCAGACGTCCGGAAAAATGCCCAGCTAAATGCCTCACATCAACGTAGTCTACCAAGCCGAAGTGTCCATGTGCAACAAAGATCCACCAGCCAAGTACACCGGAGTTACTGCGGACGATTTAAAAACGTGCTACCGAAACCACGCAAAATCTTTCGCGAACAAGAAATACGCGAAGCAGACGGAGCTGTCAAAATACATATGGAAGCTGAAGGAAGCTAAGAAAGCGTTTTCTATAACATGGTCCCTCCTGAAAACCGTCCCAGTCTACAAAGCCGGTTCAGGAAGATGTAACCTCTGCCTTGAAAAGAAGCTATACATTATGTAACGCAAACCTAAATCACTGCTGAACAAACGCTCTGAACTTCTCACACAATGTAGACACGTATGTAATGCAGGTTCTCTACGTACCTGATGAATCGTTTGCTAATTCTTTCACAGCAATCCTTCAGGAATCTCTCTATTGCAGTCATAGTACGGACGGTAGAAAAGTCGAGGTTTTCTCCTAAAACCTAAAATTTATGAACTTCAATCAATACATGAATACTTCCTGATAAAATAATTCTGTTACCCAAGCTAAATGGTAAAATACGAGTATGCAATAACCAATCAAAATCTTGTATAAATGGTTGAAAATTAAAAACATTGAAAACCATGCATATTGTTGTAAATACTATCCCGAGATAAATTTTTCAATTTTGTAACCTTATTGTGCGATATCGAGCAGAACTGAATACATGAGAATATTTGAATATTTACGCTTTATTGTTCTAGTTACGCCCCTGGGTTCAGCCGTCTGACCACATGAAGGTAAATATAGTATAGTAATACGCTCTGAGGTCAATTCTCACCGAGTGCATTTACTTACGCTCAAAAGCGCGTTGGAGTCACATGTAGTGAGCCACTTTTTGATAGACTCTCATATGTTTCAAATTAATAAAAGTGCATGGAAGATTGCCTAAGTTTTTTTTCTGGATTGGTTCGGAATAACAAAGGGCTTTATCAGTTTACCTTCCACAGTATAAAAGCGTTCTGTGCATTAGCTGCATAGGTTCGCTGGCCAGGTGGGCATGTATGTTCGATAAACATGCGCACAACATCTAAACGTATCCACATCATTCTAAAAGATAAAAACAAAAGATTTTTAGGAATTTTTGTTTCGTAATGATTAAATGTGAATACTACCAAGAAAAAGTTTGAAAATTGATTGTACGGAAATATAGGAATTTGTTTTTATAGCATAATTATATAGCATAAATTATTGTATACCATTGCTATTACCATTTTCGCATTTTATTTCACATAAAAATAAGTTACATTATACCAGATTTTTGGCTCCCAATTATCGAGTTTAATGAGACTCCTAAGCTTGGAGAGCTCGAATAGACTTGGAAGCTTCAGTAGAAATATTGTTCAAACTTCAGTTTGTTAATGTTATCTGCTTCTTATCAAAACTCTGTTATACTAATAAGGATATACACACCTGCATTCTTCAAAAATTACAATAGATTTTTCTCCAAACAGGCGAGTAACAAATCCAGCTTGGTCACCATCTTTGTTCTGTTGTTTATTCCAGCTATATTTCAGATTTTTTAAAACTTTCACAACTGGGCCAACACGCTGAACACGGTTGCACCAACATGATCTATTACCAATGCTTTCCAGATCTTTGGGTGTTGGTTCCAACTTCTGCAAGCAATACTCAAGTGCTACCGTATCCAGTATCTAAAATCATAATTGCTCATTTAATTATATATCTTTTATAATCAATTATATCTCCTTTATAATCTGATCTGCAATATCATTAGCTAAGAGAAGTGCGTTTCAGCATAAATCGCACCCTGCGAGTTTTAATTACCATTTACCATACCATTTCTCCAACTTTCAACCGATCTCCTAGCTTTATTAGTTCTTTCACTAGACCGGGAAAAGCATGAACCAGTTCAGAAAAGTTTGCCAAACGAGCTTCAATGAGGGAGTAAGTGAAATGAATAAAAGGAATGTCAATGTCAAAATCTTCATTTTCGTGCAGCAATTGATGTATTTGCCCAGAAGCTTCGAAAAAGGCATCGTATATCAACTAAAGGGAAAACAAAGTTCAAAATAAAACTTTAAAAACGTTAATCGTAAAATGTGAGGTCGGGACACACCGGACGCGATCGGCCAACGCGACTTTTACGAATTTTTGAGTTTTCAAAACCAACTATAATTTTGAAGATGTTATGATATTCTTGATAATTACTGAACGAAACGTTCTTTGGACATGTCTGGGACCCGTAGCTCTCAAAGTTTCCTTCCAGAATTTAATTTTTTTGCCTCAAAAAACTGAGGATTCGTGTCGCGTTGGCAAAATCGTGTCCTGTCTGTGTGGGCTTCAAAGCCCTGATTCAACGAGCGAAATTTTCAAGGGAAATGCGAATATTTCGGCTGCGTCTTTTGAATTGTGAGCAATCAAGCTGAATTTCAATAATTTCTTTTACAATAGTAGAACATAGCTATATCATAATAAAAACAAGAAACAGAGTGATATAGCGTATATGACCCCCAATCTTAGTAAAAACAAGAAAGTTTTCAAAAGCAACCAAGTTTGATTATGTTATGATGTTCTTGATAATTACTGAAGATTAGCACATTTTACATGTCTAGGGCCCATTGCTCTCCAAATTTCCGTCCAGAATTGTTCTTTTTTGCTTTAAAAAGTCGAAATTTCGAGTCGCGTCCAATGTGTGTGGGCCTTTTATGCAATTAAATGAATTATAATTATCAACACAGTGCAAAGGAATGAATTCTCACAAGACCTTACGCGGGATAAACATCCGCTATTTACCTCCAATTCCCCATTCTCTATCGGTTTGTACATCATGTGAAGAAAATCATGAAGGTAGTTTTCTGTTGCTTCCTTTTTATTCTCTTTGTCTCCAAAAATAACTTTCAGGTAATTTCCCAGTGGTGATTGGTAAAAGATCCCTCTTAGTTGAAGCAGTGTCTTTGAAAGGTCGCCTACAGTACAAAAATGCATGCAAGTATGCTATTTTTAGTTGCAAGCCATAACTGGGTTATGCCCCCGAGCCGGCGAGGGTAGTAATTCCGCTGGAAGATTAGGAATTACACGCGGGTAATGTAACAAAACATAGCGGAATCTAAAGCTGTCCAAATATTATGTCATGGACGCTGGGTGGTTTTGTTAATTATGCGCATGCCCGAAATTTAAACGAGAGAAAAACGTTAATAAGCGGACCTACTGATTGGCTGAGACCGAAATTTGTATCTCAATGATAACCTCAGCAATTTAACTGCCAATTCGGAAAACTGTAATCAAAAACAAAAATGGTTGCTCTTTAAAATTAAACAGCGAAAAAGAAATGATTTATAATCTGTATAAAGCTTTAAAATGTTTTAAACCGGTGCGGTATAGAGGATGCCGTTTATTTGTATATGAGCTTGATACTGTTTAGATGTCCTTCTGAAACCTCAAAAGTTGAAATTTTAACAGCTCCGCAAGCGTGTAGGGTCTATAAAACGTCTGCAGAAAATTGGTGACATACACTTTAATGTTATGACTATATTTTGTACCAAATGATTAGCTAGCGACGCATTCTTATTCCATAATGTAAACTTATTGTTATAGCTAGGCTAGGTGTGACTAGCCCAGGAGATTATTTCCTTGGTTGGAAATGGCGAGGTGCTGCTTGCATGTATGGTTCATTCGAACCGCGACTGAAGAGCAATAAAAAATTTAGTAAGTTTGTTTGAAGGAGAAATTACGTGTTAGATGCAATTTTTGTTAAAAGATCGTACCTGCAACTTTTATTAAAAGATCGCTGACTATATCTTTAATGATCCATGAAAACGGAAACTTCCCGTTAAAAGGATGTCCAACACCTGTATTTTGAACAAAGGCTCTTTCTCTTATTCTTTGTGATTCAGGGGAAATAAACGAATCGTAAGTTAAAGGCGTAATTTGTACTTCACTAAGCATCCAAAACCACAATCGCGATTTCCATTCCTTTCCTTCATGCGGTATATTGAGGTTGTAATTTCGATCACAGAATGCTATCACTTCAGACAATATCGGGGAAACAATCGAAGAAAGTTTCTGCCATAACGCTTTTCTGAATGTCCCAGTTTCCTGGAGATGCCCCTGAGACAATGCCTCGTGTTGTAGCCAGAGTTTCTGATCCTGAAAACATTTCTCGTCCCGTTCCACGAGTAGTCCATAAACACGAGATGCTAGGATTTGGGAAAGATCTGAAAATATAAATTTAGTAATACAATTGCGATGGCTTTCTAACTTTATTGAAATCTTAGCGACACCTACATGTCTACCAATGCACAAGACCTATATATGAAGTTTAGAAGAGCATTTTCCCCAATTGACAATAAGAAGGGCGTTACTTTAGTAAGACGGAATGTAGCTTTTGGGTAAAGAAGTTCAAATCTGCAGTAGCTTAGCGTTTAAAACTTGCCCAACTTGAAATGCTTCCTTCAACGTAATCATACATATCGATAATAGTCTTTAGGGTAACCATTTCGCTCTATATACTAGATTACTCACGGAATTTTTAGATGCACATTTTAAGCAGGGATATTAGGCATCTAAATGTTTGAGTACAAGACTAAAATTTTATATACCTATATATCAGGCAACATATCTAAAGCAAAAATCTATTCAGAACTTCTGCTTGGCAACCGTTGCTATAACCACAGAGAGGTTTCAAAATTGCCGCTAAATAGAGTTAAATCGAGTTTATATTGCTAACGAATTCGGTGACTCCCAAATTTTTTTTCCTCAAAATTTTACACTATAGCTGATTAATCGAAAGTAAAGTTTTAAAAGAATTCTCTCAAGTGCAATTTTTTTAAAGGGCTAAAATAACGTTTTTTGGAATAGAATAAATCATCTACAGTCTAAAATTTTAATGAAAAAAATTTTGACGTCATCAAACTCGTTTACAATATAAACTCAATTTAACTCTATTTGGCGGTCATTTTGAAACATCTCTGTTGCCATAGCAACGGCTGCCAAGAGAATTCGGCTCTAGATATGTTGCCAGAAACGTACATAAAATTTTAGTCTTCTACTCAAACATTTAGATGCTTAATATCCCTGCTTAAAATTTCGAGAAACTGTAGGGAGCCACCTTAAGAATGATTTTAAACTATTTTGAAACATTCTTTATGCATGATTAATATACAATCTTCGTGCATTGGCCTAAATCTACTCACGCGATTGGTTTGATTATATGTAATCGTGATAATACTATAGCCACGACATCGTGACATTTCTGTATGAAATTTTAGGAATTTTCACAAACAAAACTAGGCTATATATGCTATATATAGTCCACATCCGTGTAGTATTATTGTTCAGAACATTGATAAATCTTTAGATAATTGCACAGTAAGCTGCTGAGCTGCCTAAGTCTTTTTAAAACCAAATTAGGACAGTGTCCATTGCATTTATATGCTCATGGATCTTACTAAATGATATAAGGAAGAATCCTCCCTTTTATTTAACATTTAAATGATGGAGTAAAAACAATAATCATCAAAAAACCTGTTTCTTGTGTATCATCTTCTGGTAAAAACTCAAGCAATATTTCTATGCGTTTCGTGGCTCTGTCAATCTCCGCTGACTCATCGTAGATTCTTGCTGCGGCAGCCTGCAGACAATTTTTCAGTAGCAATGCTGCCTTTATTTCGCTCAGAGCAGTTCGTTTTTTATCTGATTGCTATATGATAAAGAAAATAAAATGCTTGCATTGGGTGAATGATAAAATGATGAAAATTGTCTTCTTTGGCGTAGCTACAGTAGCTACTTTGTAGCCTGACGATTTTGTCCCACTATTTAAATTTCGAGTTATTATAATTGGTCACGTCTTTAGAAATTTAGTGTTTTCACAGTCAATGGACAACAAATATTAGCATAGCCGGACAAATCGTCAGGCTGGCTACGCTACTGATGGTCTTTCGTGGTCATTTATGGTTGGCTTAATGGTATACTTACATGAAAAAAAACGCAATATGATGACCAAGCAATTTTAATACTACATACCTCTAATTTAATGTCCTCCATACGCACATCCCCATCATAATGTTCATCAACATCCATACTCTCAATATCATCACTGCTTGCAAGGTTTACTGGCTTGAATAAATCACTCACAGAGCGGTTCATAAGCTGTTCAATTTGTGGAAGCTGTTCGCTCGATTCAAGAAGTTCGTCAATATGGATCGATTGCCACTTTCCACCTTGAAACCCTACAAAGTGTTGACAACCACCAGCAATCTTTGGTAACTGAATAATAAATACGACGTGGATAGGCTTAACAGGCCCATCAAAACTTTCAATTTTACGACGCCGGGTATCATCAACAAGATGTCGACAGCAGGCGATTAAGTTAGAATTCGCTTCACCATTATCACATTGGACAAGAAGGAGACCTTCAGCACCACCAAGTGAAACAAAAAATTCTCTAAAAAAATTATGATAATAACTGCTTAAAATGTAATAAAATAATAACAGAAATACGAAATGACAGCATTTCTGACGATTAGGAAAGTACTCGCATGGATTAGCCATAACAGAATTTTCATACACAATGAATGTAAATGAGGATACAGGTGTTATCACCTGTAGAATGGTCGAAAAAGTTCGAGTGGATAACGTAGATTGGTTAAAAGAGAGTTCGTTAGATACTGTTTTGTTGCTTAAGTGTGCATATGAAAGTCGCTAGGGGGCGACCCGTGGTTTGTTTTAAGCAAATGGAGGCTTTGCAGCTGGGAATTTTTGCATTTAGGAAATTACTATCATATTAAAGACGCGAGTATCTCGGTTGAAATATTGGTTGAAATATATAAATAGTAATTACAGCAATCGAATCTATAGAAAGCCTTTAAAAGAATATTGTGGCCAATTCCTTTGCTCGCATGTATCAGTTGATTACGGATTACATCTTTTCATTCCATTCAAAAATTTTCATTCCATCAAAATTGTCCTTAAATCAACCGATAAGTTTGTATGATGAAAAAAATTGCTTAACGTTTTCGGAATGCTTCTATCGCTGCAACTATAATTGTAAATTTTACACATAATACATGCATGAAATTATACTGGCGTTGCTATTAAAAAAATCAATACTTACTCTAATGTTTTGGTGAATTGTTGTTCAGTGTGAAATTCCTGAAGGCTAATACAACGAGCATTTGAGCCTTTGAATCCAGCATCTGATGCTATGGACCGTGAATTTCCTGGCGATAACAATCTTGAGTGTGTGGTTATCTATACGAATGTAAATGCGCTGCAATATGAAAGGACCCAATTTATCGCTTAAGAGTGCCTGAGAAAATCCATGCAAGTTCTTTTGAAACTTAGCTTAAAACAGCTTAGAAAGACATGGTCGAAATATTACAAAGTAACTGGCAAGTACAGTACAATGCACTTCAGTGCTTGAACTTTTTCAGAAAACTTGAAACGTCGGCAATAACTTTTACCTTCGATCTCTGTTTCTAAGCGCGCGAAGCCCTTCGGTACGGATTTCTGTTTGACATGGGCTCGATTTGATTGGTTAAAGTTTTTCATCATGTGCGTTGCATGAATATAGCCGCAGTAATTACTGCGGTAATTTATTATTAAAGCATAAATGCATTAGACTCGGACGTTTCACAATGACAGAATTTAAAGTGAAAATAGACAACTTAGAGAACTAACTTGTATAAGAGATCCGTGTTTTTCAGGAGTAACTCTATCCAGGCAAGCAACCAAATAGTCTTTCAAACTTCCATGTCTTTGAGTTTTGAAATATACATTCCAAAGCTTCTCCGCATCACCTTTCATTCTTGTCGCTGGTAGTCTTGCGATAGCATCAGGAGATGCACATTGTAACAGCGCGAGTTTTGATTGCAGAAGAATCTAGGAAATAATAAGATGAGATGATATAGTTTATAATATAAGTATGATATAACGAGCAATTTGATTGGCTACCGCGCGTGCATTGTGAGGCCATAATGCACGCTTCTGGCTTTTGAAGTTTTTGTTGCTAAGCAACATCTTAAATAACATGTAAGGAGAATTTCATTATTGATCAAATAAATAATTTTTGTTATATTATAAAAGAATTAAAAAAGCTCGTCGCGTGCCTTTATGGTGTAATAATGCACTCGGGGAAATGTTGGAAGAATACTCGAGAAGCTTGTAAAACACTCGGCTACGCCTCGTGTTTTACAAGCTTCTCTCGTATTCTCCCAACATTCCCGCATCGTGCATTATTACATCCTAGGCATAAAGGCACGCGACTCGTTTTTTAATTCTTAAATAACCTGTCGTGTGTCATTTCACTGGTTTGCCGGTGATGTGAAATGGCACAAACAGCCGTGCAATACAAAAATTGGCCAAAAGTAGATCGACTCGGTGTGTTCAAAAACTCTTACCTGATCATCAGGCGAATCCTTTTCAATTTTGATGATCACTGCAGCAGCAGTGTCGCTATGGTATCCAACAAAGCAATCGCCAGGCTTGAATAGGCTATATGGATGTACATACATTATTGTTTAAGAATAATTATCGCATTTTTCAGCAAATACACTCCAGGTAGAGCTTAAAAAGAGTGCGCGGATGCAATGGAATGGTAACAAAAAGTCTATTACAGTACAGGTTCCTCCGTGAATCACCTAATGTCTTCGGCTAAACGATTTTCCGGAAAACGATACAGTTTTAAATTTTCCACGGAATGAAGCTGGACAGGGTTGCCTCAAGTAAAAACTCCCCAAAAACCTTCCACCTTTAATTCAGCGATATAAATCACGTCGCAATTACATCAAATATTATGTCTAAAAGAATCTAAACTTAACATGTACCTGAAACACTTTATATCGAACAAAACAATTAATCACCTTTTATTACATGAAAATTCGGGAGATGCTTCTGAGAAACCTTCGACCCACTCTTGCAGTTTTTCGACCAAAACAGCTTGGTGTTTTGTTAGGCCAGTTGACATTACAAGTAAATGCTTTTCCAGTCGATTGATAAGAGGAATTGGAAATCGCCGATAAACAACATCTTTTTCAGCAACCACAATCAACCTATCCAATCCAATTCATTGAGCAATTTGAGCAATTTAGAAGCGTTGTTTGAAATTAGCTACGTTTGAAATTCAACATGCCCCAAATAAAAGGGAGAAATACCATCATCAAGGAAAGACATTTAATTCTACTTCATTCCAAGTGCTATAAACTGCATTCAAAGGAAAATCTGCTGGCTATGATTCTTTTCATTACTAAAAAAATGGTACGATCTTGGAGATCTGGTTCAGCATATTTGGCGTATTAGGCCTAGTTCATACGTCGCATTTTGGTCGCGTCGAATGATACATACAACAATAATGAGATGATAATGAGGCTGAACGAGGTTTACCATCTCATTATCTATCGTTTGAATGCATTTGACGCGACCAAAATGCGACGTATATGAACTAGGCCTTACTTTCATCAAATTTATTGCAGCTATTTACTGTCACAAAGTCATAGTGTAAATACGTAATGAATGTATAATTTGAAATACTTACTTAAATTCATTCGCCACTCTACACTTCACTCTGTGGTTCCCCAGACCAAGGTCAACATACTTTTGATTAGCAAGATACACATAATACTACATTAAAGACAATCATAAATGAATTAAAAGAAAGGGTGTTCATTTTCGTCTGACCCAAAAAAACCCGGTGAACAGCAGTTTTATTTTTCATTGGAAAAATTAGATTACTTAATTCGAATAGGATTTTGAACATTTCAAGAAGTATATTTTTTAAAAAGCACATGTAGCTATAAAGCACGTAGAATATTTTTTAGCAATAGGCTTTTTTTGCAATCCGATAAGTTTTGGGTTTAGAAATGATAAAATTAGAAATAAGAAATATTTTGACACCCTGCATTGGTGACATTTTTCATGCATTAGTCAATTAATTTTTTGAGAACAATTAAGTGTATAAAAGTAAAAACATCGTATTTTTGTATAAAATTATACCCACATTGCGGTACAATTGATAAATTTTAACTTCATTTACACCTTTTTTAACCCCCAGAATTCTCGTCTGGGCGAAACGTGCATCGCGAGTAATCTTATTAATCGCACAGCTTTGCGATCAATGATGAGATTGCACAGTTTTCAGTTAATCCAGAACTTTTTTTATTATAATTATGGAAAACCTTTGTAGCTATATCTGTAGCTATACCTGATTTAATGCATCATATAAACTTTCATAAAGGCTTTCTAGGTTGAGTAAAATCACCATTTTTCCAGTTTCCATGCATACTTTAATTCGATTGATGTTTCGACAAATCTATAAAAAGGAAAAAACCCCGACAGTTTGTACGTTCAACGCCATGTTCAAAGATTTTCAACATGCAAATTATTCTGCGAACTCAAGTCGTGTATGCGCTGATATAGACGCTGAGCAGAATAACTGTTTTATTATATACACAAACGCTGGATTAAACAACTTTCAAATTTATTATAAATTAATTCAATTAGTTACTGAATACACGTTTTTAAAAATTGGATAATTAAATACTGTATCTCGTTTTTTTGAACATTTTAAAACATAATAAAGGAAACAAAACCGGTTTTTTTTCGTAAACCTATACCGTTGAATACTTTCAATCCAACGTTTGTCACTCTTTAATTCAGTACATTTTGGTATATTCTATAAAGTAATCTTTCAGCCATTTTGCTGACGTTGCTTTCTCTACTGTCTACAAATATATAAGCTAATATCTGTGAGATAGAGTCAATCAAATTGCATATATTAGCTAATATCCAGCGCTTGTGTATATAATAATGGCAATTATCATAATTAAAAATATATTCACGTTTCACTTCTCTTTAAGGTGGCTCCCTACAATTTTTGAAATATTGAAAAATCATGATCTATATATAGACTTAATTTTTTGAAAAGAGGTTTCATGTTAGTGGACAAAAATTGTACCGTATATATTGTTCAGTATTCCAGAAGTCTGAAACTGTTTACAAAAATGACGTCGTTACCGTTGTTGTGGTAACAATGGCGTTTCAGTAGGGCCGATATTTCACCTTAGTTAAAAAAAATTCTGTCAAGCCAAAAAATATTTATCAAGAAAAATCACATTTACTATTTTTTCAAAAATCTGGCTAGACAGAATTTTTTTATACTTGTTCAAATTTTCTATATTTTTACAAGAAAGCGATTAATGAAATAGAGCCGAACTTGTTTTCGAGTAAAATGCGGGAAAAGGGAAAATGGCGGCCATATTGAAACGCCGTTGTTACCATAACAACGGTAATGACGTCATTCTTGTGAGCAAACGTCGACCCTTAGAAAATTGCTAAATTTATGTGCTACAATTTTTGTCCTCTAACAATAACCCTCGTTTCAAAAATAAAATCTAAATAATGGTTTTGCTATATTTCAAAAAATGTATGGAGACACCTTAACAATAATCATGGATATATTTATAGAACATATATTTATAAAACAGATTGTCAAAATACTGTACCTGTGTGTATCGTTGATCTTTCGGGAAACTGCTTCCAAAAATAATAACTGGATCGTGCTCGTAAAACTGCCCCTGTAATAATCTTAGCGCTGCGTAGTTCTCAGTTAGAACAAGTAAATAGCGACTTTCCCTAAAGTATAAAAGTGCAAAATATATTGTTTGTAAATGAAAACTAAAGGTTTTTCCCAGCAAAACTAACATCGCCTCATGGTTTAAAACATCGATTAGAAAATTAATTGCAAAAAATTGTTTTCGCTAAAAATGTAAAACGATAATTATACTTAATACAAAAATATTAGCAATTCAACGCACCCTTCTTTTTCGGTTCTTACAAGGCTTTCTTGAATAAGATTCACCGGGAAGCATTCAGGGGAAGGACGCTTTCAAAAGAAATATAAAATATTTACGCTAAATAAAATTCTATAAAATATTACCATATTTCATTATATATAATATGCAGTGTTTTATTAGCGAATCCGCCATTAATATCAGCGATAATATCACATGTGCGATTATTCATAATAATAACACATGAATAACACATAAATATACCATACTTTTCGCGCATCCATGTATTATTATTCTCTGTGTTATCAAGCATTTTACATTTTTACCCCAACAGTCTCTTTAAGTCTTGGAAAAAGTTCCTTCTCACAAAATGTTTTTACTGGATCAATGTCATCTAAGCCACTGAAATTCCTCCGTATGGATTTTTCCAGTTCTATAACGCTGATTTGATCACCCTGCTCTTCTTTTTGTACAGCAAAACCAAACACCATTTTTACTAAACTGCAAAACAGAGTAAAAAAATCATGCATATAATTTTTATAACAAGTACCGGTTTTCCATACCTTCATAAGTTCCCGAATTACTTTATATTAAATGAAGATGAATGTTTAAATGGATGTATCGGATTTGTACGTAAAATGCATATATACGTACAAATCTGATATATGATTTGAGCTCATAACAAAGGAAAAAGTCTTGCTGCTTGGTATAATTCTAGGGTATATAGTTGGACATTTATGCGAGCAAAAATGTTTAATGAGCGAACTACTTTCATATTGAAATTCTAAAAAATTATTGATATTCCAACCTGTAAAAGTCTCGAAGTCCAAAAAATTCATCTTTTTGAGCTTTTTTGAGTGTGTCTGATTTGCTTTGTTCCTCGTAGAGTTTAAAATACCCTTTGCATAACTTCGAGACAGTTGTCTCAAGACGTAGTTTTATTTCTTGGCGAGATGAACAAATTCCACTAAGTATAAAAATATTTGATAACAGATAACATTTTACTTTACTTTAGTTTAAGACAATAGGATACAAATGTGAAAACGCAACCTCATTGGTCAAGAAAAATGTTTATATACGCTAATCCGGGTACTTATTTTCAAACTATATAGATTTTTAACTTTTAAGGTAGCTTCTTTAACTATTTGCATGCATGTACTATAATTATCACACAGTCTAAAAAAGGACAAGCAAGGATGACTGGGGTTGCATGTGAAGTCTTTTTACACATATGTAAAGAAGATGTATATACAGTATGAGCTCGCACATATATACATATCGTGTAAGGGTTTTGAATTTTGATAAAACAAATACTATTTCAAGGTTTATCTGATCGACAAGAAGGCCCTCACAAACCTGGCGCTATCTTGCAGCTCCTTTTCATTTGGTACTCCTCTACTCAACATAATTCCACGGTTCATTTTGGCGGGGTCCAATGACCAATTGGATAAACCGATAAAACCAACGCGGTGATGATCGGATGTTGTCCCTGATTCTTCAGTTGTTGCTGTGCCATCTTCTAATAAAGGGTGGAGCGTTTTCAAAGGCATCAGAGGAGAGTCCTCGGCCAATCCAATTTCGTCTAATACTACCACAGACACGAACTTTTTCAAGTCTTTGTCTTTTTGTAGTTTAGCACATTGTTTGAAGGTAGAGACGATGCCTTCGGGCGTGGATAATGGACTGCATTGGTACGATTGCATGTGGATCTATGAAAAGTACAGCAGTCAACGTCAATTTCGGAAACGATTAAAATACTAATACAAAATATTTCAAACTTTCATTATAGCTACCATTAACAGGAAAAATACACTCCCCTTTGGAGAGACCTTAGATTCAACAGGCAACGATTCATGTATGGTAGTAAAAAGAAACGACTAACGTTTACAGCAATGACATTAATTGAAAATCTTAGGGGTAATAAAGCAATTCCACGGAAATTAAAACAGTGCAAAAAGTTACCTGTATCTGTAATCGGTCCAACTGGCACGTAAAACTAAGGATTAAGACTAATTACCATGCTGATGAATATTTATCATGCAGAAAACCCATTCACGTATATTAATTCATGCACCAACCTGTTTTAAGTTTTTGAACAATTCGCTTTGCGAGTTTCCAGCTTTCATGTTGGTGGATATAACGTCTTTCGCTAAAGATTTCGAACTGCCAGGTTTGCCGACCACAAACAACGGGATGCGCAACTCGGTACAAATTGCCATCATGAAGACGTTCTCACTTAGAGCGATATTTTTGGCGATATTCTGACCCACTTGTATGCCATTCAAAAATCCACGTTGACACCTAAAACCAGATTCATGTAAGTTGTGCGGGGTATTTTAATCATTTCTTGTTAGGGAATACAAAATACGACGTAGAGCAGAAATATCCTAGGATACCAGGATCTAGGGTAGAAATACCAATGACTTTTTGCCTGTTAAGCAAATGTTAAATTGTTTTTAGTACACTAGTATTTTACTCCAGCATCTGTGTAGCAAATCGGCATATAGCGAGTTAGAAATGCTTGTTGCTATACCTCTAAAATAAGATGACACTTACCTCTCGATTTCCCTTTGCATCCTGCGTCCACCTCCCGGAAGAGGACAGGAATTGTCAAAATATCTCGAGATTTCTTGACAATATTCTTCTCTTGTATTTAATCGGGCATAGTAACAAACACCAATCCCCAGGATTAGTGCACGGGCAATTTGACTCAAGGGCTGAAAAGCGAAAACATCGAAATACATTTAAATTTTGTACACTATTCTTCTTGACAAAAACATGAAAATATCATATTTATGTACACAGTGATTTCAAAATTACATCTATTAGTTATTTGACCCTATAGGCGCCAAGTTAATTATTAGATCCTAATCCCCTCTTGGTCCTGGTTCATCCCCTTCTTTTACACTAAACTCCGGCATATGTAATATACGCACTTGTTCGCCTATCGCAAATTCTTCTTTAGACTGATAATCTTCTTCTTCACTAGATTCTTCAGAACTAGTATTTTTATCACCATTTCCATCTACATCACCAATAATTTTGATGATCAATTCAGAGTTCGAATAAAACCAGGTGATAACCTTCATCGCTCTTTCAACATCACGCAAACTGACAAAGCTGCACTCGTTCTGAAGAAAAAAAGCCCGTTTAACAACATACAAGAATTTACTTCTAGTCATAATCAGTTGGAAATCATTTCGTTTCTCTTGTTTGTTTTTTCATGTCCCATATTTCAATCTCCCTTTTCTTGCATGCACGGGCGGGGGATAAACTGTTAGGTGAACCATTGTAATCGTCTACTAGAAATACATGCATGCAGCAACCCCTCGCCTGGGTTGAACGAAATCAGTTAAGCATAGGGATGGTAAAATGATTGTTAGAAAATTTATGTGGGTTGGGGGTTTTGGAGGTACATGGTATAGAGAGAAAAAGGAATTGAGAAAAGTATGGAAATATTTTTCTGCAGGTGGAAACATTGTAGTCATAGCTATTGAACTCAAATAAGACTGGAACGCTCACTCTCTGACTTTCCCTCATTAGTGAGTGAAGCCAAGATGGCGGATCATGAAGTCTTTTTTGTAGGTATGATCCAGGCCTCTGGCGTGGAAATTCCAAAGGAAACACGCGTGTTTTTTGCGTGGATTAGTCACGAAGGGTGGAAGCATGGCGACGCGGCCGGTTATATTTTTTGGAAACTCGTTGAAATGGAGAAATTTTGTATTTTTTGTTTAAATCATGCAGGCATTTTACGCTTTTTTCAAACAATTTTCAAGGGAGAGTATATTTCTAAAGAAGAATATGTAATCGATGGAATATTGAACGTATATTACATATCATGTTTGGGTCGTCAAAATATTTAGACAAAATTCGAACGTATATAAAAGAATTTTTCCTGAGGATCAATATGGCTGGAAAGGTAAGTATTCAAACATATTTACATATATAATTCTACTGATTATTAAACAAAATCAATTTGTTTAGCTGGTGCCTGGAACTAGGCAATCCATTTTGCCCAACTGTCTCACTAAAATGTTTGCCGTAGGTGAACAATCGCAGCGTGAAGTATTTATCTGCAGTCCATTTGATTAGCTTTAGCTGGTGGTCATTTTCCCCCTTGTGCTCTTCAAACACTGATTGGCTGGCTTCAAAAAGCAAATGATGGCAAACGTTAACAATCATTTTGTTTTTTAGCTTTTTTACAGTGCTGATGCCGTTCGCGATAACTGACTGCCTGAAAATGTGTTCGCATCGTTCGATCGTCCGAAACACGGATTTGGATGGTATTTTCAATCCACTGTTATTGACGAACAGGGTGAATGCAGAGGCTGAAGACACTTCGTCATACGTGGACGCTCCACAGTAGTCATGATCTGATAATTCTGATTGCAGAATTATGTTGCCAACAAGATATTCCTGGCATCTTTCACAGGTAACCTTCATGATTAATTTCTTCTCCATAAATCCCCCAATGTAGAATAAAATGTTGGAAATAAATTCAAAGTGAATGTTCTGATCTAAATGCTCGAACATCAAGTTTTCTTCTGCTTCTTCGCTTTCATCTTGTGTTGTGCCATTTTCATCCATGCTCTCGCCAAGTGGTGCCCTGTGTTTTTTCCTGTGAAAAATTGGTATGATGGTGTTGGTTTTAAATTCCACACACATTTTTTAGAAGCAGTGATGGCATTTTTCATCATCATTTGTCGAAGAGCATATTTGAGTTGCAAAGTGTTTGGATTATTATTCCAACCTCCCCTTGATCGCACGCAAGAGAAGAGAAGTTCCAAGTGGTCTTGGGAATACTTGTAAGTTAGAATGTACTTGAAGGGGTTGATAGGCAGTGTGAACATTTGGTTGGCCATGTTAATAGTTGATATGATGTCAGTTACAAAACCGATGATGAAAGTTTTCCTTCTGTGAGTTGCCAGGAGTTGAGATGGTGAACCTACTTATAATGATAACAATTAGGTTGCTGTTGATTTCAGAACTTCTTCATAAGTTGCTTTGTTTGTGACACGTAGAGGCTGTTTGAATCCTTTCCCCACAGGATTTCTTGAATTTAGGACATCAAAAAGCCAATCGATCATTCTTAAAAATTTGACAGTGCCCTTACTGTCATGAAATTTTGGATTTTTCATGCCAACATCTAAAAATTCAATGGCATCTGCAACAGAAGAACTCAGTGTTTGTGCTGCGAGACGCACATTCATTTTGTGTTTTTCAAACTTGATGTGGTTTAGTGAAATTTTGTTCCCCATCTTTAGCCCCTCTTCTTGTTGAAGCTTGTTTAGTTCCTTGAAGTAATCCCATCGTATTGGTTGGCCTTCGTCATCTTTGATGGTGCCAAGGAATGCTAGGGCATTCCTTGCCAACTTGAGCATATGGCAAGGATCTGCAATTATGAATACGTCTTCTCCAGTTGTTGGGTGGGGGAATTTTGTTTGAAATGACTCGTATGTGGAACCAAACTTGCATCCTAATTGCTCGAAGGTACTCATATTCACAGATGTTCCATCTGCAGTAATTGACCACACTTTGAGTCCTGCTTCAGCGGCTTTTATCAGAGCTGTCTTGATTAATTGTGTTTGGGTCTTCGATGCGATTTTATTCGTCAGGAAGTAACCAATAGGGCATTTCCAATTGCTTCTTGTGCCAGCAAGAAGAAAAACATGTGCCTCTGTAGCCAATGTGTCTGGATCGTCAGAAATTGGACCACCCTCTCCATAGTTTACAAAACCAACATAGCAATCATTCTTTGGGTCGTATATTGTTTGCTTTCTTATAGCCATTGCATCTATCACCATGCAGCAGTCTTTTTTTATTGCATCTCTACTGGCCTCGCTTGCTAGTGCATCAAAAGCTTCTTCAAAAAAGCCTGGTTCACAATTGACGGAGGATGACAACTTTCGTAGATTTGAAGGATTAGGTAGTGGAATTATGGATCGAACGTATTTGTAGGCCTTAGGTGAATAAAAATAAAGGGTCAGAGCAAATTCCTTCACCTGATCATCATATCTTCTTCCTTGTGGTTTCTTTTTGGCATTTGTTTTGGTGTTTTTAAAAAGTAATAGCTGAAGGTTGTCAAATGCTGCGTGCAGTAATCCTCCCTGTTCTGTACTGATGACCAGTTTTTCTTGTAGGTGGAAAATTAAATTGCTTATGTTATTTAATTTTGCTTTTGATCTTCTTAGTCGCTGTTGCAAATTTTTAATTTTTTGCTTTAGTTTTTGTGACAAATCTGGCTTCTCTTCTTGCTCATTCCCATTGCTCATATCTTCTTCATCGTTAATATCCTCCTCATCTGGCATTTGTTTTGAGTAGTTATGGTCTAGAAACACCTTAGCTGCGGGTGACATGCCACTTAAAGCTCTGGGGTGGGAGCGTTTTCTGGGAATTCCTAGTCTATCACTTTCAGCGTAGGTAAGGCCCAATGCTCTAGGTTGCTCCAATGTTGAAAACAATGATGGCACTGCATATTTTTTTAATCTACAGGGCTTATCAGAGGTTGGTGGAATGATGTAGTCTTGGTGGTCAAAATGCTTGCTACAGATGAAACTAAATCGAGTGGCTTTCCATGCTTGGTTGCTCTTATTTATTGCCATGACAGCATTTTCCCATTTCTGGAGCATATCCACATCCTTCAAAGGAAACCTGTACATGCAAATTATGGTTTAGTATAATATTAATTTTTTAAATACTTGTAATCTGTATATTACTCTGTAATACTGTAAGTTTCATTGTTTCTTTCCCATTGAATACTTGATTGCTTTGTCTACTTGTGTTTATAGTTTATAGTTTATAGTACGTACATAGCCTGTGTACATATTTATTACATACAGCAAAATTAAATATAACATCAATGTGTGTGCTTTTCCCATTGTAAAACAAGTGAATTAATACTTCATTTTATAGAAATGCTCTTTTATTTATACATTAATTATTTTCAGTGGCTTGTACTTCTGTTATCAAATATTTTGAAACCGATTGCCTTGCATTTCAGACATGACATATATCACTGTTGTTATGAATGCCTGAATAAACTTGCCTGTGAAATGAAATATAGTTGTTTTCTTTCCCCCCATTGTTATATCCATTACTTTTGCACTCATGAATTGTGCAATTTATTGGCATTTTTTGTTTTATAAATATCTCCTTATTTTTGCCTTTCAAAATTATCGTGTTAAAATACTAAAAAACTTTGCTCTCTGTCAGGTTATAGAGTACTGGGGAGGATCAGTTTTTGAACAGAAATATGTAATATATATATATATAAACTTCAGAAAAAGTAATTAAAACACAGTAAATAAAAGGTTTATGCGCTTAGAGGCTGTAGAGCTTTTGTTGTTTTTCATGTTGTGAGTGACGAGGTGACAGGTGAGTGATGGCTATTAATTAACAAAACTTTTTGTTTTTATTTTGAAGTCTGTTTACAACGTTTTCTCGAACAATGTTGTACAGAAATTATTTCTTGTTTCATTAAGTGTATCCAATAGTTCTTCGTATAGAATACATGCTATTTTTTGTGTTATTGTTATTTAAAAAATGTCCGTAAATTGACTAATTGAGTCTTAGACGAGAATTTTAAATCCGTATTTTAAATCAGCCGCCATAATATTACCTAAATTTCCGCGCTGGAGGCCTGGATCATACCTACAAGAAAGGCTTCAGTGTCCGCCATCTTGACTTCAAACTTCCGGCAGAGTAAGCGTTCCAGTCTTATTTGAGTTCACTGGTCATAGCAACTCGCAACGGCCGTATATTTTTAAAGAATCAAAGTTTACCCTCATATTTTTGTGAAAAAATGGCAAAAATACGACAAGATTCCTACCTTTTTTCTGGAAGTTAGGTCACTCATCTATAGTCAGTGTTATGGTAAATTGTTTTAATTATTAATTACCATGAAATATAACATCAGACGTCTCATACAACTTCCGAAGTTTTATGTTACGCCTCGACCGGTTTTTGCACGGTTTTTGTCATTATGAAAACGGAGTTATATGTCGTTTATCACATAACACATTCAGATTTATAGTGAAATACATTTGAGAATATTAAAGTTGTGTTTACCACAAAAGAATTACTTTTAAAATGTGGTCTGTGCCGGGTGAAATATTATCAAGTGTAAAATCTTCCGACTTCATTATACACGCGGTGAATTCGGTCGAAACTCGAAAATTTGGTCTTGTTATTTGTTAAACTGTGAAAAGACCGAAATACTTAACGCCCAGTAGCGTAGCCAGCCTGTCGATTTGTCCCGCAATGCTAATATTTTAGTGTTCACTGACTGTGAAAACAATAGATTTCTAAAGAAATGAATAATTATCCCCGAGCGGGCGCGGAGCGCCTGCGAGGGTACTAATTCCGCTCGGAGATTAGGAGTTACACCCGGAACCCGGTAGAACATAGCCGAATCCAAAGTTGTCCAAATTCTTTGTCATGGACGGTCGACGTTGGGTGGTTTTGTAAGTTATGCGCATGCGCAAGTAACGTCTGGTAATCAACGAACGTTCTGATTGGCTAAGACAGAAAGTTTGTATTTCAATGAGAACGTCAGCAATTTAAATTAACTGTCATTTCGTAAACATTTTTGTAATTTGTAAAAGCGTTTCATAAACTTTGTGCAAAGAAAGTAAAACGAGAAGAAACAAGATATATGAAGCATGACAGTTAGCAAAGATGAACGTGGATACGGTCAAGACAAAGCCGTGTAAGAGGAATAATTCATAATCTGCAAACTTTGTTTTCAAAGACAAAGGGTACGTGTTTACTTTGTTTATTTCGTATTTGTTTCGCGATAAGAAAGCCGTATTTGTATACTTTTCAGCTTTTTATGCCGTTTATTTGTTAAATTTTCAGCTTTTTATGCAAACGCATAAACCTGTGAAAGGCTATTACACCTTTGCTTTAACTTCAAAAAGTGTTTTTGAAAGTGTAATTTGAATTTTGCTATCAAAAATACACACTATATTTATAAAGTATGAAACTTCTAGCCGCCGGCATCGACTGCAAAATACAGAATAAAATAACATTTGAAGTTTTTTCTTTGTCTGTGAAGATTTTGTACTGTTTTAATCGTTTGAAACTTCGATTTTAAACCGTTACTTAATTGCTGGCATGGTATACTGAATGCAGCAAAATTGAACGGGCAATGTTTACACTAGCTTTATGATTATTTTTGTATTGAATGATGGAAACATTAGCTATAATATACTCGGTAAAATATAATAGGACTGATTTGAGTTTTGTGTCATTTCATAATATAAGTTTAGGTCAGGTTAACTTAGGAAATTGTGTACTTGGTTTGAAATAGCGAGGGGTTGCTGCATGCATGTATTTCTAGTAATAACTCTAAATTTACATAGCGGGATAAAATCGTCAGGCTGGCTACGCCACTGTTAACGCCTAATGTTGAGCCGCATATGAAATTAAAGCGATTAAAAAGTTATATTTCGTGTAGAAATTTCGAGACTTTAGCGTAAAGGGAAATATCTAAAAAATATTTGAAAATTTCCTGCTTTTTTGCCGATTTGTAATTGTTTTTGTTTTTTTTTAAATATTTCCTTTGCAGTTCAAGTCTTGAAATTTCCATATAAAATGTAACTTTTCAATAGTATTTCAAGTATTTCGTCAAGTATTTCGTCTCAAAACTCAGAAAAACTATTTTGGCTTCAAGCTAAATAAGGATGTTTGTCAGGAGTTATCGTTCCAGTTATATAGAGTTCACTGATAATAAATTCCTGTAGGACCGGCTCGTCATTTTTCGGTAACTTCGCCGCCATCTTTTTGAAGCCACCAATATGGTGAATTTCGCCTTCTGCGCAGTGCGCAGAAGCTCTGCTGACGCCACTTGGTTCCTTTTAGCCATGGTATTTACCACTGACCAGGCTCAATTCTGAGCCCGCTACAGCAGTATTCTACCCCCTGTTATTTCATTAATTAATAAATATGACAATTGGTATAAAAATCAGATAACATAGTAATGAAGAATAACAATGCACAGTCATAAAATGCATGAACTTCATCCTGAAAAATAAAAATGGATCAAGATTTATTCACAAGGTGCAAGAAGCTAAAAAAATAAATTAAAAGCTATGATAATTGATAATTTCACTTCGAATTTGACAAGGTAAACAAGATAATATATTAACTAGGCTTTAACAGGGCTCACTATCAGAGGTTGGAATTTTACACTTTTTACAGCAACTTATTATTTTGTATCAGCACCCTCAAATCATGTTAATTGATGTTGGGTGGGATCAATAGAAGAGTGACTATAGTAGACTCACTGGGGTTATGGTTTACCTATTAACATTGATGTTTGCTATCATAAAAACAACATAGACCAAACTCAAAAGATTGACACTGCCAGGAATTTAATTTTTTCTCCACACAAGTTAAGAAAAAATGATAAAATTTGGGTATATAACATTGCACTGACAGCACTGTAATGTACCAAAAGGCGAAAATAGTATCTTTGCTGTTTGTACCACGCGTTTTGATGGATTTTTTGTCTCAGAGGCTTTGGTAATCAGTTTATACTACAGTCCAAACTCGAAAGGCAAAAAACGAAATTGTTTATAGTAAAAAAAGTTGGAAAACGGCTTACCTGGATGTTATCGATAAGTGAATTAAGCCATTCGCAACGTCAGACGCAGGGCACGAAGTTACGTGTGCTTTCCATTTGTTGAACAGGGAAAAAGAGAAACACTTTTATCCATTTTATATGAAAAACAAAAAAATATACGGAAAGCTGAAAATATTTTCATAAAAATCGGGAGGGTGACGGACACAGTTTTTCACCTTGTATCGCGGTATGTCAGTGGTAACTACCATGAGCAAAAGGAACCAAGTGGCGTCAGCAAAGTTCAAAATCCGCCATCTTAGTGGCTTCAACTTTTGGCCCCGAGCCGGTCCTCCAGGAATTTAATATAGCTCAGTGCGCGAGGTCCATTGCATAATGGCGGATAACTTTGATTTCGCCTTTGCACATCGTGGGTGTAAATATCCGAGCGGAATTAGTACCCTCGCACGGTGCTCCGCACCGGCTCGGCCGGGATGAAATGTTGTTCAACTGAGGAATAAGTAGCAATACACGGAATATGCACCTTTTGTTCACGCATATATTTCTGTGAAGCTGACAGCACTGTAGCAATACAAGATGCTTGGGCTTCGGTTCCATCAAATTTGATCTACATAATATATACAATAGGAAGGAAGAGGTGATCAATAAAACAATAAGACGTATGAGAAGTATGCTTCTTGAAAAATAATATATATTCGGTTTTTCATATGAACTTTTTGTATCATTGATCTTAATTTGAAACATCATATATTTTTGTCGTGTTCAATTTCAAAATGCCGTGCTTGCAGTGAATAAGTAAAATTTCTTTCCAATTCTTTTGTTCGTAGTATAATACTGGCCGTCCTACTTACATCTGGCGTTGTCGCTACCATAGACCTCCGCACGATCTGCGCAGCATAAAGTTCTTCTGTGTGATCTGTAAGTCGACCAAAGTCCCAAACTAGTGGTCTCATGCTCTCTGGCAAGGGGTGGACTCGATACACAAGTTGACGGAGTGGAATTGAACCTGTGGAAGAGCGTTGTGCAAGTGTTTATTTTTTACAAAAATTAAAGGGTATGCAAGTTTTGCTAAAAAGAATCTAACTTCCATTTTAATTCTATTTTCTACTAATTGTGGTGATACCTAATTTATCATCAGTTTCATCAGCTGATACATGATACCCCAACCCTGCAGATTCTAGTTTCTGGATCATTTTCTTCGTGTGCCTAAAACAAGTTCATTATCATTATTCCTATTAATATCAATTAAGACATGGCCACAAATGCAGGCCTGTAAGCGGTGAGGTGTGTGGGCTTATGCGGTTCAGTTTCAAGAATTGGAACAATTCCTAAGTTCAATTGCAAAATTTTGAAAAATACGAAAAATATAGCGCATATATAAGTTGATTAGCTAAGACAAAAGCTTGTATTTCAATGGGAACGTCAAAACTTAGTTAACTGCCATTTTGCAAACTATTTTGTAAAAATTTTTGGTAAACATAAAATCAAAATAATATGTGGAATCAAAAGAACATGATACAAACACTGAGAAAGCTTACCAGAAAAATACAGATATATTTGAGGCAGTGGCGGATCCAGGGTAGGTCAGAATAAATTACCACAACTCTAACTTGCAATCGTAATAGCGTTGTTATTAAAATATTTTGAATTGGAAATTAGGCTATGTAACTTATTCTGACCTACCCTAAATCCCCCATTGATTTGAAGACTAGCAAGTGGATGGTCCTGGGTAAGTCAGAATAAATTACTTCAGCTCTAACATCATATTGAAAGATTTTTATGTAAAGGTATTCTTATTAAAGTATTTTCATTTGGAGATTATAGGCCGTGTAATTCTGGCATAAACCCTAAATTCTAAAGTTTATAAGCTTAGAAGTGTTCATAGTTTATTGCTTCTTCTCAAACAGGTAGGTGCTCTTTTTGCTTAATATATTCTTCTCTACTTGCATAATTATGATTTTGGTACTACTAGTAAAGGCTATTACCGAGCATAATACCATCGCGTTACAGACATCGCTTTAATTGAAAGTGTAATTTAGAGTTTTGAACAAGCATCACTTCAAAGCTTTTGAGTCGACTAAAATCGCTGCATAAATATTCGAAAAAAACAACATTCGACGTTCAGTCATTGGAGACTTGATTAGTACTGTTTTGATGTATTGAAGTTACCGACTTATCGTGAAGTTTGAACTTTTACTCAAGCTGTCAAGTCTATAAACTGCCTGCTTAATGCAGTAGGAAAACAGGTGATGTTTGCTTTTTTCACTGTACATATTTGTTTCCGAAAAATAGACACATCCGCTACCGCCTTATTTTAGTCACATTGGTTACTCTGTGTTTCAGTCATTTCATAATGCTTAGCCTTAGGTCTGGCTAGCTTAGGAAGTTATTTTGCCGGGGTTGAATTGTATTTCTTGAAATTTCTAATACTGCGCAAAAATAGGTAAGGCAATATAAAATAATTTCCATTTATGACACCCTTGTGAAGTAGGAAAGTTCGTAAGAGGAATTGGAACAACGACTTTTACAGAAGAGAAAGAAACGTTCTCCACACTGTTTCGACTTACTTTCGATATGGGTTACAAGCAGCGATGAAATGCAGTTTCGTCAGTGCAGGATTTATAGCACGTCCATTCACCCTTCGATCGACCATTATTTCTTTGATCAGGTCAATTGCATCTGTTGTATTGGCTTCATCAAAGAAAAGGACAGTATCAACATTGATCTCCTCATTCTTCTGATTGTAAAAAGCTCTTTTCTCTGCTTCTACCACTTTCTTTTCAATTTCTGCATAACTAGTTCCACCATGTACCTAAATACAGGCAAAAATATTCATTAAAATAATCAATCAATCAATAAGTTTTCGACCTTCGGCGTATTCACCTAAGATTCAAACTTATAGCCGGCGCGGAGTGTTGTGCCAGGGTAATAATTCCGCTCGAAGATTAGGAATTACACACTGGTACGTTGGGCATTTAGGGTGGACGTTGGACGGTTATGTTAGTTATGCACCCGCGTCAAATTTGTTCGCGTGAAGACTGGTGATCAATAACCTCCTGACCCTGCATGGCTATGACGAAAATTTCAAGTAATAGCGTTTGCAATTTAACGGTCAATTCTCAAACTTTTCATAAGCTTTATACAAACTGAAATTTGAAATGAACTTTTATAAACTCTATACAAAATGAAATTTGAAAAGAAATCGAATAAAAATAATTAGGATAGGAATATCTATATAATCTTCAAGCTAGCTGCTTTAAACGCTTAGGTGTCTTTTGGTATTTTGCTCAAGGATACAGTTTATTCGTATGTTATAAGTTTTTAATTCTCTATTTACGCGAGGTAGGAGATCTTTACAAGGGTTTACTAAAGTTCAATAATGTTCTCTTCTTTCTCCGTTCTTCTCTTCTCTACTTCTCGATCTTCGTCGTTTTGCGTTCTTGTCTTTGGTCGTCTGTTCCGTCAGGTTGAGCTTTTTAATGTTTCACATGCTTTTTACTCCGCTAGTCCACTGAAGGTTGGGGTGTTGTGCACGCCCTTTTATAGTAACGGTTGAGGGAAACTTGCAGACGTCATCAACCAGAGTGGGCTGATCCTTATCCAACCAATCAGCGTTGTAAGTTAGAAATGTGGGTTGGTCTTAGAAGCTCGTTCCAGCTCTCATATCTTGTTTGTTTAAGGCGTTGTCGCACTAGTCGAGTTGGTCTTCTGCTCAATCGATCATTACTTAAAAATGTTCACAACTTAAAATGTTTATCATCAACAACTAGTAAAATTTACAAACAATACATCTGTGAACAATATCTTTCAACTTAAACTATTTTCACTCTTATTTTATCGAATTGAACTTTTGATGACGTAATCTATTACATGCTTGACCGAGCAACATTTTTAACACAATTGATTGACATAAGAACTTGAATGGCCTACAGCACGCACACTTTTTTAAAGAATGCGACCATTAAGATAAGTGAAGACTTAAGACTGTTTATCCAGGTATTAGTTCTGAGAGGATTATAAATATTTTTTTCCTCTTATTACTTATTTAATCCCACGATATGTCATACATGAAAGGGAAAGGAGATTAATATTTGCTAATGGCCGAAAAATATATTTACTCAGGCGTCTTGTGGCAAAAATCATTCACTAATCCCTGTCATGCTCTTGATATTTCTATTTTTGCAGCTATTTTTATATGCATATCTCTAAACACAATAAAGCTTTGCGTAACAATCCTCCTCACCTAGAATAAGCTGTCCCCAGCTTCGAGTGAGCTATAATGAACTTACACATGTCTACAAATTCGCACTATTTTTGAGCTCGGCGTGGCTATCACGGGCATATTACCAAATGCCTAATAACTGAAACTATACACATAGTACGTGTTGTTATTCTACGACAACACTACATAATCGATTATACTAGATACAACTGATCTGAATATAATTTACTTATGCCTATATGTACCTCAGGGGTAATCTAGCTATGATAATGTCATATAATTATATAAAAAACACGTCAGAATATAGCAATATTAAACCAAAATTAGTGTGAAAACAAGGGGTAAAAATTTCCTGTTCTCCTGAATGTATGTACCAGGGACTTAAGCGAAATTATAAATTTTGTAAATGCAGTCAGAAAGTGTACCAAAAATTATTCAAATTTCATAAAATATCTTATCATTGCAACAGCGAAAATTGTATTCAGATTCTTGGTTGATCAACTCACATAACAGGAAATTATTATAAAGCTCTTCCGACAAAACATCTCTCCATAATAATAACCTAAACCTATATATATACGTCTTAATAATTCTTCAAAATATTTCAACTTATGCAAACAAATTTTATACGTATACTTCTTAATATAACTGAAACTAATTTACTTTTTTAAACGTCATGCACGGCAAACCAAACTCCAAAATGTAGGTTTTCATCGACAATATAAATACTGAGTCTACATAGAGAAAACAAGAATGTGTCTAATATTTAAGCTTTTGGCTTGAAAAAGAATTGTAATACATTACAACAAGTTTGGGAGACCCTTGACTGTCCCGGGGGAAGAGGAAAATATATTATCCACGAATGACGCATAACTAAAAGCATCAGAATTAAATTTATATACTGACACAATTAAAAACATGCATGCGCTATCCTACGGCAACATGTTTAATCAGCATGTTGAGTGTACCTAAGGAATTTTAGTTGAACAGCTATACTTTCGTGTTTAATATTATAGCACATAAACAAACAAATCATAAACATATACGTGTAACATGAGAATGACAAAAACTTATATTATACAAATCTCAAAATGCGTCCAGTTTCATGTCCATAATACAAGCATTCTGACCATCAGGAAGGATCCGGAAAACTCTGATATTTCAACGTTCTAAACCATGAATGTACACGACCACGGAGGCTTCCATTGGTGCCTCTTTGGCTGGATCTTCGACATAGCCAACACGTTCGGATAGAGAGAGTACATGTCGTATTGGACTGCAGACTGAGGGCAAAACGACTGTAGTTTCGATTGTAGTTCGAGGGAAGTGTAGAAGTTGTGGACAGCTGTCTGAAGAGACATCCAAAACGTGAAACAAGGTCTAGCGTTGCCATAAGTAGAAGTATGGATGAATACAGAACGTGCGTTTCCTTCGAACCAGTCATCAGGTCGCTTCAGCACCCGTTTCTAAGCAATGTTTGTAATATTGATTGTTCTGACTTCTTCTGAGTATATAGTAGACTGATTGAGTTTCCGAACGTTTTGTAAGGCCGATCCTGCACCAAATGTTAAGTAACTTTTCTAACGTTTCATATACTTTTTTTTATTTTCTCCGGTAGTCCACTCCGCTAGTTCACTCCGCTAGTTCACTCCGCTAGTCTACTGAAGGTTGGGGTGTTGTGCACGCCCTTTTATAGTAACGGTTGAGGGAAACTTGCAGACGTCATCAACCAGAGTGGGCTGATCCTTATCCAACCAATCAGCGTTGTAAGTTAGAAATGTGGGTTGGTCTTAGAAGCTCGTTCCAGCTCTCATATCTTGTTTGTTTAAGGCGTTGTCGCACTAGTCGAGTTGGTCTTCTGCTCAATCGATCATTACTTAAAAATGTTCACAACTTAAAATGTTTATCATCAACAACTAGTAAAATTTACAAACAATACATCTGTGAACAATATCTTTCAACTTAAACTATTTTCACTCTTATTTTATCGAATTGAACTTTTGATGACGTAATCTATTACATGCTTGACCGAGCAACATTTTTAACACAATTGATTGACATAAGAACTTGAATGGCCTACAGCACGCACACTTTTTTAAAGAATGCGACCATTAAGATAAGTGAAGACTTAAGACTGTTTATCCAGGTATTAGTTCTGAGAGGATTATAAATATTTTTTTCCTCTTATTACTTATTTAATCCCACGATATGTCATACATGAAAGGGAAAGGCGATTAATATTTGCTAATGGCCGAAAAATATATTTACTCAGGCGTCTTGTGGCAAAAATCATTCACTAATCCCTGTCATGCTCTTGATATTTCTATTTTTGCAGCTATTTTTATATGCATATCTCTAAACACAATAAAGCTTTGCGTAACACGTATATGAGCTTGTTATATGTCCAAAGATATAATTGACAATGAAGAACTGCAACTTAATTCAAAATTTAACATGGAAAAAGGTTTTTTATTTTGAAAGTATAAATTATTTTTGAAAGTATAAATTTTATTGCAAAAATACCACTTCCAAACTGCATAAATGAATTCAAATGCGTAAATTTTTAAACAAAAAACAAATGATATTTAGTACTTAAGGATTTTTTACTGTTTTGATGTTTTTTTAAAGCATCAAAAGTTGAAACCTTAGCAGTTTTTAGCATATTTAATTTTGCACAAGCAATTTTAGCACAATTAAGCTGGGAGGGTCAAAAATGTCTACGAATATATTTTTCTCTTTCTCTTAAACGGTCTTGCTATAATTCGCTAATTTCGTCAATTTCCCTTAACTTACTTAAAAACACGGTTTTGACATCCATTGTTTTACTCAAATTGCTTTTGCACGATAAACACATTGAGCTTTGAAATAACATGAATGCATGCAGTATGCATTAAAAAATCCAGTTAAATATATTCAGATCTCTATTAATTGAAAAGCTCTGAGCAAATCAGGAAAGATATGTGTTTCGCGATATTTTCTCCAAAAACAGAAGTTGCATTTCAGAAGAAGTTTCCCAGTTTGTTGCCGCCACGATCTTCTCGCATCAATGTCTACTATACTTTGCCTTGGGTCTATTGGAATAATTGATAAATTCAAGTATAAAAACCTTCATGAGTAACAAATTTTTTGGTCCATCGGGTCCAGCTTGAAGTTCACACATAAATCTAATAAGCCGAGTTTTGCCACATCCAGTCTCTCCCATGATAATTACTGGTATGCCACACCTTCACAATAAACAAAAAGGACTGGTCATTGTCACGTGTATTTTTTAAACATAATATAAACTCGTGCAACAAATTTTTGAAACATAATATAAACTCGTGCAACAAATATCGCTAATTTCTGTATCGGGCCGGTTGTAAACTTAGCTACATGCAGGCAACATATATAGAAGCGGTTAAACGCTATTGCATGTTAAGGTGTTTTAAAATGTTTATTGCTTTACGTGAGACCCTTTACGGTTATGGTGACAGCTATCCGTCGGCAGTCGAATGTCAACTTAGTGGTTACTGACCTGAATCGCATGTGAATTGCCAGGATTTTTTTGACGTTGTCGGTTGTCAATTCGTATGTAGGATCAGGGTCATATAAAAATTCGATTCCCATGACGCTGCACAATTTCTCGATACGCGCCATTCTTTTATAAAAAAAAGACGTTAAACTTTCCTGTTAGGAAAAAATTAGTTGCCCTGCAGTGACGTGACTAACAGAAACGACTTTACAAATCGGGCGCAAAATCGAAACAAATGTGTTAATGAATAATTCAAAGTGGTAAATTTTAATTGGCTAATTGTTTTTATTTGAAATTCTTTCAGCCAATGCACCAGTAATATTCATCAATAGTCAAATATCTCACATAAACCATAAACCTACTAAACACCATTATTGTCTCTTCGGCACAAACAATTATCAATTTTGGAAACGCGTTTTCATGCAGTTGTTTATGCAAGCCATTTTTAAGTAACAAATTAATTTTTGAACGAATGAATCCGTAATTTAACAGGAAAACATCCGTAATTTAACAAGAAATCAGAAATAGTTGTAGCCTTTTCATACAACAACATTAAGAAAGGTTTATATAGGAAACGGTTAGTCTGCCTGGTGCTGCAGCAACAGTGGTAGTAAGTTAATAATGTATGCCATTATTACAACTAACTTGTCACGTTTCTCGTAGTTGGTGTCAAAATTAACTCCTTGATGCTTAAGTTGTCCTCTCAAAGTTGGCTCCATCATTTTTTGCTCTAAAACTTTATTGGTAGCGGGATCAAGCAAATCACCATTATCGCTCAGACGAAATCCAAGGAAAGTCATGCTGACGCGGTCATGGTTAAAAAATATATAAGGATGAGGACTGTAACAAAAAAAGAAAGAGATAGAATTAATGAGTACTTGCAGAAATCTTAGAGACCACGCATGCATATCATTGTTGGATATTATATTCAATGTATTCGAATTTGGTTGTTGTCAGTAGCGTAGCCAGCCTAACAATTTGTCCCGCTATGTTAATATTTTGGTGTTCATTGACTGCGAAAACAATGATTTTTTAAAGATATGAATAATTATAATAACTCGAAATTTAAATAGCGGGACAAAATCATCAGGCTGGCTACGCCACTGGTTGTTGTGGGTATTTATGGGCATATAAACTGCGTACGGTTTTCTACATAGACCTTGATACAATAATCAGTAAGAGATCAGTGTGAGTTTTTGGAGAAAAGGTTTTTGGCACGAAACATTGTTCATAAGTTAAAAATAAAACAAATAAAAAGAAAAGGGTTTTGACAAAACGCCGCCTATAATAGTTGAAAAATTTAAAAAAACAACATATGTTCATTGAAGACGAATTAGTAACTTGTGTCAGGCCCCTATAATTTCTGGCATATAAGATCCTACAAGTTATTAAATGCCGTTCAAAACACTTATTAGGTTTCAGATTTCGTTACATATACAAAACTGAACTACATGTGGAACATGGCCGTCATAGTATATTACAGCAAACGATGACTTTATCCTAAAGTTTCGAACCTCAATTCCCAACGCTTCCGTATTTCAAATGGGGCTAAATCATCATCTTCATCCGCTGTTTGTGTATCATCTACGCCCAAGTTACTGTCACTTAGTGATCGTGTGGCAAAATCCTACAGGGGCAGAATGCCAAATATGATAATGATTAATGATTGTTTTAAATAAATTAGCGAAATTTAGTGTGACCGAAATGCCCATTCGGTACTTTCGAAGGAAATTTTTATACAATATTGGAAGTGGTACGTATGAACAGTTTGGAAAGGACGCAATTAATTTATTAAAATTTACAACTTGATAGGAATACCATGTACATCTTGCATTCCTTGCATTGCGAATTTTTGGTTAAATAAATAATTATCATTCCGAAGTAGAAACTAACGATTTTTCAATTGCTGAAATTATATAACAAAAATGGAATGATGGCTGCATTTTGTCCAGGATTTGGCTTCTGATTGGTTGATTATTGTACTCAGATTATTTGGATGTTACACGCACAATAAGACATTTTATTATAATTACAAGAGTAATTATTGAAAATTCTCGCCTTTGATTGGTCGAGTGATTTGAATTATTGCGCCATAATCACCTAAGCGATTTTTCAAAATGGCGGCGTTATTATTTATCGTTATTCAACTCGCCTTCGACGAATAATTATTAAATATTAGGATCAACTGGGATAAGTAAATCAATGTATTTTTTCCATTGTTGCCATAAAATATAACCATAAAATATTACTTTACTTGGTACTTCTAATACACTAAATACAGCACTAATTATTGGATAACCAATCGCAGAGAACGAACATTAATAAAATACTTACTCGAGACATTTCAATCATGAAACGAACCACAAAAGTCTTAAAACCTTGTAAGAGATCACCCGCTAACTTAGCGTTACAGAAAACGCTTTCTTCACAGTCGCGAAGCTGGACATTCAAGAAATTTACAAAATGATGTAGCTCTGCCCAAGATGGATCACGAATCCCACAATATCTAAAAAAAAATGTTACCAGCTTGAATGATACTATTGCTACCAATTCGTCATTATTAATTTTGATAACTACCTCCCCGACGACTCCTGCTATCAGTTTGATAATATAGCGATCTTTTTAAATTCGGTCGAGAGGATGGAAAAGATTTTCTTAAAGGATTTCTTCGTTTGAAAGAACTGCATGACACTATAATATTATTAAATTTCATAAAATTTCCCAAGAGCCGGATATACTTACTTAATTATGAACGTTAAGGCATCAACGGGGTCGCCAATGGTAACACGAGGATCATATATGAACAAGAATTTGTCTAAATTTTGCCCCGCTGCAAACTGTGTAAGGTATTGAAATGTGCGTTGATATTCTTCACTACGGAACTTTTCCATGTCAAATCCAGTATTACCTGCAAACAATAATATGAGTCGTTTAATTCCAGCAGTGATTCACTGCAATCCCCAGGATATCTTAAGATTTTGCAAAAAATTCAAGTTCCGATATGCATCCGTCAAAACAAATAGGCGTATGTTAAAAATGGACATGCATGACCGGGTGCTAGGAATTTAAACACAATGGAAAAAAAGTATATTATTGTAGAATTTAAATCTTATTTTAAGACTGGTATGCCCATACCAGAGTCTGAGCCTAATGTGTCATTGTCGTACTGCATCAACAAAATACTGCACCATATTGCTAGTCCCAAAACGTTAATTTTGGGTTTCTCTTTGCAGATCTGGTTCAAAGGCACATATTAGTATTTCCAGAAATGTTAACACTTACTATAAGATACATGCACATGCACCACAATTATATTGTGTTATTTAATATATCAAGCGCACGCTGTTTTTTTTAGGTGATATTTTAACCCCCAAAATAGGGGTTACAAAAAAAAAAGTCTAAAATAAGCCCTTTTTTGGGGTTAAAGTGATCCCCCTATGGTTATTAAAATTTAACCCTGATTTTGGGATTAAAATGACACCTGTTTGGGTGTTAAAATGAAACCGGTTGGGTATCAAAAATTTATTTTATTTTATTATCAAAAACCGCCTTAATAATACCGAATCAACAAACAAGCAGCACAAATATCGTTATTATATTTTTATGATAATATTGAACACATGAGATCAATTACGTTTCCGTTCGAGTACAGCTAGCTAACTACGCATTAAAGGAATTGCTTCTATAGTATAGCTCTTTAATACTTTCTATTTACATTTTAATACACATGCACATTTGCAAAAAAATCAAGAAAACGTTTTTAGGTGGAGTAGCATGCATGCATGCATGAAACACAATGGTATAGTCATTAAGGCACTTGCTGTTCAGTTCTACTAAGCTAAGACTCACTCAACCAAGATGATGATCTGGCTGTAAGCAATACTGATCCACGTTTCTTCTTTTACAATTTGCCTCGTAGTAAAATTTGCGGAGGTTTGCTGTTGTGCCAATTCCACGAAATGAGTCTTCATTCTAGGAACAAATAGAAAAATTGCATGTATATGAGTGTAAATTTGAGTAGTGTGCTTAGTATGCATACACCAGAGCACATTGTTCAACAGACCTGCAAACTCTATATGTTCTACGTGATCCAAAATGCAAACATACTCAAGCAAATAAGCAGAAACATGTGAGTATAAGGAAGGAATCATTTCAAGTAACTTAGCTAATATAAAAAAATAGGAAAAAATATTCCACATACCTAGATTTGCTGCCTGCAGTGTTATCAGGATAAGTTGCTTCGTCCATTGAAAATGAAACAGTTTATTTTAGAGTCGTTTTCAACATCGTTTCGCTAGGCTAGGGCTTTCTGGAATTGAAATGCATCCTAAATCTTCAGAAATTTAAATAATCCTTCACAATCACCCCACTTTGTCTTTGAGTTTCCCATTGGCAGTGCTTCTTCTACCCTCTACCGGGCATTGTGGACCTCTGTCCTTCTACTGCTTCTAAAGATACGAATGCTAATTGTTATAGACTATTTAAATATCCCAGAAACTTTTAAGGTAAATATCGGAGGCTCGCCATATCATGTATTCATGCTGATCAGAAACACAAAAATACTTCCCTGTCAGTTTTGCGACTGAAAAACTATTTTCCGAACAGCCCCACAGAAAAAATAAATCGATCAGCCTCAAAAATTATAGAAACAACTATTTGAAAAACATTTTAGAATCAAACTATCAGAATCTTGCAATAAATTTGTCGGTTTTTGCAGGCCAAGTTAACACAATAAAAAGGCGGGAAAACTAAATGCAGGAATAACTTTAAATATTTACCTTGAAATAGCTCGCAGTAGTCGCCAAATCCAGCTTTACGCATCCACAGTTGGGAGTCCTCTACTGAGTTTACCATTTTCGAATGAAAAGTACCGAGAATGAGCACTTTTCACGGAGCGAGCGAGGGCTTCGTGTGTACTTTGCAAATATTTCGACAAGGAGAAAGACCCGGCTACTGAGCCACAGAATACCTAACAGAAGTAGAACTCTATACTATTTTTTTGTAAGTGTGATTCGTCATGATTCGTCACTTGCATTTTTTTGAGGTAGTCACCCCCCTGCCAATGTCTAAAATCCACCCATATTTAGTATTGGCAGGGGGGTGAATGCCTCAAAAAAATGCACTTGCTAAGTGACGAATCATGACGAAACACACTTACGAAAAAAGTACAGGAGTTCTACTTCTGTTAGGTATTCTGTGACTGAGCTATATAAAGATCTGAAGTCTTAGCATAGGATCCCTGGCAATTCAACTCACATCATGAGGTTTTCTTTTTCTTAATTAGTTGAGTCAGTTTGTCTTGATTTTAAAATCAACTGCCAAAATTTGAAAGGAAAGTTAATGTTAAGATACTATCACTAATGTTTTGTACTTTATTAATTTATGAACATACTCTGTTGTACCTAACAAAACACTTACTTCTTCAGTTTAATCAGAAATCAATTTTAAAATATTTGAACTTTTGAATTAACATTCTTGATGGCTCATGAAAGTTAAATTTTCATATATGAAAGACAATTAATTTACTTGTCTTTTCGAATGTCCCACTTATAGACCTCAACAACATTTATGCAAAATAACCAGCAACATCAAATCATAGATTAATTATACCCTTGCAATACATATCATGTATAATTATGGTTCTAAATTATCTGCACTGTTCCATGCTTGATTCACATGATCTGCACTGTTCAATGCATGGTTCTTTGAGAAATAATATGAACACAAAATAGTTTTTTCAAAAAATTGTATTTATAGCCTGATGAGAATATAGCTTGTTAATTATATATATAACAAGTTTAAGGGTCAGTTTTGAGAGATGTATTACTTAAAAAATTGTAGCATAAAAGATATCATCAAGGTTTTAAATGCAACTTAACTCTCATATATGTTTAAACTTATCCAAAAATGGAGCAATCAAATTTTTATAGCACTTAAATATAGCTAATGCATTTGAGTATTACACTCAAATATTAACCAACTTTCAGACAATTAATGTGCAAGAAATCCAAGCATGCTTGTTCATTTCAGTTTATAATAAATCAAATACCAAAGATTTTCCTGTTTTTTTGTTAATTATTTTGTAATGAATCTTCTTTATTTTTATATCCAGGATCACCCAAAAATAACCATGTAATATGGGACCTTGTAATATTATAAAACCCATTCCTGGTACTTTTTAAACATAGTTTTTACTGAATAATTCATGAATAAATCATGTTTTAAAGTACCAAATAAAATGTAAACATGGGAAATTCACATTTCCATGATAATATATCAAGTGGGCTATTTTAGGTATAGTCTGTTGAAAATGTGATTTCGAAATTTTTTGTGATTTGGATGTTAGAGTAGTGTGAGATAATGTTTAGGCAACGTAGCTATATACTCCTTTATCGTTATAAAAATTGACGTTTTGGTTATTAGAATTCGATATATAATGATCGGTAGTCGATGCTTTATTCCAGCCAATCGACCATGTATTTCGCTATTTAACGGTTGATTCTATGACATTTATCGTTATAAACTTACCACAACTATCCGAGGCATTCTTTTCGTCACGTATTCTGATGTAGTAAATGATTTCAATACAAAATTTTGTTCAATTTCAATAAAAATTATCATTAACGCGATGCGCATCACCAATCTTCACTCCTTGTTTTCAAATCTCCATTATGAATATATAATGCGTTAGACCTCGTTACTCCACTGAGGAGTTAATATAACTTTAAAATTGGTGTCAAAATAGCACCAAAATTTAACACCCCAAAAATGAAAGTTTTAACCCCTCAAATAGTGCTAATTTAATCCCAACGAGGTGTTTTTTAATCCCAATATTGGGGTTAAAGTAGTTCAAAATTTTTGATACCCTTAAAAACCCTTTCATAGGGTATTAAAATAACACCTTGAAAATAACAATTACCCATTAAAACTGGACTCATTAAAAATAGGCATGCATGACCGGGTGCTAGGAATTTAAATGTGTCATTGTCGTACCGCATCAACAAAATACTGCACCATATTGCCAGTCCCAAAACGTAATTTTGGGTTTCTCTTTGCAGATATGGTTCAAAGGCATATACTAGAAATACCATAGGCGGCCCAGAACTGATCTCGCTGACCTCGCGCGACGCTCATGTTGTCTGAACAGTCTTATATTATGACAAGGTTGGCAACTCTCACGCCAAATAAACTAAAAACGCACGACGGTTGACTCAAACACCTTCACAAAACCGCACATATTTCGTAAAAATACGACGAATAAGAAAAAAAGTACAACACATTAAACTTGAATAATTTTACTACATTTATACTATATTCTTAGCATTCAAATGTATTCCTATGCATGTATAAAACGTGAATGTTTTTTGGGTTTCTGGCAAATATATTTCAAAACCTATGCTGGGGACACCTTGCCTATACCTTCGTCATATTTTTAAATTGAAAATAGAAAGCTGATTGGCTGTCGTTTAAAAAGAGCCAATCAGCTTTCTATTTTCAATTTAAAAATATGACGAAGGTATAGGCAAGGTGTCCCCAGCATAGGTTTTGAAATATATTTGCCAGAAACCCAAAAAACATTCACGTTTTATACATGCATAGGAATACATTTGAATGCTAAAAATATAGTATAAATGTAGTAAAATTATTCAAGTTTAATGTGTTGTACTTTTTTTCTTATTCGTCATATTTTTACGAAATATTTGCGGTTTTGTGAAGGTGTTTGAGTCAACCGTCGTGCGTTTTTAGCTTATTTGGCGTGAGAGTTGCCTACCTTGTCATATTATAAGACTGTTCAGACAACATGAGCGTCGCGCGAGGTCAGCGAGATCAGTTCTCGGGGCCGCCTATGGAAATACATGCATGCAGCAACCCCTCGCCATTTTAAACGTAGGAAAATATTTCGTGCGCTACCCTGACCTAACTTTCTACGCTAATATTATGAAATAACTCGTGCAATTTTTCGGAAACAAAGACAGTCGTAACCTGTTTGCCTGCTGCATTATACGTTGCAGTTTAAGTGAGTGTTAAACTTTTCTATAGCTAAACCTTCAAAACATCAAAACAGCACAAATAATTATAATAAACATACAAGCACTAAACGTCGAATGTTGTTTTTCGATTATCTATTTTATTCAATGATTTTAGCAAATATATGAGCTGCAAAGTAATATTTGTTTTATCAAAACTCTGCAGTACACTTTTGAGAACTCTTTTTAAAGTTTAAGCGATGATGTAAAGCCTTAAACGGTCGGTTAGCTCCTTGACCTTGTAAAACGACATATCAAGCTCGCACTTGTCAAAATAACAACGCATTCTTACAGCAAACACTGAATAAGTAAAATGTAGACACCTACCACTTCAAAGATTATAAACTACGAGTCGTTCCTATTTCACCAACTGTTTCTGTGCTGTGATGATCTTTAAATCTTTTTATTATTGTTTTAATATTTGACTCCATGATTTCATTTTATATTTTTAAAAAATAGTTTGCAAAATGACGGTTAAAAAAATATAAAATGCTGACGCTCTCATGCATGCTCTCTTTTTGTTTTAGCTAATCAGCAAGTTGTAGACCACCGTTCTTTCTTCGTTCAAATTTCGCGCATGCGCACAACTATTATGACCATTGAACGTCCATGACATTTGGGCAACTTTGGATTCGCCTGTGTTCTGTCAGAATACCCGGGTGTAGTTCCTAATCTCCGGGCGGAATTAGTACCCTCGCACGGTGCTCCGCACCGGCTCGGGGATTAGTATTTCCAGAAATGTTAACACTTACTATAAGATACATGCACATGCACCACAATTATATTGTGTTATTTAATTTCTAAAATATCATGAAATATATATTAAGAATTGAGACAAACTTACCCCCTCTATTGTGTCTTATGTTGTCCAACGTTTCCCTGGGTGTCGAGCAATGTGTTCGAGGTAGGTATTTCACAAATGAGTACTTTTCTGTTGCCAGTCGTTTTCGCATAGTCTGGGTTAGATTAAAGAAAATGAAACTACATATGCAAATGCAAGGCTTTTTAAAATAATTTTTCTAATCATATTCTTTTTTTTAACTTCTCACAATGAATTTTGCTTTGATATTTTTTGAAATTTTTTCATATTGTGGGTAAAAAACAAAAATACAAAAAAATCTGGGTTACTTTGAAAGCATCAGAATAATTTTGCTGCATGCATGAACAAAGAGTACTTTAAACATTTCAATATTTTTATACTATACGCGCTAAATTCTGTGTCATTTGCGTTCGTGTCGTTGGATGCTTTATAAAATTCATACAACCAAACAAACAGAAACACAAGTTTACAAAAATTGAACAATATTAATTGCTGATAAGGAAGGAGAGGAAGAGACTGTACCTGGCTGTAGTTGGAGTTTGTTAAGGACGCGTCAGTTGTTAAGGCTTCAAATGATTTGTCAGTTGTAATTTCAACTACATACATATCAGTCGACTTTCTTCTCCAGACATTCCCACTCTTATCTTTTACAACTCTCAAAATGAGAAGTTGAAACAGGATATTGTCAAGTCCTTTCACAACCTGAAGCAAGTTTTCAGAAAGTATTTGTGATTCAAAAGTGAATGAGCCAGAACTAAATTCCTATATACCAAATTAAATGTCGTATTTAAAGAGGATTTTTTTTAAACAATTATGCAACAAAGGTTATTTGCCTAAATTTTAGGTTACTCAAAACAGTTCAATTTTTGTTCATTAACTTTTTAACTTCATCATGCATATAAGAATATTTCTATTTCCGATGACCTTTATACTAACCGATTGAGACATGTCCAAATGAAATATCCTTGAAACAGGAATATCCCTTTTTACGGCATGGGAGAGAAATTCGCGGGTGACACAATCACTGTCCACAGAGATTCCATGCACAGGAATTGTAGCACATAGCGACGGAACTAGGCCCTTACGAAGCTTTTTGTTGCTTGGAAGGTTTTCCAATTGTTCTGCGAGATGTTTGATAAACAAGCTCTTTCCCATGCCTGCTCTAGACGACTGAATCACACGAACAGATAACCTTTTAAAATATAAATGCGAGCATGCATTACTGTGATCGATATTATCAATTTGCCTAAACTGCAAGCCAATGGATTGGAAACATGTAATGTAATACTGGACCTCTTAGTGAGGGTGGGTGATGGGAGTGATAAGTTTCCTATCCCAAAATTTCTCTTGAAACCTCATCTGATAAAAAGTAAGAGGCTGCGGCACACAGCAGTTGGAATACGTACACAGTGGTGTAGCTGGCTAGATAATTTGGCGGAGGGATCCATATTCATGTATTATGAATATGTCTTATTTTCTGTTAGACTCCCCAATCATGAACGGTCATTTAAAGCAGTAAACTTCGATCAAAGTCTAAACTACATTCTTTGCAGAAGTGTTGGGACCCTTGTTTAAAAAGAAATAATACATGCCCCTCCCCCGTTTCAATGCTGCTTTATCATAAATAAGCCCGATGAAGTGTGATGAACTACGGTGAAATAAGTGGATTGGGTAACAACATTAAAAACGGCCAGGACGAGGGGGGACATAACTAAGTGGGCTTAAAATGCTATTTTTCAACCCAGTCGCTTGTTCAGAATATATTTTATCAAGTGTCCTAACTTAATTTCCGCAACGATTGTATGTCATTACCAGAAATTTGAGACATTTTGCGTCCGCGTTCGTGGGCAGCGTCCGCTTCTTGACCCAAGGAATTGGTGAAAATTTCATAAAATGGCTCGATGGTATAATTATGCAATTATAATCATGCTTCAAATGTATATGGCCGGATGCTTAACACACTGAAAAATCATGAAATTTCAAACGCTGTGGGAACCGTGGCGGTAAAAAATACGAAGATATTTATGAGTTATATCGGTAGCTATATCACAACCAAAGACATTTCCAACTCCGAACTTTGCATCGTCCAAAAGGAAAGTGGTGTATTTGACCAGATTGTAGAGCATGTTTACCGATATTACTATGGTTTATATAGCCGAATCATTCAAATTGGACTTGTATATAAATCGCACTCAGGAACCTAGAGGATTTGCTAGTGAGTGAATATTTTTTGTTATAACTCTTCCTTTCTGAGCGATTTACAGAATTCGAACTCCGAACCAAGAAAAAAACACACATAGGAAGCGTAATTTAAAGTTTTGTGATTAAGCCATATTGTTTCGCATGAAATTTGGCCGCCATGTTTGTTTTTATCCCAATGCAAGACGCCATCTTGTCCCAAATTTCTGGTAATGTGTTGCGTAAAATACTCACTTTTCCACGTCAACCGTGGCTGCTGGTGCCAAATGAACATTGCCGACTGTTTCTGTGCCTGAAACCATAAGTTGTTCTTTCAAATAATTTTGAATAGCTTTCGTAGATGGGATTGGCGGGAAATGGCGACGATTCTGATCCAAGGATGTAACCATATTCGATCTGTCCTCGTTCTCAATGCTGCAAATCACGACCAAGTGGTATTCTAAAAGCAGAAAAGGGGAAGGAATAATGTTTCAAGTTCATTTGGTACCTGGCCTGTAGCAATAGCTATATATGTGACGTTGGGAGATTGTACAGTGTGCATGTATAAAAAAAAATTCGAATCCAACTTTGACAAGCTGCTGTGTATAAAATACTAAAGTAAACGATATAATTTTTATACGGCAACAAAGATTAGCTTATTTAGTTTACGATTATACCGTTCTTATATCGACACGACCAAAACTGGCCGGGTTATCGTCTCTTAAAAATTGTTGCTCGAAATCAAATTTTTCCGCCGATGGGAATTCGAAATGAGACCTCCAGACAAAAGAAAATGCAAATTTAATTAATGGGGCATTGTGTTCTTCAAACGTCCATCGTTGAACATTGAGTAAGCAGAATTTTTGCGATAAATTTGCGTTTTAGTTTTCAGTAATGATTAGATTTTAAACCCCTTTGGGACTAATTTTCAATCAAACAAACGTCCAGTTCCCATCGGCGGAAAATGGTGATTTTTATGAACTTTTTTGTCGAACCAGTACTTCTTCATTTTTCAACTAAATTACACGTACAACGTGTCATTTGAAAGAGAAATAAATGAACTTAACAATGGTGTAAAAATCAACCAAATTTGTCAAATATATTTTGCATTATTACACGCAAAATTTCGATTTGAATTTTTTTGATACACCCTGTATAGAAGTAGTTTCATGCAGCTTTCGTATTCATTAAGGTTTATAAAACCGTATAACCTTATAACATATAAAAAAGGGCACTGCAAAGTCTCAAAGAACGTTAAGGTTAATTTTAATTTGAAAAGGTTTGGGTTTCATACACTCTGCGTATCCGAGGGTTCATGGTGATGGATAATATATGATTCAACATTTATTATTATATAATAAGTCTTAATATATATACTTGCGAGGCCTAACTGGAATCAGTTGAGAAAAATTCAGCAACAACTGCCTCTTGCAATGGAAGTTATGTCCGATACACATAATATACTTACTGGATTGTCCTTGTGTTAACAATTCCAAAGAACGAACAACCTGTTGGCTGACATCATAATCCAAAAGATCCGCATTAGCAAGACAAAACAACTGTCCTTTGTCGTCAACGACTGCGCGTCGCCAGAGTAACTCAATCTACATATTAAAATTAATGATTATTTGGAATAAAATCGTTGCCTCGCGTTAACTGGGTGATGCAAATCCATTCAAATATGATATAATTCGCATACCTTATACTTAGTGCATCTATTTGGTTAAAACGAATTAAAGTTAGCTACAGTAACTCTGCTAGAATCATAGCAAGTTACCAGAACAAGTTACAAGTTCGAAATTCTAACTAGTTTTAGTTAGAAAGTTACAATGTATTTTTTGTAACCACAGTTAATAGAATATACATGGTTTAGAGACTACATAGAAGTACAATAGAACTCATTAACTATGTCGGGGAACATTTATGCAAAAAATTGTTCCTTATTCGTCACGTGTCTATTGTATTTTGAACAAATAAACCAATAGTAAGCTCTGAATTAACATTTTGTTCAAGTCACGGCCAAGCCATTGCTATTGGTTAGTTGGGCAAAAATACAATAGACATGTGACGGATAAGGAACCATTTTTTGCATAAACCTGGACAATAACATTGATAATGAGTTGTATTGTACTTCCATCAAGTCTCCAAACCATGTATATTCTAATAACTGTGTTGTAACTTAGTTACAAGTTACTTTTGACTTTTGAGTATTGAATGGTAACGAAAAACAACAAAGAAACACAATTTTGTTCTATTAAAACTAAACACAATATTTACGGACAACTAATTACCTATTATAACGTACATACAGTCTTGAATATCTTTTCTCAAGGCAATTCTCAAAATTTGTATTTGTCATACGTGAGCGATGCGGCCGAAAAATAAGTTCACCGGCAATAAAAAGCCTCTCACAGGGCGTGTTGAGCTCAATGAACAGTTTTCGAAGGAGTGGCCATCTTGTATAATCACAAAGGCTATCAGCAGGGCTATCAAGAAATGATCTTAATTTCCTGTTTTTAGTTTGAAAAAAGTCTGTCTCATCTTTATCCTCTGCAGAGGACTGGCCAGCTAGGTTCATCAACCAATAGCTGTACCAAACTCTCAAACCTCTCATTAATGAAAGAAATGCCTAAAATTCATAAAAAGTATAAATAAACACGTATGCCCATTATAATGAGAATATGTATCGCAAATCGAAGATATTCTAACCCTTCTCATTAAGGTTACGATCAGTTGTCCATGTTTCTATAAATTTGGGGTGAAGAATAGCAGCAGCAATGATCTTTTCATCGCTCAGCATTGATTCAAATCGATTATCAATCCCATTTAACAGTTCTTTGACCAGTAGTTTGACTGGTTTCATGGCCGGTATATCTAACTTCTTGGTAAGCTTATCTCTCAGTATACTTAACCATGTAAGCATTGGAGTAGTTTGTTTCTCCCTGTAGAATGTTAAAGGCTTGGGCGACCGGTTTCATCACTTGAGCATAATCTTTAAGGAGTACAATTTCTGCAGGTATAGGTATTTGTAATCCATCATTTGTAATCCATTTGTTTTGTACTGATAATTACAGTAGCATATTCTTATTCTTCTATTCAATATTAGAAGATGTATATACTTAGGTGAATCTGCCAGGGTGCAGATACTATGAATGACATTTCTCCTTTTTCATTGATGATCCTGTTGAGGCGTTGGACAGCCATAAAAATTCCATTGCGTCGCGTTTCGTTGATCAGATAAATTTGATCCACACATTTCTTTAACCATTTCCGAAACTTATACAGTGCGGAAGGTCTTATTAATTCCAGGGTGCTGAACATTTCGCGAAGGAAATGTTCAACACATCTCCGAGGGTGACAACAAAAACAGAGAAGTCCTTCACAAAATTGGATCAAAATTCGTTAGGAATATCTTCCAACTGGTTAGCAAGGAAACTCTCCAGAGTTTCTGGATCAATCCATTCGACAACGAGGACAAAGAGTCACAGAGCCTTGGAGCACAGAGTAAGCAAATTAGTTTTGCATTATATACCACTTATTAACCGAATTTGAGGTACGTACTAGAAAAATATCAGACCGAGGTCTTGACAGTACGGACCGAGCGACAGCGAGGTTCGTACATAAAAGACCGAGGTCTGATATTTTTCCAGTACGGACCGAACGTATTCGGTTAATAAGGGATTTATTATATGGCATACAGACAGTAGCTAGTTTATTTATTTATACAATGCGCTGCAGCATTCTTGCCGGCTCTTTCGCCAGCCAGTCGCCAAGCAAGCACTGAAGCGGCTTCCAAAACTTTGCTTTTACACGTTAAATAAGAATGATACAGTAATATAAACAAAAATCAAAGATGAATATAAAATATAATATCAACTGTGTACCAAATAACAAAATATTATGTCCACAGTTGTATAAGAACATAAAGCTGATGTTACACGGAACGATTTTTAACGAAAATTCGCAATGTAAATGAAGCAACAATCTAGCATAAACAAATAACAATTCGCTAGCACAAATCGAATCAACAACTAACGGGTTTAATAATCAGTCTAACGCCTTAAAGTTCTAACAAATATCAAATAAACTGTCAACATACAGTCAATCTTCGTCCTCGTCGCTTTCAATCGCGATCCATCATCACAGGGCCATTGTAGATTTGAAAAGAACAGTTTCGTATGTTTGCACCAGAGAACATTTCCTTGGTCGTGGCATTCGTAAAAGATAGCAGTGGATCTGAGTTAGGTCTGGTGATTGTGAATGTCAAATTAGAAGTGAAAGACTGCTGGACTTTTGTTGTTTAGTTAGCGCTTCGATCGGCTTCGAAGGAAGTAGCTTGTCTGCTAAGAGTTGATGACATTTGTTGTTGTTGACTCGTACTGGCGGTTTTGTAGCACTGCAAACTGTTAATGCTTTTGCATGTGACCGCTTAATTGGGCCACAAATGTTTTTGGTACGTTCGCATCTAGAACCTTTGAGATGCATGTTTTTCTTACCGAGTGATTTGTCAGTTTCTTTCCTATTTGATGTAGTCTGGTTTTTGAAGCGGCAAGGGAGAGGAATTTCCCTATTTCATTTTTTCCCAAGGGTGCTCTCATGTACCAAACGGGATCACTCGTCTGCCGAAGGTTTCTCACAGCCAAATAAAACGGCGAGTCTGGAGAGTTCATTTCTGCCGGACGATGGTTTTTGAACAATTATAGTATCTGACAGGACACCTGTCGGTGTTTGTAGCGAATGCTTTGGGTTGAAATGCTCGTTCATGGCCACGTTCTTTGCCTGTTCGGGTTTTTGTTCCTCTTTCAGTCAGAAACACAAGTACTTTGTCTTCGCTTGTTGGATCTTTTTGAAGTTTAATCTCTCCCCATTGAAGTCTTCTGGATTCGTCTTTGGCCCTGAAACCGAAATGCATCGACAATAACCACCATACAGTTCTTTGAAGAGCTTTCGGTGATGAATCGCCAAACTCGCTTGATTGGAATAAAGCGTTTTCTTCTTCGTCAGTTGGTACTCTTGAGGCGTTCGGCTAATTCCCTTTTCCACTTTTAACAAGCAACCGGCGTTTAGCAGCAAGAGTTTCCCTCTACTTTTTAAATGCTTCATCTTTAAATAGGTTATATGTAGAATTGTTCTCGTTCAGGTGTCTCTGGTTTGCCATCTTTTTTCGTAGCATTCATAAAGAACTTTGACAAGATATGGTCCAACTGCTCTGCAGGCAAATTCTCGATTTTAACGTCTTCCTTGCCAATGCTTTTCAAGTATCGGTCCAAAGTATTCATATCCGAAACAATCTTGTTTCTGGTGTTTGCACTTCTCTGATTAGCAATGAAGACTTCAATTTTTTCTTGACTGTTGGTCGTACTATTCGCTATTTCGCTACATTGCTCCATTCTGCATCGATATTTTTCAAAAAAAAGCGCAAGCTTGTTTTTGTTCAAACATATGAGAGTTGGACCGTTACTACGGCAACGGTCCAATACTGGGGATTCCAGACCAGCCAAGAACCAATCAGCGCACGCTATTTTAGTTGCGAGACCGCGTGCCATATAATAATATTGCTTATTGACTTTATAGCGAACATTTCAGAGAGATACGCCAATGGATGAGCCACGTAGATGTTTTCATTCGGGCCCCTTGAGCCTTTGAAACCAAGCACTGATCTGAGATCAGTGTAACCAATCTACTCACAAACTTGAGGGCATCAGTTAACAATAAATCACTTTTATTTAAACTTTTGCAAAAATACCATACAAACGGTTTCTACTTATTAAAATTGTGTTTAGAATAGACTGATTCCAAATATTAACTGATTTAATTTCTTCGTAAAAAATTGAATACAATGACATAGCTACACAGTGTTTACCAGCATTTATATAAAATATTAAATCATTACCCTGATAAAAATTAGCCTGTACTGTACAGGCCGAATCAACTGTATCATTTATAGACCTAGTGCCTATATAGTCCTCCATGTTATTTGACGGTCTTAGTCAGCAATCGCACATACACATTACGACACAATCGTCACATCATTTGAACATACCACAATACGAGGCACTGTTCTCTGGACTTTTATTTAATTGACTTGTCAAAAGGCATTAGAGTACATTGAAGGAAAACCTTAATAGTATTTGATTCCTAAGCTTGCCAGTTAAGACTGCACAGCCTGTTGTGACGTCTGTACAACACAATAGCTGTAAAATATTCGACCAAGAGTACCAGGTTGATATTCGAGGTGACTGTGAAGAAAAACGAGTGATTGAAATAACAAATGTCACCAAAAATACACAAACTTTAAAGTACTTACCTCGATCCTTATGCTTCGGCCTTCGAATTTCTGTATATTTATCTTGGCAAAACAGCCTCCCGGAAGTAGTGTCGAACACACCATTCGTCATCTTTCGTATATCCGACGATTGCCGAAGATGTGCCACACGGCCACATCCGGATAGTTTTTCGATAACATAGACGTTAGCCGCGTATGCGCAGGCTACCAACAGAAACATAAAAGCGGAAGTCACGCTTCCTGAGATGATCAAGCGCGGCATGCTGATTCCGGTCGTGCTTCGAAAAAATAGCATGCTTGCTTGATTCAAGGCCGCAAGCTTGTATGATGAACATATCATTACATAATGATTTCTTATTTTTTTATTAAAAAATGTAACTTGTACCGAACGTATTGTAACTTGTAATCGTTTTAGTTTTGAATGTGTTTTTTTAACTAGTTACCTTTACTGTTACCGTTACATGTTTATAAATAAAAACGAGTTACCGTTACAATTGCTGAAAATTATAACGATTATTTGTAACTAGTTATTTCTAGCAAAGTTGCTTACAGCACTGAGTGCAGTGCACCTCAAACAGTATGCAGACTGGTCATGGGTGTATTACTGAAAATTGTATAGCGGCTCTTTGCATAAGTAAGAGCTCCGGGTGTTACTGAAGAAAACAGTAGGGAAGAGTTTCAACCAACAACAATCTATTGAGTACCTCTTCAGCTGTTGTATTTTCATTGCAGACAATCACTTCTTCATCAGTTGGTAAGGGTTGACGGGCTTCATTTCCCATGAAGAGCGACAGGAGACAACCGAACACTTCCGCTTAAAATGAATAATTTTCATTTGCATTGACTCATTTGACTGGATGGAGTAAACAAACGTATCCATTTATAATATTGATTCTTGTGATTTGAAAAATTTCGATTTAGGAATGGACTCTGAAAACTACCCGGGAGTTATTTGTCATCTATGCTAAATAACCATCAATATGCGGAGGACAAAGTTCATTACAATGGTCTGTAAAAAGCAACTTCCTCCAAAAAATAATAGAATGAATAGGATTGCAAGTAATGCCAAAATCATTGGAGTGGTTACAAAATCAGCCGACTGCTTAACAGGAGATTTTGGCATTCATTCCACGAATCAAGGTAGCTCCAACAGTTTCTAGAGATAGTTGAACGCATATTTTTAACAGGGAAATTAAGCGTTCAAATATTTTTTGGAAGACTTAGATTCCATATACATAATCTATTAGAAATGATTCATCATCGAGTAAAGTGCCATATTGTAATTTCTAGTATTAGAATTTAATTTCGTATATTTCTCTGCCGGCCTGCTTGCAGGAATTAAGGAACTTCCTATTTTACTCTATAATACTTTTCGAGTAACCATGAGGAAACTTTGAATACTTATGCGAAATAATATGGAACGCATAGGGAATACTGAAGGGATAAATCAATTACAATATGGCACTTTACTCGATGATGAATCATTTCTAATAGATTATGTAGCGTCAAGGTTGAACTTTTATGAAATTATTTGCAAGAAAGTATCTCGGTCATTTTTTCATCCCTCCCTCAAAGTTTTAAAACGAGCACAATTGTATTTTGATTTTACTCCGGTTGACTAAATAAAATATATTCTGCTACCGTGCAGACTGCGCATACCTTTTGGAACAAGTAGTAAGTTGGGTTCACCCTCCATTAGGCCTGACGGCATCTTTCTCCGCATACGTTGGGATTCAGCACCTATGGCTATGGAATCGAATTAGCAGTGTTACAACTCGGATTATATAGATGAAGGGTGTTTCATAAAACAGTATACTCTTTGTATAAAAGTAGGATTAAACGTTAAAACAGGCCTTTTATTAATTTTAAAACACGCCCCTCCGATACTGATACCGACAATAGTTGATGACAATGGTTGACTGTTTAGACATTTCACGCTTAAATACCTTTAAATCGTCTAATAATTTAATGCCACATCAGCAATCAGTGGGCCAACTTTCGCTAACTTACCTGATTCTGAAAGTTCGTCTAAAATGTCAGTTAGAATTTCCAAACTGAGGTAAGTATCCTCCTTGTTTTTTACGTATGGTGTGACAGGCTTTCGGTCAATTTTTTGCCCTATAATTTCCCTATCAAAAACAATACAAAATAAACACATCGTGGCTGAAGGTTGAATAATATGAATATATATTAGTGTCTGACTGACTGATGTCAATTTATGCCGCTCAGCACAACGTTGCAACAGAACAGAAACGTTGTTTTAAAAATGCGCACAGGGGCGTCGGAAGCGGGGGGGCCGGGGGGGCTCAGGCCCCCTCACTTTTTTATTTGGGGGGGCCTAAGTATCATTGGGCCCCCCCACTTTTTGACAAAGGTAAGTTGTTAATTGGTAAATTGTTAGAATTCTGGTAAATCTTCTCCCAAAGTGCCGGATATGGCGTTTCAGTGTTCAGACTCTGGTTTTAAAAATTTCCCAGAGGGAAGGCATGCCCCTGTAACAGTGTAACCTCTTAGAAAGTTGCCCACATTTGGCAATTGGCAGGCACTTTGTGGGCCCCCTCACTTCTGGCGGCGTTCCGACGCCCCTGAATGCGCACATACCTTTTGCTTTCTTCAGCATCTCCGGACTGGCACTCTGAATTTAATAGATCTGCAATTAGATCTGACAGTTGTGGATTTCGCTTCGCATCTTCATAATACTTCATAACAGTTTCTTTATCTTCTTCTCCAAAAACAACATGTGCTATAAGATCTTCTTCAGTTGCATAACGACCGCAAATTTGTAAAGCAGCAACAAGATATTTTTCTTTAAAACGCTCTCCCATTCCCTCGAGTTTCTCTTTTGCACTCATAAAAGTTTCAAGCGAGATCTTTCGTCTCTGTTGGCTTGGAAAAGTCACATCTTCTTCGATATTTTCTGACGAAATGCCTTCACATTCCATATCACTCTCAAAATATTTTTCTCCGTCTTTAGAATTTTTTTCTGTAAAGAACACCACGTTTTCAGGAACCATTGTTTTTAAGACATTTGCAAGAAGCAAAGGCTCTACATTCTTGTTAACAGACTCGAGGAGCATAAAAGTCTGCAATCGCAGTTCATCGATGGCCACATGCCCAACACAAACTTTTGCTAACTCTAGCCTTAGGTGTAAAATCTGTTTCATAGTAAAATGATTCAAAGAATAACAGCTGTTTCTTGCATCATGAAAATATTCCTTCCATTTCTTTAAATCACGTTCCATTGTTTCACAGGTTTCTTCAATGTTCTCTAAAAGCCTATTCCTCTCGTCGTCCGCTTTACTGCATTGGTATTTACTTTTCCATGTTAAGTAGTTGATCTGACCAACCTCACAAAGTTGCAAGTACAAATGGCTTATTCTGAGTATTCCATCAAAAATCTAAAAAAAAAATTATATCAACATTATAATATATAAAATTTGATAAAGTACGCGCGTGCTAATTGGTCGAGAGGCGTGTTTCTATTTAACAATTAGTCGCTGAGGCGACTACTTGTTTTAATATAAATTTCGAGGTGTTTACAAATAGTAGCTAATCAACATAATTTCATAAAAATTTATAATTACTTCAAATTTCTTACTTGAAAAACCACAACAAAAAGCTATAGTCACCGACCAGACCGACTATCGCTTCAGAGACAGTGAATGTTGACCAATCAGAATGCAGGAAAATCAAACAAAAATATAAAATTATGAAGCAAATAGAAAACAATTTTTCCCTGTGTTTATATATAGTTATAGAAACACTTCTTGGAGTTTGGAAGAACTCGAAATAACGTGGAAAAATCCCATCAAATGACCAGGGGAGCCACCACAGTTGCCCCATTAAAATTAAAACTTTTTGAATTATTGAAATGAGCGAGATTTAGACATATAACAACTATGTCTATAACCACAGCTGATAGTCCAACCATCAAATCATTTCAAAACTACGGCATTCTTCACATGTATAAGATTAAAGTTGAAAACAGCCCATTTCTGGCCTATCAGTGGTCCTAGTAGTTCGAATAAAAAAGGCAAGCATGAAGGATGATGGGAATACATATAGATTGGAAATTACCCATCATGCTTTACTCGCTCAATCTTATGTTTCACGCTCGTTGGGGGAACAAGCTGTTTTAATCTTTTTCCAAGCCTAATATACACTGTCTTACTACCTTTCTTATACCACATTTGCTAAATTTAAACAATACCCTTTTGTATTCTTCGAGATTTTTCCCCGCTCACGTTTGACGCAGACATTTTTAATTGGAATAATAGCAATTACGCAACGCTGTCGGGTGTATAAAGCGAAATTGAATGTAAATTATGCACATTGAAATAAGATTAACAATATTGTTTGCATTATTCCGAGGAATATTATTAGACGTTTTTTAAATTCACAATGCGGGTTCTTGTAGAATAAAAGGTTGCCTATTTTTAGTGTACTTGGTAGTTGTGTAGGCAAATTCTTGGAAATTAAAATGCTGGGATATATAATAAATGAAAGAATAATACGGTACCAACCTCATTAAATTTGTCAACTTCCTCCTTTCCACTTTCTGCTTTACCGGCAATCAACATAAGTTTACTCTGTACGTCCTTTATTTCTTCCAGACTATAAACTTTTCTTTCTCGATTTTTTTGAGGATCTTCAGGAACATTGAGACACACTAAATTTTCAAAATTTAATCCACCTGCAGCGTTCGCGTACTTAACTTCTTTAGCCATCTCGGTGTCTGCAATGTAATAAGTACCACAGGAATTGATAGCTTCAACTTGAACCATAGTTGTAAGTGCAACTGAACCATGAGACTCTTTTATTTGCTTCAACCATGACAGGCTTTTCTTAGTGGATACCTAAATTCGATAGAAATAAATATGATATATGATAACAGCAACGTAATAATAGTTAAACTTTAAAGTGCCTATATCACTTGTGGGATCTTTACGGATTTTGCTTAGATAGAGCTTGAAAAATTAGTTATACAACCCTTTTTTGAAATAATTAAGTAGTTTCGGAAATATTTACATCTAAACATGACGATTTGCCTAAATTTCCGTCGTGCTCGGGGGCCTGGGACTCAGGAACCGAGTTCTCGTCAAACATAATTTCATCAATTGTAATTTTACTTCGATCTTCCAACGACGTAAAATATTTTGAGAAAAACTCGCCCAGTTCCTATAGCCATACACAACGCACCGTTCCCGCATTTTTTTTTGAAAAGCGCAAACTATATCGCCAGTGAAAATCTTCATGTTTACATTATAAAAGACGGCGTGTTTGCAAATCATTCCTGAGTCCCAGTCCCGCCAACCGACGTATTTTCGAAACTATATAATTATATCAAAAAGGGTTGTAGAACTTATAAACTAATTTTTCAAGCTCTATTCAAATCCGTAAAGATCCCACAAGTGATATAGGCACTTTAAATATATATGTTGAAGGCGATGTTTGTGAAGGTGATATATCTACATGCTATTTTAACTCACCAATTTTTCTCCAATGCCTGGATTAGCGTCAACAGCGTGCCACACAGGTTGACAAAGTCGCATTAGTTCATCAAATCCATGACTTGTTTTGTAACCGAAAATTAACGATCCAAACCCAAGACAACTTGTATGCATACACGAAATCCGGTCAATTTCCATGTCATCTTCCCCGGCTGAAATCAACGCCAAATCAACAAATACTTTGAGCTCTTGTTCATCTGAATTTCAAAAAGTAATAAATTAGTTTTTTGAGAACATAAACTTGAAAATGATAGAGTTTTTACAAAATTAGAAGCATCAAAATGAGTGAACTTCGTTGAAGAGGCAAGAATAGCCATACTTTACTTTGCCTATAAAAACAAATTTTCACTATAGCCCGTGGTAACATAAATTAAGAAATTTTTCTCGGGAATTTATAGTCAGATATCTATCTCAGGACGACGAAAATATAGAAATGTCCTTACCATTTATACTCTTTTTTAGCCAGGCAACTAAATCAAAACATTCCGTAAAAGTCGTTAAACATCCTCTTCTTTTCTCGTCTATTTCATCTAACAGTTCTCCAGCTTTAAGTAGATTGCCATCCACGTCTTTGATGGCTACATCTTTTAGGTTCCCACTAATAATCTGCATTATTGAATATAAATGTTATTGCATTTAATTATATCATATTGTAATACAATAATGTACTGCAATTATACGAGGAGGCATCAAAACCTGGTCGTTAATTTAGCTATAGGGAAAAAACTACAACAAACTTACTGAGGAACTTCCTGTTTTCTAATTGGCGAAAATTCTGTTAGGCGGGCAAAATTCGTGTCAATTGTGGAAGACAGCGTTTACGCGAATCAACTTTCAAAAGTTCCGATTGGATTGACATTTAGTTTTCCATTCACAATTTCCTAGTTTTGACTAACACTGCGGAAAAACGACTGTGCACGCGCCAAATTATGAAACTTTGGCGGGAAAACTATCGATCAACTTTTGAAACAAAATATGTTCATTTATTAAAATATGCGAAACCGATATATCAAAAAATCGTTAAAAGCTCTCTAGTATTGGAAAGTTTGGAACGAAATGGAATTCGTGTGAACTTTCTAGTTTTAACGGGTGGCTCAAGTTCTTGTAGTTCTTAATTGTTGAAGTTACTAGCCGTTTTCATTCTCAGATTTTGGAATGCAATGTTAATAATGCTAGAAATATAGCTTTGAAGATACACAATGAATCACTCTATTTTACCACCATTTTCGAGAGACTGTTTGTGCGAAGGTTGGTAAAAGAAAAAACACACCAAGCGAGCTAGTTAACAGTATATATACTTGAACTGTACTAGTCTTTAATATGGATTAATCAAGTATGATTTTTTACGCAAAAGAATCAAATACGAATTTTCTCATGAAAACGTTTAAATCTTAGCTATCTAATCAAGATAAGTTAAAATCCCCGCGTCCCTGTATTTTTGCATCCTTTACTGTATGTGTAAAGGAACGTTTTCCTTCCTGCTAATACTTTGTAAAAGGCCCCATGCAGTTTACGTGCATAAATATGTTTGCAGTAGTAATGGGTCCTAAACATCTACGTTTGTAGAAGATTAACCATACTATCTGACCTCTTCTATCTTTTCAACCACTGAGAAATCGCCAGTGAGACGCAACGTTTCTTTTAATTGGAGAATTGCCTTCCCAGCTTGACGAGCATCAGAAATCTTCTTATATCTCTTTACTTGCGTGATTCTGGCAGCGAGGTTTCTCTCTGTTTCATCCAAATGTTTCTTTGGATGACTCAAAAACGAGAAAAGCAGTTTGAATTCGCCTTCTAAATCGGTGTAATTCGTCTGAAACAAATCTAAATATTTATCAATGTCCTTGAGTAGCATTTCGCCGTTTCCAAACTGTTCACTTATTTCTTCGAGTTGTTCACATACTTTGATCCAAATTTGCAAAATATTTTCCATTGTGACTTGTTCATTTTGTAATTTCTCGCTGTATTTACGCCATAGCTTAACGAAAATTCGACTGCTTTCTATCTCATTAATCCTAGACACCATATCAAGATACTTGTCATCGAGGTTAAAGAATATTACGTCAAATCTACCAGATCTTTGAACGCATATATCCCGTATTGATAACTCACTAAAGTCTTGCACAATTTTTTCGCTCAAGGCACGAAGCACTTCATCGACTAAAAAATTAAAATTACCAAGAATCAACCGAGCTAGAAAAATCCTCGGGATTAATTTTAGTTACATACCACACGGTAAATTTCAAGACGACCTTTAAGTTTAAGTTTAAAAAGTCTAAAATACAGTTGTGACCATCTTCGATGACTCTTCATATGTGTACGAGGCGAGGAGGTTTGTAGGAGGAAGCGAGTAAAATATCGATGGTCGGGGGTCCTCAAAACATAATGTTTTCTGAGTTCTCGGTAAATACGTTTTTTATTAGTTATATACCACTTGTCAAAGAAAAGCCAAACTACAAGGTAAACAACGAAGTATCTATTCATAAAAGACATAATTTCAAATGAATAAACAGTCTAAAGGTCGCACGTCCAGGTGCGCCGCACGTTTTGTTATTTCCCATGGAATAACACGTTATCTCACTCTGCAGGGGGTTGTGTGGGCAACGTCAAAATCCTCACTCCCGCGTGAGTCGCTCTCGACCAATGAAACGCTACGAACACCAAAGTTTGATAAGTGGTGTATAATAACATCATTTAAAGACCCAAATAAAAGGGATTCGGCGAAATATTTCCCAAGTGATTATGTTAATATCATTAAGAGGAGATTTTTTAGAAAGTCGCGTATTTTTGCCCAAAATCGCTCAAAACTTAGCAACCAGGCCTTCGCTAAAATATGCTTCGCAGCCATTTTGAATTTACAAGTTTGGTAACGTTTTCGTGTCGAGAGACAGCTGTTTTACTAACTTTTGGAGAATTTCAAAAGGCGAAAAGCTTCTTGAAATAAAGAAGAACAACAGGTGAGTGTTCGTTCAATTTTTTTAGTATTTTGAATGATATAATTTTCCATGCGTACATTTTTATTCGTGCGAAGGAGTGACACACAGTCACACACTAAAGTATAAACATATTGAAATATACTGATTAAGTTTGATTTTAGTGATTTAGAATTAACCTTGTGATAGAATAAAATTCTCAAATGTTAACGTATTTATTCCTAGGTCTCCAACACATATTGGAAAATATGAACAATAGTTTCAGATACCAGTAAACTACTAAACTCGCATAGTGGATGGTTATGTCACTTATGTGTAGTAGCTCGAAGATACAATAATAAAAAAGACCCTAAATAATCTATTTGAAGAAACAACACAAGAAAGAAAACAACTGCCCTCTAAATAATCTATTTCAAAAACAACTGCCCTCTCTATTTTAACAATGAATTCCTTGTGTGGTGGGTACATAATATGGGACATGTAGGACAATTGGTGGGACAATCATGGGACATTCATTCCAAATTATGCAGCTGTTCATATAGTGTGATATATGTGTACATATAGCTGAACATTATAATGTGACTTTGTTGTTAAAATATCATATAAATAATTTCAATAAATAGTGTACTACACTCAGTCTACACTTATACTGTAATAATTAGGAGGAAGTCAAATACTTACAAGTGCTTTCAAATTATGATATTCATCTTTGTGAATACAGAGAAAATTTGATTGGAAACATTTGCATTGTTTTTTTATGGTTAAACACAAAGAAATGTGATGTAATACATAATTCTAGCACATTTCTTTCAAGTGAAAAAAACCTAACAAAGCCACCTTAACTACATTGGCAATTACCAAAGTTATTGTGCCACTAGTTATTGTTTTCAAAGCAACCCCTTATAAATTTGCCTAGGTATTTCCATTGTATCAATAATATTGTTAATACAGGTGCCACTTCATTTGGTATACTAATGCCTAAAGTAAATATACAACATATGGTTGATTTTAAAAATGCCAAAAAACGACCACGGACCTACCACCCAAATTTGAGCAAAATTGTATTTTTTGCACACTACAATAACTGGGGCTTATCATAAAATATAAATTAGTTTGATCGGAAACAATTCTGCACTGAATTTTAATGGCTAAACTTAAGGTTCGCATAAAGTCCCTTTTTGACAAAAATGACCTAAATAAAAACCTATGGATTTTTTAGATGAAAATTGTTTATTCAGTAAATTAATTGCTATGGATTTTGTAATATGAACTAAGGAAGGTGTCTATATGGCTCAAAGTATCTCTATTCAAATTCTACTCAAGAAGTAGATAGCTATTCTGAGATGTCAGTAAATATGTGCTGTGATAATTGGAAAATTACTTGATTTTGAAAATGTCAAAAAACGACCATGGACCTACCACCCAAATTTAAATCAAATTATACTTTTTGTAAACTACAATACCCAGGGTGTATTGCAAAATATGAATTAGTTTGATCGGAAACAGTTTTGGTGTAATTTACCAGTGTTGAACATAGGTTTTAGCAATAGACTAATGTTTTAAGTTCATGTCAAATCAAGCAAAACCTCAGCAATTATTTTAGGTACATCTAATGTTTGGATTTTAAAACTAATGCATGCTTTTACATAAAATACATCTATTGCAAAAGAAAATCACGTACAATACAGTATTTCCGTCTAATATTTAAGATATACGGTCAAAAGTGCTGATTGTAATACATTTTCCCGATAGCAATTCCAATATTGAATTGTTTGTAAAATAAGATGGTATATTAATAAGATCAGGCACTAAAAGTTCCACGAAACTGCAATTTTGGAACACTGATATGTCAAAGGATTACATTATATTTTATTCATTGTGATCACAGGCAGTTACCTAGCTAAAAAAACAGTAAAATGATCATCATACAATCCTAACTTCTATGAACTGCAATCATAGCGAACTCTTGTATAACATTCCACCGTCCTTAATTATTTGGCAAACAGTGAATCCATTTTGTCTAGGAGTTTCATATCTTTAGATGATCACATGCTTTTCATTTTCTGTTAAATTGCATAACTTTCCGAGAGTTATGGTTGTGAAAACGGCACTGAAACACTCATACTATTTGAAATCCGGCCGCCATGTTTACATGGAATTGCTTCTATCAACTTCCAGCAATCTGATTGGTTTTGAGCGCTCAATACGCGAGTTTGTAAAAAATCTCCTCTTAATGAGGAAAATATTTCGACGAATCCCCCGAGAAGAGGGACTGTAAATTATATATTATACCGAAAATTTCTCGACTGGGAACACGTAAAACGTACGGTAAAAAAATTCCCCTCTTCTCTTTACCCACAAATCTCACGAGTTGCGTGGCAGCTTCCATGATTAATATTTACCTCTCTCGCGCTAGCGGTGAATACGTAATGCCGCTGCTGTGAAGGACTGCAGAAATTAATATTCACTGCGCAAACGGTGCATACGAGAAAGGTGCTGGCCAAAATAATGGCAGGCAAGGGATAATTCTTCCCGTACATCTCTAACACCCAGATTCTTGTTGAAGGTCTTTTTGCTCAAATTATATGAATAGACACGTTTCATATCTTGCTGCATTGAGGGAGGACAAAAATGGCCCAAAAACGAGGCAAGCAAAAGAATCTACAGGGTGTCCCAAAAACACAAAAACCATTGAAATCGCCATAACAATGTAATAGCTAGAGAATTAATGCACCATGCACAAGTGTATAAATAAATGTTTGACATAATCATTTTATGCATGATGCATGACAGTAAAATTTGTTTGTATATCCAAAATTGACTGTTATTACACAGGGTGAGTAAAAAAAACTGACACCTTTAAATTCAAACAAGACGCCTGTTCTGGCGTTAACTCCGGTACACGTGCCAGTCTTCAATATAGAGCTTCTGAACATAAACAATACAGTTCATATTCGCATTTAGATGCCTTGCGAACCTAAATGTTCGATCGCGAAATTCAGAAGCACATCGTACTATTACGTATAATCACTATATATCATCTTATAACAATTTATATAATAATATAATCATATAACCATATAGCATTCGCTTCAGTCAGACTTACATGCATGAGTAAGCTAATAGCTATCCACACCTTATCCCACAAACACGTAACAAGATGTCGACCACAAACCACGGTAGCATGCATGTGCTACAATGCACTGTATTGCGTACGGGAAATGACTTATAGTTTTAGGGTAGCCAAGCGTATAAAGTCTGAGCACAACCAACCACGGAGAGAGAAATGCGTACAGCATTCTTCGTAAGGCCTCAGTGCCTAAATATTATATTGTAAAAGCAAAAGTAGAAAACAATTAAAAGGAGTTAAAGTTGAAAACAAGGCTTTGTGGAGTTGTGCTTAGACAGAAATAAGTCAAAAGTTTAAAGATATATTATCTTCTTAAAGTCATAATCTTATAGAGACGTTAATTATTGTTACTGGAAAGTTAAGGAATAAATAACTATATAAATCTAATTGATTCACACTGTAGTGTATTATCAAAGTTTATAGGACCGCGCTCGTGACAGTACTTTAAAAAGTATAGAAGTTCAATTGTTCAAAAATGTAAATAAACCGCATGATATATTCGCTTTGTCTTACACTTTGCCTTTGGAATTCGTGCTTATATAGTTATATTAAATCTTCAATCCTGTGCAAACTACGACGTGTCAACGCGCCAATACACGACCACATCATCTTGTTAAACGGCGAAATAGCAGCGATATTATTAAAATAGGACCAGAATCTACATGTATTAAGTATATTTTTACCCCAATTCAATCATGAAAAGAACGGTTTATTTGTTTCTCTTGGAGGAATTGCCGTATCATGCGAGCGAAATCGAATCGCGCATCGGAAAATTAGCCAAAGCTGTGCACCTCAACTCTTAGGAGACAAGCCTGGGACGTAGATAAATACGGTCATATACACGTTTTAAATAATAGTATATTTCACGCCATTACAGACTTGTGACGACGATAAAAAAAAATTAAAAAAACAAAACAAAACAAAACAAAACCGAGGCGAATTTTTAACTCCGTCGCTGACGCCGGAGTAATTAGCCGCATAGCGGCTGTAATGTGGTAGAAGTTGCCTAAATTATCTCATGGGTATACGAAGCATATTAAATAAGTGAACCTAAAACATAAAGTTTGTTCCCTTTAGGAGTTAAAATATGCATTCTAAGCTCTGTAAATAAAAAATAACAGTTTTATCAAATTGTTTTTCTAGCACACGCACCACATTGAATTAGTTCAATTGGTTTAAACACTTTCGCATTAATAAATCACGTCCTGTTGACTGTACAGATGGAAATGGTCAAATTCCAGCCATATAAGTTCGCGGCTAATTTGACTTTCAAAGGTGTCAGTTTTTTTACTCACCCTGTACGCTTTACAAATATGGATAACAATATTTAAATTTACAACTTAAGCACCATGACCTTCGACATGTCCTTAATTCTCTAGCAAATTTTAACTTTTTGTAGGCCTATTTAGCATTTTATAAGTTGCGTTGAATCCCCACGAGCAAAAATTCGCGAACAAGTCATTCAAATCTTAACAATAGGTAATTTCAATAGTTTTTTTTGGGACAACCTGCACTTGTGGGTCCCAACAGGGTGCTGAGGCATTCAAATTCTAGCTATTACATTATGGGTGATTTCAATGGTTTTGGAGTTTTTTTGGGACACTCTGCATAATGCAGTTTTCGTTGCGACGAAAATAGTGAAATTTAAAGTATACCTCGTTTGAAGCTGCAGAGATCAAGAAAACATTTCAGCTGGCCATTCAAATTATGAAACTCCCTGAGTTCGGAAAGTCGTGTCTCAAAAGTGGTCCTCATTGGAACGTGTTGAGAGCCACTCTGATTTGTCTGATGCACCTCACACAGTTCCAAAAATTGTTTGGAATGTTCTCGTAAAACCTTCAATGTTGCAGCTGTAACTGTCCCATCGTTGACCGAGTTTACAACATTTTCGACGCACGACACAGCACTCACCAAAATTGTTCCGCTGTCACTCTCTGTCACTTCTGTTTCACCCCAGGTGCTATTTCCTGTAAAACGATAATTATTTTACCAATGAATAGTTTTTGCTATCCGTTTTATTCCGAAGGTTTAGTTTAAAAGTAGAATTAAAGAGGTCGGCGTAGATCATAATTATAGCAGCCTCGTACCCAGGCGCTTTAGTAGTAAAATATATAAAGGCCTAATGCCACGTACGGGCACTTTCTCTCGGCGAAATGCGAAATATTTCGCCTGTTTCTTTAGAATTTCGACCACTTGAATAAAGTGACTCTGCCTCATTGCTAACAATTAAAAAAAAGCAGGCGATATATTTCGCATTTCGCTTGAAAATTTAGCCCGTGGAATTAGGGCTTAAAGTGGGACTCAGCTATGGTTACTGCCTATTTCACGATATTAAATTACACTGTCACACGTTCTGGCTTTGATCTGTTTATTATCATAAATGTTCGTTTAAATACTCTATTCGTCAATACGTCAATCACATTTCTTCGTAGCCTCAAAAGCAGATTCTCCTTTTTGTCCGTACTTTTCCCAACACTATATCGTCTCTTCGTCACTACTCAAAAATAGACTGTTCACATGTTCGGCGCATGCAATCATTACTATTGATTTCTGCGTTATTTAATATAGACCAGAATAAGGCTTTAAAATTTTATTTACAAACGACGTTTCGGAGTTTACTCCATCATCAGGTTAAGATACTCAGATTATGTACAATTTTGAATAAATCGCGTATAAAAACCGTTAAAGCTTGCGTCCGTTACATTTTCGTGCGCATGCGATTTTCTTTTTTTTTTTTTATTTATTTATTTTTTTTTTGTAAGCATAAAATGACGTGTCCGAGAAATTCTAATAAAATTAGAAATTAATTATAGTATTATTTATACTGCATGCTGTCTAAACTATAAAATCTAAAATGTTTAATTGTTCGTATTTCCCATTCAAGTCCGGTTTCAACTTTTGAATGAATAAAGCTTCGGTAATCTTGCGTTCTACGGATCCTTTCGTTTTTTTTAGAATCTTGATCGAAAGCTTAGGTTTTTGTCCACGATGTAGTTCACTATAATGCTTTGCGAAAGCCATGTTCTTGTAGGATTTCGCCGTAGGATTTGCTGCAGATCGATAATGTTCTACACCCGCTGACAATCCAAACGAAGCCGTGAAGATTCAAAATCAGCTGAATGGGCAAGATCCATCAATTCAATTTGAAATCGAGTTACCTGGCGAAGACGGATTCCTTCCTTTCCTCAATACAAAAATCAAAGTGAATACCTCTGGAACAATCGAGACGGGGTGGCATACAAAATCAGCAAACAAAGGATTGATGTTGAACGCAAAATCTCATCATCCAGAACACATCAAGCGAGCTGCCATTGGTAACACGATCAAAACCTACACTTCGATATGTTCAAACGATACATTACTACAAGAAGCTGAACGGAAATTTGAAAGAAGAGCGAGACGAAACGGTTATGACAGCAAGTATGTCAACAAAGTTAAAGCGACAAAAAGCAAGAAACGAGCATCAAAAACCGAAGCGCCAAGTACATTTACAATACCATTTATCTCAAGCCAATTCACCAACGACATCAGAAGAGCAGTCCAACGTTCAGACCTCATTGTCCGAATAGTTGAACGATCTCAAAGCTCATTGAAGAACATTCTGGCAGAGTTGCGACCCTACGACAACACATGCACAAATCCCTCGAAATGCCCAGTGTGCAGTAGGTCATTGCTTCCCATTCGATGCTCGCAGAAAGACGTTGTCTACCAAATAAACTGTGACCTGTGCGGAGCAACATATGTAGGAGAAACAAGTAGACCATTAGCCGTCAGATTCCAAGAACATTATCGATCTGCAGCAAATCCTACGGCGAAATCCTACAAGAACATGGCTTTCGCAAAGCATTGTAGTGAACTACATCGTGGACAAAAATCTAAGCTTTCGATCAAGATTCTAAAAAAAACGAAAGGATCCGTAGAACGCAAGATTACCGAAGCTTTATTCATTCAAAAGTTGAAGCCGGACTTGAATGGGAAATACGAACAATTAAACATTTTAGATTTTATAGTTTAGACAGCATGCAGTATAAATAATACTATAATTAATTTCTAATTTTATTAGAATTTCTCGGACACGTCATTTTATGCTTACAAAAAAAAAAAAAAAAAAAAAAAAAATCGCATGCGCACGAAAATGTAACGGACGCAAGCTTTAACGGTTTTTACACGCGATTTATTCAAAATTGTACATAATCTGAGTATCTTAACCTGATGATGGAGTAAACTCCGAAACGTCGTTTGTAAATAAAATTTTAAAGCCTTATTCTGGTCTATATTAAATAACGCAGAAATCAATTGTAAAAATGAGGCTCAGAGAAAGTTCGTTTTTAAACCTTCTAAAGCAATCATTACTGTTATAATTATCTCGTAATACTATACTTGACTGGCGACTTCTTCAGACTTAACATGATCCATTCTTTTCACGCGAGCTATATCTTGTCAACATCTTAATATTGTGCGTGTTTGATTAGTTATAACATCATTTTCCGGGACATGACGTCACATTTTAGAATATTCTTCAAACGAGGGGGAGTGAACGACACTACAGGGTGTATCAAAAAAAATGTCCCAAATGTAAAATTTCCGTTTTCAGGATATTTTGCAGAATTTGGCAAATTTTTGTGTTCCTAGAGATAGTTCCTAGAAATTGAGATATTATTTAGCTGTCTAAAAGTAGGAAAGCTTTTTAATAAACTGCCAAAGTTTCAGGAAAAATAATGCAAACTGGGAGCAACGCGCGACCCCTAAAGGTGCCGAATATTTCATTGCGCGCAGTGGATTAAATGCATCGTTGATTTTAGCGTGACCGATCTCATGTAAGGCTGGGCAAATGAATAAATTAAAGTGAGAAACTGAACACAAAAACAAAGCGATTTATTCGTGATGTTAATCCTCAGCATGTCCACCATTTCATTCTAAGCAAACTGCGGCTTGTCTGAGCATACTAAACACTGAACAGCGAACCATTTGTCTGTCCATTCGCCTAGATTTGCCGGTGGTAGAGTAGGCGATTTGCAAGAAAGAATTTCGAACGAAATGGATAATAGGAAGCAGGACAGACAAATGTGGTTCGCCGTTCAGTGTTTACCATGCTCAGACGAGCCGCAGTTTGCTTAGAAAGAAATGGTGGAAATGTTGAGGATTAACCTCAAGAATAAAAATCTTGTTATTAAATCGCTTCGTCTTCTTGTTCAGTTTCTCGCTTTAATTTATTCATTTGCCCAGGCTTGCATGAGATCGGTCACGCTAAAATCAACCATGCATTTAATCCACTGCGCGCAATGAAATATTTGTCACTTTCAGGGGTCGCGCGTTGCTCCCAGTTTGCATTATTTTTCCTGAAACTTTGGCAGTTTATTAAAAAGCTTTCTTACTTTTAGACAGCTAGGTAATATCTCAATTTCAGCTTCACATTTTCGCGCGCAAGCCCTCTCAATATCAGCGGAAAGGAACCACGCCCCCGGTAACGTAATTTTGTTAATGAAAATCCAAACTTGGCCTAGGTATACCAGATAAGTCTTAACTATCTCTAGGAACACAAAAATTTGCCAAATTCTGCAAAATATCCTGAAAAACGGAAATTTTACATTTGGGACATTTTTTTTGATACACCCTGTAGTTTTTTCGACATTAGAACACAACCTGGTTTACGCTGTTTTGGTTTTTAACGAAGAACATTTTGCGATTATATTAGTAATTTATTGGTTTAATTCACTGCATGCTTTTACTAAACGGGACGATGAACTGCTAAACCTGGAGGTGAGTAATATGTTAATATATGTAATGTATGTATGTATGTAAAAGCTCTGAACGGACACTTAGTTCTTGACTATACCAGTGCAATTATGTTCAATAATCTAACACAGTGTGACTTTATTTGTGATAAGAACTAAAAAAGGGGCCACGAGCCGCCGGGGCGAGGTGACAAAATAAACAAGCCATTACTGATCAAATTTGTTAATATTTTCTGTGACGTCATTCCGTTCGTACGTTCTTATAGATCATGGCTCTCGACCAATAAAATTGCTTGAAATTCTAATGTTATTATATAACTCGCTATATCGGCTGTGTTTTATCATGACAACTACAGATAACTGATCTGCTCCTTTGTTAAAACTCAAAGCCCACGAGGTTCGACATAATTATACTAGGGGGACACAAAGGATTAGCCAATTCATTGTGCATGGTAGAGACAACTGAAAATTATTCTTGCATGCCGTCTTATTCATGGACCCCGCGGTCGGGATAAAAATTATTGAAATAAAAGTCAGATATTAACTGGCTAACTTTTCCTAGTTATTTTCAATTTAGCATTAAGATAAGTAGGACTAAGCAACCCATCAATTGAAACTTCGCAGTCATAGAACCATAGGCTCCGAAAACGAGATTATTATCCCCGAGCCGGTGCGAAGCACCGGGCGAGGGTACTAATTCCGCCCGGAGATTTTGATTACGCCCGGGAATGCAAATGCGAAATTAAAGTTGTCCGCCATTATGTCATGGACGTTGGGCGTTTTTGTAAGTTATGCCCATGCATGAGTTTAAGATGAGTTAAAACTGGTAACCAGCAAACGCTTGCAAGCGTGCGATTGGCTAAATTAAAATTTTGGTTCGCGTCAGCATAACTGATAATTTGAATTATACTTTTTAAAAAATATTTTTCATTTGGATGGTTTTGAAAATATACGGAAAAATTCACTCGTAAAAGTGATTAAAATGTAAAGTAGATGATGCTTTCGGATAGAAAAACTTTGATTCAAATAGATTTTGTATTTTAGAGCATGCAAGTATTTCGTAAGTTTAACTTGTAGATTTATCAACAAACGTACGACACCTCTTTGAATTTATTCGTCAATTTCGTTAAAATGATTTTGATTGGGAAAGCATTTATTTTTAAAGGTCAATCTTTTTAAAAAGGAATTGAAATTTCGCTAAAAATTGTAGTATTTAAAACTATTCGTAGCACAATTTAAAATGAATTACGATTATAGTTGAATGTGATAGCTCGAGAGTCAACTTTATAATTGTATCAAGATATAGGATTTTACTTACACGGCTTCGATCAATCAGCAGAAACTGCGAGTAATATAGAATTTCAGTGATAGAAATATAAGTTTATTATATAGATGCCGAGATTTTCGAATAAATTTACCGGAGTGAAGAATTATTTCAAGATTTGTTCTAAACGAACACTAGCGAATCAGAAACGTGAAACGAATTTTCCACACGTGCGAAAAACGTTTCAACCAATCAGAGTGACCCTATATTTTTGTACGAGCAAATTCAGAACGGCAAGGAGTTTGCCGGTTTGTTATTTTGAATTTTCTTGGCGTTATAAGTTTACTTAAGTTTAGATTGCAAGTTAAGTTTGACAATGTCTATAGCTGGGGAAAGCATTACCAGAAATTTGCGACATGATAATTTGCATGTATACTAATTTGCATTTAACTTTCAGCATAATGGCCTTCAACTTTCACTATAAAATACATATAGTAAATATACAAAACCTAAAAATGCCGTTGACCTAGATCTTGCCCACTGTTTGCCGACCTTTGGATCAATAGAACAGCCGTTTCCCAACGTTTTAATGATCGAATTACTTTCCTTAGGTATTTCTACGTTCGGCCAAATGATTGTGAACAAATGTGTATATAGCCTTCGTATTGTTCAAGTTCCAGACAAGACTGATAATATTTTTTAAAGTGATTGCAGTAAAAATCCGAGCCGTATAGAAAAGTTTATACACAAATACGAAAGAGAATATCTTAAACAATTTTTTGGGTACATTATACGTCAATTCATCAACTACCTGAATCGAAATATTCGAATCAATGTGAGCGATTTTATAAGTTCGTGGACAGCACACGGACAAAACTTTGAGCAATATATTTTTAAATTTGGCCGAATGCAGAAATGCCCAAGCTAAAAAATCCTGTCACCAAAACGTTTCTAAACAGCTGCTCTACCGATCTAGAGGTCGGCAAACAGTGGGCAAGGTCTAGGGCAAGGGCATTTTTAAGTTTTGTATATTTACTATATGTATTTTATAGTAAAAGTTGAAGGCCATTATACTGAAAGTTAAATGCAAATTAGTATACATGCAAATTATCATGTCGCAAATTTCTGGTAATGATTCTCAACACTAGAAAAAACAATTGATGAATATATTATTGATCAAGAAAACAAAAACACTCGTGCTAAAACAAAAAAAGACGTAAATTTGCTTGTTGAGTTTTTGAGACAGAAAGACGAACTGCGAAATCCCGAAGAACTGCAAGTCGAAGAACTAAATGACTATCTCTCTGAGTTCATTTTGAGTGTCAAAAGAAAAGACGGTGAAGAACACGAACCGTCGAGCCTTCGGGGCTTCCTATCGAGTTTTCATCGCTATTTGAAAGAGCATAAATATACTGCGAATATTGTCGAAGATCTTGCATTTGAGAAGACACGAAAATGTCTTCAAGCTAGAAGTAAACAACTCAAGAAAAAAGGCAAAGGCAACAAGCCAAATGCAGCTGAAGCCTTGACGGATGACCAGATAAACATTCTTTATGAAAAGAATCTTCTTGGACTGTCAAATAACGAAGCGCTTCTAAATACACTTTGGTTATTCAACTCGCTGCATTTTGGTCTTCGAGGTTGCGACGAGCACCGACAAATGTGTTGGGGAGACGTTAAGCTTATCACAGCAGCCGATGGAACTGAGTATTTGGAATACTCGGAGCGCCAGACAAAAACAAGAACTGGTGCAGAACCTCGTAACATAAGAGCTGTCAAACCAAAAGCATTCGCAGTTCCGAACGGTTCGCGTGACAGAGATCCAGTGGAAATTTACAAAACGTATTGCCATAAAAGACCAGACCCTATGAATAAACCCGAAGCGCCTTTCTACCTTGGAATTAATCATATTAAAAATCCTTCATCCGGTAAAAGCTGGTTCAAAACAAATGCTATGGGGGTTAACAAACTCAATAGTTTGATGAAGAATATGGCAACAAAAGCCGGGTTCGACTGCCAGCGATTGACAAATCACAGCGCCCGCAAGAGAATGGTGCAAAAGTTAAACGACAACGAAGTTCCTCCTACTCACATTATGCAGCTTTCTGGTCACAAAAACATTCAAAGTATCAACAATTACAGTCACATTTCAGAACAACAACAGAAAACTATGTCCAACATCTTGAGCTCGAGCTCGGAGAGAAATGCCTTTGAACATGTGAGTCAGAACCAAAATGACCAACGCATGTTAACGGCCCAAAGGCAACGTGAAACAATGGCGTTTAGCAGTACTCACGCGGAATCCACACTTAATGACCCAATGACAGCGGCTAAAGGCCTCTTTGCTGGAGCAGTAATTCACGGTGGACAATTTAGTATTAACATAAATACTGTAAACAAATCACCCACAACAGTATCGACAACGAAACGTTCTTTTAAGCGAATAAAACTTTTAGACTCGTCAGATGAAGACAGTCCCCCTGTTTATTTAGATTGAAATTACGCTTATGTTTATGTATTATTTTCCTCCGTTTTTGAAACAATCTTGAGCTCGTTATTCGTGTTATTTAATACCTATAATTCACGGAAGATTGGAATTATAAGGCTGTTGTATTAATTGCTAAAAGTTGCAGTTTTACTCAGACTACTCAGATGTACTCAGACTGAACGATTTACAATTACCAAGAATAAATTAAAAAAATTTTGTAGTGTTTATAAAAAACCTCGATATCTATAAAATAAACAAATTTAGTAATGGGAAGTGCTGACGTATGGTATTTTCGTACTTGTTAATTTGTTTTCACAAAGCTCACTCGCTCGTTCGCTTTGTGAAAACAAATTAACGCGTGCGAAAATACCATACGTCAGCACTTCCCATTAAGAAATCTCTATTTATTGCTTCAGGCGAGGGGACTTTGCATGCAATGTATTTCTAGTAGATTATTAACTCGGAATCATATAGAGATAGAAATAGGAAAAAAGACTGAATTACGTTATTATTACATTACAATCCTTACGCTATTACATTATTCAGAAATGAAATTTTAAAATGGCGCCTGTTAGCGGGCTTACGTTTTCTGCTGTACGATTACACCGCTAACTGTAAAATAAATTGTCAAAGTAAATTTGTTGGCACGTTAACACGAGCAAATAAATCTTGTCAAAGAAAAAAATTGTCATAGAAAATTTGTTGTACATACACACTGAAATTGCCAATACTTGTCATATAAAACTACAGGGTGTCCCAAAAAAAACGAAAACTATTGAAATCACCCATAACAATGCAATTGTTATAGTTTGAATGCCTAAGCACTCACAGGTGTGTAAATGTTTACCGCCATACTCATTTTCATGCATGCATATAATGCAGTAAAATTTGCTTGTTCGCAAAAATGATATTTATTAACAATATTTAGAATTTACAAATATGGATAACAATATTTAAATGTGCATCTCAAGGACCATGACCTTCGACATGTCCCCTTTTTCTAGCAACACAAAGCATTTAGCATTTTGTAAGTTGCACTAAATCCTCACGGGCCGAAACTCGTGAACACGGCATTCAAATTTTAACAATGAGTGATTTCAATAGTTTTCGTTTTTTTTGGGACACCCTGTAGTTCGTCTGTATACGGAGCTTAAAGCCTTGTTCAGACTTGTCGTACGAATCTGGGATTTTCTTTGTCTGAGGTCACTAGTGCGCAAAATGCTTTACATCGAATGCACTTCGCTCAATATTTTACAAGAGATAGAAAGAAAAAAAGGAAAAAGCATCTGTTCTGCAAGAGCTAGCCTGCAGGAACAGAAATTCATATGCATGCATACTTAAAAAAAGGTTAAAGGAATATAGTTCTCACCAAAAAATTTGAGAAATCCAGGCCATATTGACCATGTGAGAAGATGTCTCAGCAAGACTTCACCCCTCTCTTTTTCATTCATATGACAATTACCCTTTAGTTCACGCGGCCAAGATTTTTCCAGCATTGACCTTAGCAGTTTTATACCATTAGCTGAGTCTTTCTTACTTAATATAGTAAAAGCGTTCTGTTCTCCTTTACGATTCTAAAAAAGCATTGCAGTTATAACATTTCGACTTCGAAAAAAGCCGAATTTAATTAAAACCTTATTTATTTAGGTTTTAATTGGTTGATATTCGCCAAAATACAGAATTAATGGTAAATAAAGAACAGAGGCTGACCAGCAGAAAAACAATCAAACATTCAGCACTCTTCAGGGGGAATTTTATTATTTATTTGCGTTTGCCTACTCACTTCCACTATTTTTTCTACAGCTTCGAAAGCGGTTTTGCTCAAACAGTTTACGATCTCTGGATTACAATTCTTGTCACCAGCCTGACAATATAGCTCAATCTGACGAAGTTCGGAAACCTAGAATTAAAGCATTGAAATACGCATCACGAATAATGAATGACACTTTGCAGAGCCTGGCCAGCGAAATGTAGAAGTTGTTCATTTTTACAGACTCTGCCATTAAACTCGAATCGCAGTATAACTGAATATCACAATTAATTATCATAACATACAGTATTATATACTATAAATACTTAATTATCAAATAAGTTTAAAAAAATAATCACTAGTCTACTTGAGTTATATACAACAGTAAGGAACGTACGTACGTATAAGCATATCGACTATTGTTTTAGTTTCGTAGGCAATAAGTGTGGTACGTCAAGGTGAGTGGAATTGATATCACGTGTAAGTGGGGGAAAATGAGAGGTAAGATTAACAAAAAAATCATTAAATGACTCGACCAGATGTGTTACAGAAGAGTTGTCATCATCTAGTAACCGATGGTACCACGTATTCGTAGATCACAAACCTTCCAAGGTTTTACTTCTCCCCACCACTTGGATGGATTACCGTCCTTTGAGTTTTTGGACCAGGAACTGGTCCTTAACCGCTGGTAATCATTTTGTTGTTGTTGCTGTTGTTGTTGTTAGGGGGCGACGCTCTTTAAAAAAACCCTAAGGCTCTAGCATTACTTGCTTGATCGGAATGAAACTTGGCACAATTATTCTAAGCAATATTCTGCATCGATTGACGGAGTTCGAATTTTTACTTTTGATCTTTGAAGCAAGTTACAAGCAATTCTTGATATATTTGCAGCAAATAATATACAGGGTGTATCAAAAAAATGTCCCAAATGTAAAATTTTTGTTCTTCAGGATATTTTGCAGAATTTGGCAATTTTTGTGTTCCTAGGGATAGTTAAGACTTATCTGGTTTACCTAGGCGAAGTTTGGTTTTTCATTAACAAAATTATGTTACCGGGGGGGGGTTGTTCCTTTCCACTGACATTGAGAGAGCTTGCGCGCGAAAATGTGAAGCTGAAATTGAGATATGATTTAGCTGTTTTAAAGTAGGAAAGCTTTTTAATAAACTGTCAAAGTTTCAGGAAAAATAATGCATACTGGGAGCAACGCGCGACCCCTTAAATTGACAAATATTTCATTGCGCGCAGTGGATTAAATGCGTCGTTGATTTTAGCGTGACCGATCTCATGCAAGGTTGGGCAAATGAATAAATTAAAGCGAGAAACTGAACAAAAAGACGAAGCGATTTAATAACAAGATTTTTATTCGTGATGTTAATCCTCAATATTTCCACCATTTCTTTCTAAGCAAACTGCGGCTCGTCTGAGCATGGTAAACACTGAACGGCGAGCCGCAGTTTGCTTAGAATGAAATGGTGGACATGCTGAGGATTAACATCACGAATAAATCGCTTTGTCTTTGTGTTCAGTTTCTCGCTTTAATTTATTCATACAGCCTTGCAACGCTAAAATCAACGATGCATTTAATCCACTGCGCGCAATGAAATATTTGCCAACTTTAGGGGTCGCGCGTTGCTCCCAGTATGCATTATTTTTCCTGAAACTTTGACAGTTTATTAAAAAGCTTTCCTACTTTAAAACAGCTAAATCATATCTCAATTTCAGCTTCACATTTTCGCGCGCAAGCTCTCTCAATATCACTGCAAAGGAACACCCCCCCCGGTAACATAATTTTGTTAATGAAAAACCAAACTTAGCCTAGGTATACCAGATAAGTCTTAACTAATCCCTAGGAGCAAAAAAATTTGCCAAATTCTGCAAAATATCCTGAAAAACAAAAATTTTACATTTGGGACACTTTTTTTGATACACCCTGTATACATATCATTAATATTCAGCCTATGTATAAGTAAACGGAAACGATTAGAAATACACTGTCCTCTCCATTGTTCTAAATACAATGCAGTTCAGAAATTAAACTCGGTTACGCATTTCCTGGTCCACTATAGTACGATCGTACTTGTTCTACTGATTTCGAATAATATTTGGCTCGCGCAATTTTCACATCATGTTGGACCAAATATCGCCGATAAAAAAGCGGAATCGGTTATATTAGACGACAACCACGTTTCGGTAATACAAATAATGTTAACCTCATTCAGTTTCCCAACCTCTTCAAGTTTATCAATTTTAAGAGCTAAGGAACCAACATTTGATAACAATAGGCTTGGCAAATATAATCTAGAAGATTTATTATCCGGTCTTGGGGCAGTAGAGGTAGCCATGTTAAAAATAGTGGCATGGAGTGCTGAAGAGCTAGGCATGTAGATGTAGATGTAGATATTTAATAAATTCTCCCTGAAAGGGTTTTTAGAAATTATTTACATTTAACAGGCATCCTACCGCTACCGACCGTGGAGGGTTCTAATACAGGGGGCTGTTGTAATAGTGATCATTCATCCTGAATGGTAATTGGCCAGCTGTTACAACTCTCAAAGGGTGCAATTAATGCTCAAATCACACTCCTCTTAGTCAATGAAATTACAGTATTTGCCATTGATTAAAGAAGATATATAATTATTGAAGTAATTTTATTTAATAAATATATACTAATCATACCTTGTTTATTCTTTTCTGGAATTTGTCAAGAAATTCATCCTTCCACTGTTTGTAGAAAATCTCTGGGGCAGATAATGATAGCAGTTGGTTCCACGCCTATATACAAAGAAAAATTGTATTTTTTTCGCCTCCTCATAGGATTTTCTGGCTCATTACTAAACTAAACAAAATTATATTAAATCGTATCCTAATGTATACTTTCAATTATCTTCTTGTCGAGACGTTGACTGGTCAAACGCAACTAAATTGAAAAAACGAAACGCAAATTGCAACATGCTAAAATATATTTTAATCTGACGTCTATACACTGATATGCATACACTGGCGAATGATCACATTAATTTTTCCACTAAGTATATGCAACTAATAGCCACAATCGTCGTTCAGGCAGTTTTCCACAGGGCGGACTCTTTCGATCGAACGAAATGTTTCGTCTGGCTTGATTTTCTTTTTGGACTGAAGCAGAATCCCTTGATCGGTCAGAATTAAAAAGCAAATTAATCAAGCAAAAATTTTCTTTGAACAAAAATTTGACGCGACATTTTGCACTCAATCCAGCTTTACAAACACATATGTCCATATAGCCTGGCGCGCTTAGTGAAATCTATATATATATATATGGAAGGCTCGGTGAAGCCAAACATGGCGGATCATGAAGGCTGCTTGGGTACCGAACCAGACCTCCACAAAGCGTAAAACGCGCGAAGCGCGCGTGGGAATTAAAGGTGCGAATTATAAAACTATGACGAAAAATAAAAAAGCTAACATTTCGGAAGTTTGCAAGTTTGGCTGATAGATAAAAAAAAAATGTAGATAAAGGAAAAGGATGCCGCGTTGTTGCGCGGTTCGAGGTTGTAAGAATGTAGAAGGACAAAAGGAAAACCGGCCCACTTTTTTCCACAGGTAATAATTATTAAAACTGACTCTAAAGCACAAAAAATGTTAACCATAAAAAGCTGTACGCACATAGCTCACGTATGTGAAGACAAAATCAGCTTTCTCAAATTAAATACAATTTACTACAAATACTACAATGTCAAATGCAATTTATATAACTTATGTGACCACGTGCATTTGTTTACATTTTTGAAAAAAATGGGTTTTAAATTTTAATTAAATCATTTGAAAATACCACCAATTTTGACAGGGAAGAAAGCAAAATGGCGGCTGATACCTTGTTTTGTAAATAATAGGGCAAAAAATTTAGTTTAACCGCCCAAACAAAGTATTATTTCATTGACATTATGTTTTTAACTCAGGAATTGCTTCAGAAAATAAATTAAATAATCTACAAAACTCCGAAACGTCATTGGAAACTCATTTATTATACGATGTACAAAACAAGACATACAAATATATTTCAGGGGACCGGTTACGGACAATGCTATCCACTAGAGAGTGCTTTTTCAAATATAAATTGTGAAATGTCTTGAAGCGATAAAAATACAAATTTTGAGCTAACAATCTTTAAAGAGAACCCATAATTTACGAATACTGAGGTTTTTGAGTGGAACAATTTTGAGAGTGCTTAAAAATACCCAAATTCAGTGGATAGGGCTATCTAGATCAGTGAACTCTATATAGAGGCTCTATATATATGGAGTTAACTGATCTAGATTTAGTGCAACCGGCCAGTGGCCACAGGAAAATACGACATATATACATCAGTGAAAAAGTTAACAAAGTCTAAGAAATTTTGGCATACAGTACATGTGTAGGAATATTTTTGTTGCAAGCTTTTGATTTTCAAATACTTTTTTACTTATAGTATTCGGTAAAAATTTAGGGATTTCCACTCAAAAATAAAGCTTTACTGAGCAGTTACAAATGATAAAACTGGAGAGAACGTATGGAATGCAAAATCTTGCAACCGCATCTGCAGTCATCATTTCCTAAAGTCAGACTACATAGCAACAAAAAATGGCTTAACTCAGTTGAAAAGAGATGGTTTTCCAACACAGTACCTGACACCTCAGGTCCAAATATCAGAATTCCAAGAAGATAGGCTGCAATTAAAGAGAAAGTGCATAAAACCAGAAAAGTCTCTGATCCAAAAAGTAATGCTTGACCATAACTATGCCAAATCACCAATGTAATATCAGAAAAAAGTCCCATATGTACAATGTGTTGAGCCTCCAAAAGAAAAGAAAACTCTCATGCATATAAAGTACCTAAAGAAATTCAAAGGAGAAGAACCAAAGTATTACAGCAGAAGCTCAGAAGACAGAAGAGAAAGGCTAATTATATGAAACAGCTGATAAACTCCCTGAAAACAAAATTATTGGTGAAAGAAGATGAAGCTCCACTGCTGCACAATCGTTTTGATGGCCTCAAGTTATCTCTGTTCAACATGTGCTAAAGAATGGAAAGGCCAAAGCCTTAAGTGGAAGAAGATACAATGAGCAAGTAAAAGAATTTGCCTTCTCCATCCCGTATCAAGATTTGGGCAAGCTCTGTGAAATGTGAACCTGGCTTCATCAAGGAGACATTCAGCATTGTAAGAAACGAAACAAAAGACCATCCAGAAAAGAGGGACTGTTGTTTAGTCTTTGACGCAATGTCAATTCTAAAACAAACCATATGGGATCCCAAGAATGACGAATATGTTGGTTTTGTAAATTATGGCCCAACTGACATAAAAATTCCTTCCAATAATATTGCATCTGAAGCCTTGGTCTTTATTGTGGTTGGGTTACGCAGCCACTGGAAGTGTCCAATTGCATATTTTCTAACGGACAAACTTAACTCGATTACTCAAGCGCAACTTATGAAGAAAGCCTTAATCCATTCAGGAGATATTGGTCTTCGAGTTTGGTGCATCACATCTGATGGAACATCACCCAACATTGCTACCTTTAAACACCTTGGCTGCATTTTTGGAGTTACATACATGTCCATGGTAACTAAATTCAAACACTCTTCACTTGGCTATGATGTATTTGTAATTCTGGATCCATGTCGTATGCTCAAGCTAGCAAAAAATTCTTTTGCATGCTTTGGATCAATATTTGTGGAAAAAGAAAGCATTCACTGGAAGTTCTTGGAGAATTTGAATGAAATACAGCAAGATCATGGCTTGAAGCTGGGAAATATGCTGACAAATAACCACATCAAATATGAGACCCACAGGATGAAAGTAAACCTTGCTGCACAGACCTTGAGTTCATCCATGGCCAGAAATTGCGGACATGGAATATGCAGATTGCCGTAGCAAATTTGCATATCTGTTGAAATATTATTCGTTTGCAGAACTATAAATTATATTGCGCATTCTTAAATTTTGCAAAATTTAAGAAAATCATTGCATCTTTGCTATTTGCCCTGGTTGTTTCTTGTAACTCGTGTCATATTGAAGATCCTGATGTAATATTTTGCTGGCAAAGGTTTATGTCGGCTCTGCATTTTTATTTTATTTCTACGCTATTACGGTTTTCGTTTTATATGGTATTCAACGTGATAAATGACCAAAACTTTGTTTTGAAAATGCAGAACGAATATTGATAAAACATTTTGAAATACTATATAAAAATATTAAGATTAACTTGCTCTGCAACGAGCAATTAAGGCAAATTATAATCGACCTACCTAAAGGTGTATTTTTAGCGTTTAGTACTGTGCACATTACAGTTTACTATAAACTCACGAAGCTTTATTTTGACACCATATGCAAATTTAGGCGGAAGTAGAATGTTAACTATGTCCGAATTTTCTGGCCATGTGTTGCTGATGCCACCAACCTCCTCAACATCGTAACAAAAGATGCAAGATTTCAAGGGAGTGAAGCAACGGTGAAATTCATTCGCAATGTGGACAAAGTCTTTGATATTCTTAATAGCAGAAGTCCATTCGGGAAAGGCACTAAGCAGCCTTTGAAGCTAATCAGTAAGAATCACTGGGAAGCAGAACTTTTTATGATTGCAAACTATCTGCTTTCATTGAAGTCAGCTGATGGCAAGTTGCTAGTGAAACATAAAAGGAAAACCTTTATTCTGGGGCTCGTTATAACCATCAAGTCCACAATTGAAATGGCAACAATGATGCTAACTCAACCAACTAATCCATTCAAATATCTTTTGACCTACAAGTATTCCCAAGATCATATTGAGTTGTATTCGTTCCAGAGGAGGATGGAACAACAAAAAGTCAACAATACATATGTATTGAAGAATTCAATCACAGCTTCAACACATGCCAACTGCCAGATCCTAGATCAGCATTCCGTCATCCCAGTCCTACATAGCAGGAAGCATGCATCTCCTCTGAAAGAGAAACCTACAACCAATGTTGTTGAAGAAGATCAAAACGTGGAGATGGAATCATTGATTACGCACTTACAGCAGCCTCTATCAGAGTTCACCATGTATGTCTTACACTACATCTCTGGTTTCATAGTTTCAAAATTGCTCAAGAAAATACACTGTCCACAGTGTATTGGTGACATTACAGCCTCAGCCAGTCACAATCAAGTGCAAACCTACAAACCATGTGATGACATGTATAACAAAACCTCATCATTCGCTTCCTTTATCAACAAAGGTGGTCTTCACATTCCCTCACCGTTTACTCTTAAAGTTGTGGCAAGTGCAGAGCAAGTATTCAAGTGTTATGTGTCATCAGGTAACCATAACAAAATCTCCAATACGAAGAAGCTGAAAGAAAAAATGTTACAAGAAGTCAGCTACAAGTTTGCTGAAAACGGTATAGAACAGGAAAGCCATGGATATTGCTTGAGTGAAACATGCACTGTTTGACAACCACAGTGTGGCGGGGCTTGTTAAATGCATTGCAGATAAATTTTTCAGATTGAGATTGTTCACCTATGCAAAAAGGTACAATGAAAATGTTTTGAGAGCAGGGAAACCAAGTAAAAGGCACCAACTGAACAAATATACTTTGTTTCGAAACGAATGATTTAGTTTAATTAATAACTAATCGATCTTCAAATAATGTATTTATAAATATAGCCATGCAATATATTTTTTATTGCATTCTTTGATACAAAGTTTTTAAAATTGAATACATACAATTTGTTACAACCTTACCTGGCAATATTATTCTTTCTAGAGAGGTAACTTATGCCGTATATTTGTTGTGTTTACAAAACTGACCGAGTTCCACTCATACACGTTGCCGCCATATTGCAGTTTAACCGTTCGTGCGCGGAGGTCTGGTTCGGTACCCAAGCAGCCTTCATGATCCGCCATGTTTGGCTTCACTTTTAGATTACGCAATGTACTAGAGCGAGCCTTCCATATATATAGAGTTCACTGGGCGCGCTTTGATTGATCAAACCAAGTAATCGCCATTTACACCCGGCATTAATTAATTTTCGGCTAATCGAGACGAAAAACAAAGCAATGTTTTCAACCTCGGTTCTCGAGTTGTTAGATGATACTGAGAGTTTTATTTACAGCAAAGGCATTGTCGAAAAACATGAAAAGGGAAAAGTTTGAAAAGAAATTCTCTAGAAACTAGTGCGAGCACCAGAAAGAAAATTTTGGATGGAAAAACGAGGACTGACTTGGTTTCGATCATTCGGTATGTCGAACGTTAGACATAGTTTATTTTCGTAATGTTACCCGCAAGGATCCCTGGATCACATACATGCAGAAGGATTTTTCCTAGACAATTACGTATCAAATATTAAGACGCTCTTATATTATCTTAGTATCTGAAATGTTAGTATCTGGTTCGTTTGATCAAAGTGCTCTTGGCCGCCACTATATCTTAGCTGCTTACAGGCGGTAAACAATTTGATATCACTGACCTGCAATTCATAACCCCATTCGGAAGACCTCAGGTATTCGGCATTACTAACAACTTTGTTTACTAAAAATTCTTTAACATATCGACGCTGATCATTTAAGGAAGATAACAGTTCTTTTGGAATCTCTTTCAGTTCAAAAGAAGTGGAATTGTTCTTTTGGGTATTTCCAGCAGCAGATTCGTCTTGAAAATCAATTCCATTCTTTTGAAGTACAATAGCAGTGATTGAACATTCAACCAAGCGACAGAGGACAACCACCCCATCAAGATAGAGAATCGGCTTCAGATACCGGATAAGTAATACCAAGTTATCAAGTAAAACCAAAGTCTCGGGTAGTCTTTCTTTCGGAAACTTCTGGGGGCTAAAAGAGCAAAAAATTATATTTATGTAATTTTGATTATTCGAGCAAATAATAATTATTGCTGCTGAGCCTCAGCGAGGAAATAAATAAGTTCGTTTGTATGAATATTTTATTTCCAACTTGTAAGGGATCGCTAAACGTGCACGCTCGTTTGCCTAAAGATACACTCGCCGAGTGACTAAACATGTACGATGCCGGTACTTTTGGACCAGGACAAACACAAAGCGTGCATTTTTCAGGTCCTGTACTTGGGATAATAGTTATCCTGTGTGGTTTTGTTAAATGGGCAAGCAAATCGATAAACAACGCGTATACACATACGGATAAGCGATGAAATCGGAACGGTATATAATCGATAAGCTTCCAAGTGCTTTATTGTCATTATTTGCTGTCATTAAAAGAGACAGTTTACTTATGTATCATTATGTATCAGTCGTTTTGCAAAGATATAACCGATTACGAAGAGCTATTACAACATTGCAAAGTTTTAACTTCAGAAAATGTAAATCTGTTTCTAAAAAGAAACAAATGTCACCGGACAAAAGAAACACCGTCAATCGATGCGGAATACTGTTTGGAATCACTGTCTCAAGTTACCTTCCAATCGGTCAAGTAATGCCAAAGCCTGAGGGCTTTTTCAAAGAGCGTCACCGCCTAACAACAACAACAACAACAACAACAACAACAACAACAACAACAACAACAACAACAACAACAACAACAGCAACAACAACAACAACAACAACAACAACAACAACGACAACAATAACAATAACAATAACAACAAGAAGATAAGCAAATTGTGGGGACCAGTTTCCAAAAAACAAAACATTCAGTAACCTAGATGACATAAAAAGGAATAATACCTCTGGTTAAATAGAAGTTGGTTGATCTCTTTGAATAACAATTCCAGATATTCTACCTATAAAGGTATACAAAGAAAATTATAAGCTACATCGAACAGAATCTTTTTTTTGACATGCACATTTACAATAAACCGCATGTCATCACTGCCATAAAGTCTATCAAAAACCAGCAAATATAATTTTGCAAGAGCTCAGCGCCGAAACTAGAAGCGATTCCATTCTTTTGAGATAAAATTCCATTCATTTGAGGTTGTTACGTTCGCCGGTGAGAACGAACAAAAAATGAGAACAGAGTTGAGCATTTTTAAACTATTAGCGAACTATAGTTAGTTAAACTTAACAAAGTAGATTAACGACCGAAGAGCAATTTCAGTTATATAATATAACTTCTGGACCTATGAACCCTGCAGTAGAGGTTAAATAAGCTAGAATAAAATTGTTTTTCTGGGAACTTCGTAATAGTAATAGCAATCTCGTAATCGTTTAGTTTTTTAATCAGCATCCAATTGAAAATATATAATTACTCACAAACTTTTGCGTGTAATTGATGCTCTTTTTCATATCAGGAAGTATTTTCCTCAATGTGACACACAACTCCAAGCAAGAAAACCATCCGGTCTTTAAAAGCTCTCCATAGATTTCAACAGGACATAGTAAAAGAAAAGTTCGCCTCAGCAAATGATCCATAGCAAAAAAGTCCTTTAGTTCTGGTAGCATTTCGATGGCTTTCCTGCGTAATACAAAAGTAACAACATACATTATATAGCATCCATCTATCAATGTAAACAAGTAAAATGCTCCGAATGCTTTAACCGAATAGAAACCATGCATATATTTGTCTGAGTTTTTTGTTCGATTTTCACAGCAAATATTGACTTACAAGACAAAGAAAAATCCGAAGATTAACATCTTGAAACCCAAAATATAGGTTAACACAAGACAAAGATGAGTTTGTGATATCTCGATTTATATACTCGAGAATTGAGACTAAATTACATGGTAACAAGACGGTTTTAGTAAGATTGACATTTGAATAATTTCTATTAATATTATTTATAACAATAGTTCCTGACGTTTTGGAACTGAACTTGGTTGAGCTTCTTTTATGCTACTTCTCATTTCTATTTCTTAGTTCGTCCACCTTTTCATTCTCGTGCTTCTTCTGCTTTCAGGGCACTTATCAATATATTTTTTTTAGATTTTTTTTGTTTCATTGTGCTGTACCATAATGAATATTAATAAAACATTTCCTTAATGGTAATGTTTAGAAAGCTGAATCAAATGGGATTCGATGAAATCTAATCCATTTTACTTTCGCATAAAAATGGTTTATTTACATAATGCCGAAAATTCATACGTAAATGAATTTTATTATTTAGAATACAATTGACTACAAAAAATAAGCACACCTTTCAGTCACAAGTCCTTGAATATCTCTGTAGGGTAACTGATCTAATCCCCACCACTTCCAGTTTTGGACTTCAACAGGTTTGGAGCAAATTACGTTCTCGTATGGCTTGGCTTGCTGTCGAACGAAATGCAACAATGGCAAAGCAGACAACCAATTCAATCCAAAGGAAGATTGTTTTTCGTAAAACTTGAGAATTGTCTTAGTAAAGAAACTATATTAGAAAGGAAAGGGATCATTGCATGATGCTAAATATTCCCAGCATAAAAATTGTTATTGGAAAATCAATAATAGAATTTGAACTACGTTCGAAGTTGTATAATTATTTTAGTTGCATAATACTTTCATTATAACAATTGATTTTCTTAAACACAATGGTAATTACTTTTTAAGAACCACTGACAAAAAATACAATTAAAGATATATACCAAAATGGACTTCAATTACTTTGAAATAGCATATGACTAACACTTGATTTTATAGGGTAATGGTAGGCTTTGAATAACACTTCCGTCTGTTTTACAGGTCAATTTATGAACTATCGCAATCAAAATATGTGTGATAAAAGAAAAATTTTACATATCTTCCTAGGGCGAAGCCCCCGAACCTTCTTAACGGAATCACCGAAAATTTGATTTTTCAAAATATAAATCATCTCCTCATCACCAAAGTCCCGCCATTTTTAATGTTCCGGGTAGTGGATGTAGTCCACGCAAGACGTTGGGTGGATAGATTTAATGAAGAGCCAAAAAATAACAAACATGCAATAATGAAACTTACCTTAAAACATTCTCGTCAAAAATACTAATACTTTTTACAAATTCGCGACACACTGCTTTATCTGGTGGTAGTCTTAGACATTTCAATAAAACTTCATTTCGTTCTTTCTTCAAAAAAACGTTATACTCTGTAAACACGTAAACTAATATTACTGATGACATCACTGCATGAACTTGGGTTTTCGCATCTTTCGTTTCACTTTCCAAAATGTTCAAGCTTTTTTGGACTGTCGGCATCAAAACTTCCTCGAAAATCTATTAGAAAAGGCAGATATTATTACTTTTAATTGCCATATTTTATACCAAATCATACCCAAAACTCCAGTCATTCCACTCTGTTTAAACAAAACATCGGTACATTATTAATATTACTATAGGAAGCATAGCCTCATATATTTGTGAAAAGATTTTGGAAAACTCGACATACTCTTTTAAATAAGTATGCAAAAATATAAGATCGCGGTTGCCGTTCGCTTCCGAACGGAATGAAAATAGAGAAATGTGAGAATCTAGATCTATTTTTACATGTATCACAAGAGAATTGTTCGAGTTTCTCAACCTCATTATTGAGATCAAGAAAAATTGTTTCAATTTCTTTTTGTAACAGTTTAAAGAATCATTTTTGAATAGTTTTAGCTCGGTTGGCAAGAAATTGAAAAGCAAACCACCGCTGTAAGACAGTTTAGTCTTTGCAAATTCCATACCAACTATTGGAATTCTTAAATCAGTACTAGCTGTTCGAGAATGTTTGCATGGTGTGACTCCCGTGCAAATTAAAAAAAATTACGAAGTTCAGTAGGTCATTCTCCAAGCAAACTTTCAACAACAAGTAGAATCTTACGAAGTTTTATGAGATTATGAATTGGAATCCATTTTAATTTACGAAAATTAACAACAGAGGGCGTGGACACATTTATATTTAAAATTAGACGCGCTGCCCGTTTTTGCAACTTTAATAACGGATGGAGCAGCTCATTTAAAGCGTTACCTCAAAGAGTTATACCATATAAATAAAGTGAGGGTAGACGCGGAGGGTATTGACTGGGGAAGATCGTTAGAATACAGATTAAAAATCGTAAATCCGTAAATTCAAATTTAATTGATTGTTTGCATTCTCACTAAAATAACGGATCGAGTTTCTATAATCATTATATTTTATTTTTATCCTATGAATTTATCTTAGGAATAATTTTAAGTGTATTTTTCATATCTAAGAGCAAGTTTGCAATGGAAGAGTGTACAAGCTTAAAATCACTGAAATTAAAAATCTTCCAAGGAAGTGTCACTTAATTACTCCGGCGCCAGCGACGGAATTGAAAATTCGCCCCGTATTGTTTTGTTTTTGTTTTTTTTATTATTTTTCGTCGTCGTAAGTCTATAATGGCGCGAAATATACTGTATCAGAAATGTGTATGTGACCGTATTTATCTACGTCCCAGTCTTATCTCCAAAGAGTTGTGGTGCACAGCTTTGGCTAATTTTCCGATGCGCGATTCGATTTCGCTCGCATGATACGGCAATTCCTCTATTATAAAGAGGAACAAATAAACCATTCTTTTCATGCTGTTCGATTAAGTTTAGGTAAGATTATATCTAATACATGTAGATTCTGGTCCTATT